CTCCGCGATCTGACAGGCAAGGTTTCTGGGGCATCCGTAAGACGCCACCAGACCCGAGCGTGGTTGGATAGACCCCGTTCACGGCAACATAATTAGGGGAAAGTCTCGCCTCTACCTTTTGACGTCCATCAGTACTCTGCATGCACAGCGCTACTCCTGATTGTTGATCTCGCCTCTCACGGTATAGCTCGACATGGATGCACTCGAGTTAGGCTTCGGGGGTTACACAAACCCAGGGGCCAGCACGAGGCAGAAAAAGCCATGCGTATTTCTAATATTCTTGGCAGTCATCGCTTTGGTAGTTTGTGGCCCTTGAGGGCAGCCAGTCCATATTGTTATGATCACCCTTTCTTTTTTTTTACGATTGAGGTTCTTTGTCCCGAGGTCAGCGTTTGCCAAAAAGTTCTCTTGACATTCTCGTATTGTCTTAGAAATAAAAGCTATTATCTGGAATACAGTACGGAGTACGGAGTACATGGTCTGTTCTTGCTCAAGATCCTTCACCAAAAAAAGAAAAAAAAGAATAGAAAAGCCACGAATTGTATTTTTCTATCTGAGCAAGCATTTACACATAGGGGACCAATGAGGCCCCGGGGTTGCGTCGTATTAAATAATTGAATCGCCTACATCATGCGACTCCTTATCGCCCAGTAAAGGCCCTACAGGCCCTACAGGCCCTACTCCGTATAACCCCTACAGATACTCCGTACTCCGTACTCCGTACTGGACGCCCGCATGGGACAATCATTTTGATGGCATTCCGATTGGCATGTTCCCCTTGCCATTACTTCCCGTCCTGCACAGCATCCTTGTAAGGCATTCCATTCCCCAATGGTTATAAGATTTTCGCCGGTGGCTTGGATTTCTTTGTCCGCATTGCTTTTTGGTCCCTCTTTTCATTCTTACATTCGAGGCTGACGAGTCAGACCCAAGGTCCAGGCCTTGTCTCATTCAGCCAATGCCGATCAGCACATTCCATGCCTTTAGGCTTTTCACCTTCCTGCGCAAAAGACACCATTCGAACTCGATAGCTTCGACGGAAGAGCCGGAGCGGCAAATATGGTGTGCATAGTGTGCAGAGAAGGGCCGCGACTTCACGCACTGACCTACAGCTAGTAACTTCGGCAACGGTGATCATGACGGGGTTGCGTATATTAGAAACAACAGAAAAAGCCACGGGAGAGCTTCGGGTTGTATCCATTACATGTTTAATGAATCCGAGCGTGGCTTCCGATAGGCTTAGAGAGAGAGATTAGTTCGAGATTAATATCGCACTTTTAAAATGGATCTGTCAACTGACTAGCACGTTTTTCTAGTCTCTTAGCTTCGACATTGTTAGTCTCTTGGCTTCACTCTAGACCTGCAATTGCTCGGTACCGAAGATGGGGAGAGCGAAAAGGGAAAGAAAAAGTACACGATCTGCAGTGGATTGAAATACAGACTGCATTACCCCCAAATCACCCAACCAAACAGAAAAAAGCAAAAAGTGAGGCAAACTGCTTGAGCATTCGAATGAAAACAAGCGGTGAATGGGAGAGGATATTGGTCGGATTGCGAACGTTTATATCCATGCCACTCGGGTGGTACACAGACGGTCTCTCATGTTTGTCTCTCATTTCTTGTTTTTTTTGGGGGAGACAGTTAGCAGCGTCTGGCACGCTACTGAGTAGCTGCTCTTACGAACTATAGTAAGGTGAACCTGTGCGGAGACGCAATTCGCAGTGGAGAAGCCGCAAATCGCCGATTGAGTAAGACTGAAAAGGGGGCTGTTCACGATCTGGTCCGTTCTCAGATGCTAGATCGCTGTACGGTGTACGGTGTACTGCGTACTTCATACTTCATACTCCGTACGGAGTACTGTATATTTGCTTGTATACAGGTCATTGGACTATCAGGTGACTGTCCTGACACCGATCGCCGGCCTACGTACATTTCTCGTGGCAGGATCCATCGGCCATCCCCGTCGCATTGCATTGCATGAGCCATGCTCTTCTTCCCCAGACGCATTCTTACTGGATCACTTTGTCCCATCGACACCATCGACATCCTCAAGCCCAAATTTTACTTTTCCCTCAAAGCTTCCAAGATTCTAGAGTTTGACCTGGTAAAGCGTATAGCCGCTAACTCCGTACCCCGTACGGAGTCCTCCGTGCGCCGTACGGAGTAATGATTTCAGAATCCTGCTTCAATCGGAAATGGCTCGGGCAGGATTGCAATGGTCGATCGGTACCTGACTCCAGTAGCTTTGCGACCCCGTGGTGTACCCCGAGGTTGTTCCTGGCGGTCTAACGGGAATTTCTCCCCGGCGCCTGCGCCAAGGAGGTGCAAATGACAAAAGAAGCAAATACACAAACTGGCCCGTCCACAGGCTAACGGATTCTAATCTTGACCGGTCTAGACTGGATCTTGCTCGTGCTCCGAGGGGGCGTAAAAAGTTGGAAATGATGAAAGGCAATGGGCTTGCCCTAAAAAGATCCATTCAAATCTCCCTAATGGCGTCAGCCCACTTGATCGGCCTAGTATTAGCGAACACGATGCTCGTTATTTAACTAAAACTGTGCTAAAATTAAAAATCCAGTGTGCAATTTCGTCAGACATTCCTTTTTTTTTGGCTTGCTTTGCTTTTTCGGTATATTTAATTTTCCCTGATCTGACTGGCGCAAAGTAAAGAAAACCCGACGGGAGCAGGCATAATGATTGGCACTGTGACCGAATCAGTGCCCCTCCCCTGAAAGCACTATTCCGTACATCCCCGTGGACAAAGTAATGCAGTTGGGGTCGATTTGTACTCCGTACTTACACTGCTTTCACTTGACGTTTGCTTCCTGTCTTTGCTTTTGCTTCTGCTATTGCTTCTGCGACCCCTTTGTCATTCAGACATTCCATCCCAGGCTTCGAACCCCCTTGGGTAATAAGCAGGCGGATTTCACATCTGGCCTCCTCGTGGCGGAGTTTGAACAAGAGGGGACTTGGACGTGGATCCTTGGAGTATTCAATCCAACGTCCAGATGAGAATCGGATTCCGTTGTATAGCCTCCAGAGGATACCACCTCTGATCCTCGATGGGTGCAGGAGCTAGCAGCCTTATCCTGCTCATGCTCTGTGTACTCTGTAATCTGTGCTCTTCTAACCCTCTGAACATGCAAAGAAATAGTGAAGGTTCCCGGGCCGGAGGGGACCGCAGTGGGTCGTAGTGGAGAAGACGAGGGCTCAAGTTCCAAGGTTGGCGCCAAAAAAAACATAGGGAACTTCCCCTCTTTCCACCACTTGCCTTCTACGTCCTGTGATAGGACGTCTTCACAACCTACCGTTCGGCGCTTGTATTGGATGGACCAGGTCGTATCAACCGCAAGGCAATGGAGACGGCAGATTCGTCCATCCAAAGATCATCCTCTCCTTATTTGCTAACTTTTAGCCGTGTCATCTCTCGTGGATGTCTGATGCGGTTTCATTCCTGAACTTAGGATCGGCCTTTTCAGTCCATAATCTTGCCCCATTCTGGTCATACTTCCTTGGTCTCTGTTCAATGCGTCCAATCTATTCCGTAGGGGTTTCCTCCCTCTCTCGGTCCCCTCTGCTCTGCCATCTGATTTGCGTGTGTGGGAGATTTCAGACCTCGGACCCGTCTGCTTCACCTCCACGAGATGCACCGTGCTCCCCGGAAACTCGTCCTATGGGGACCAGAATCCGCATCTTGAGTCCTTCATTCAAGGAAGTTGCTTTTCTTCCCAAATGAACCCTCTTTCTGCGAAACGATAGTCGATAGTTTGGCTGCCGCTATCCTTCTCTCGGCCACTTGGATCGCCGGCCTTGCCTACATGGATGTCATGCGGGCTTTAGGTTCAGCGGTTTCTCGATCCGCTATCCGGCCCTGAGCAAATCAACTGGGATCTAGCCTGCGCTTTGAGCGAACCCCGAGCTTTGCCCCGGGAGGATCGACCCTGATTTGATCCATAATTCTTGGAGAGATGCTCCACCATCTTGGACAAAGCGAGGCGGAAACGGCCAGCCACCGTGAAGGATTAGACACTCGTCAAGGATTGGCCAAGGTTTTCGACGAGTGAAAATGTTGAGTGATCATTGAGCGGTCACGCCAAAAGCACCTTCAAGTCTTCATTTCCCAATCCCCCACATCCTCCCCAGGGTACCTCTATGAGGGGGTATATCCGGCTATATTGGTAGTATACAACATACTCGTAGCGTTCGGTCCGCAACCCTAAGAAGAGGGTCATACGCGGGAACAGACAGTCAGGAATAACGGAAAAAAAGAAGAAAGTGAACAGCCGAAAAACCAAGCAGAAACCGCGTTAGCCCTGAGAACGAAGATTTCCGTACCTTTACAGCGTAATACACAAAACGAATTGGGCCTGACGAGATGCAACCCCTGCCGCAATATATCTCACCGTCGACCAACCACATGCCGTTCCCCCCCTCTACTTTGCAGGGATCATTTTGAAATTGCGCAAAACCAAAATGGATATATTATAATTCGCATTTGATTATTTACTTGAATTTTCGTCTGGGCTTTTTTTTTATGTCTCGGCCAATCATCAAACACGTCGGCTGGATAACTCTCGGGGGAAGGCTATCATAGATTTCTCCGGTCTTCTCGTACCAGTTGCAATCGCGATTCAGACTCGCTCTGTCAATCCATGCGATACTGATCGTCCTGGCCCTGATTTTCCTTTTAACTCCATTGCCTTACCCGCATGTTCCTACCTTTTGCCCTCTTGCATATCCCGTATACTTTTATACATCCTCTGCTACTACTTCGGTAGATAGCTCTTCTCGGGACATTACCTCTTTCTTTTGGGTAAATTGGATACAGGTCTACAGGAGCAGTGGAACATGCATCAGCTCTTATTGTCTTATTAGATTGTCTCATTGTTCCCCCGGATTTCTTTTTGTCTCTCTTTCTTTGATCTCTCTCGAACCGAGCCTATCACACTCCCCCCCACCAACAGAGAAAAGAAAGCCCTATATTCCACCGAAAATTGTCCATGGAGGACCAAGCCATGGAAGCGGAGTCTCATCATGCGCCAGAGAGTGAATTCCCACATTCACCATGGGTTGAAATCGGCGCATTTGCTTCTCCTCAACACTCGCCCCCGATGCCCGAATATAGTGGATTTGATTATGGTCCTTCCCAGCTCATGGCTGTGGATACTTCGTATGGCATGTCAATACCGCCGCCATACGCCTCTATGCCACTACCCATGCCTTCGCATGCCTGGCCCAGCATGCTTACAACAACCAACCCGTTTCCTGAGTCGAGACTGCCTGTCTCCACTCCAACTTCGGCCTCGCCTTCTGCTCCTATGCCTCCCATACGAAAAACCTCGACTGGTGGATCTACACCTCGCAGGACGCTGACCGACGAGGACCGCCGTCAAATGTGCATTTATCACGAGGAAAACAAGACTGCTAAGCAGACTGATATTGGAGGTAAATACGTATTTTGGAGTCTTTTTTCTTCGTTCTGTTGAGCACACCGAACTGACCTTTTATGCAGCATTGTTTGGAGTTGAGAGAAGGTATCACTACAACAATTGCGTTATACTCTATATAATCTAACACATAATAGCACCGTCTCTAAAGTCCTTCGCCAGAAGGAAAAGTACCTAAACCCGGATGATGGAACCCGTTCTCCCATCAAGCGGGCCAAGGGCAGAGTCCCTGATATTGAAAAAGCTCTATCCAACTGGGCGACAAAGTATCAGCGTCAAGGCCATGCCTTGAACGATGAGATGATCAAGGAAAAAGCCCTCTTCTTCGCCAGCACTTGCGGCCCTGAAGGCAAAGAAAAGGTCTGCAGCACAGCCTGGCTGGAAAAATTCAAACACAAGAACAATCTACTCGGTGCAAAGATGCGTAGGGGATCTACCGAAATCCGCAGTGGATCAAACAGCCCTACACATCTCAACACCGATTTTGGATCTGCTTTACAAAGTCCAACCGGGCCTTCACCCACGTCTCCAGTTGATGGCTTCGGATCTCCGCTGTCTCCAACGAGCCACGAAGGAATCAAACGGAACATGATTGAACTGCCCGGTCTGACATGTGGATACCAACACGGCTATTCCAAGAGCACCACCTCTCTCGATACATCCTCGTCAGCCGGTATGATCAGCCCAACCTCAACCCTGCTCTCTGACAGCCCTTTCACACCAACGAGCCAATCCCGTCTCCCAGCCGTCAATTACAGCGCCAATAGTCGGCCACGCAGCCAAACCTTCCCGCTCGTACCCATTGATCCAAGCCTCCTTTCAGCCGATGAGACCATGGACCTACAGCACCGAAAGAGCGAACTCCAGCCATCCCTCTCAGTTGCCACCTTGGAATCCCCGATCGAGATGGACGAGCCCAAATCCCTAGTGTGTTCCCCCCGCCAGAAAAACGTTATCAAGCGCAACCGCAGCAACCCAGAAATCAAGACTAACTCCATGCCACCCCCGTCCAAGTCAACGACCATTTCCCCGATCAGCTCTCCAGGCTCTCCGACCCAGGACGAGGCTCGTCGTGCGCTGGAACTCGTTATCAACTACTTCGGTCATCAGCCCTCTGGCCTGGCCGCGCAAGATTATATGACCATCGGGAAGCTGATGGAGAGGCTAGATATCGCAAAGAATCAGCCGGGATTCATGTTGGGCGGCTTGCCTCGGATCGACGAACATGAGGATATCCCCATCCAGCGCGTGACCAAGAAGAGGAGCATTCACAATTTGGGATGAGCCTCGAGTTTGCATTTTATCTTTTTCTTTTCCCTCCTTTGTTCTAGCATTATTTATTCCCCCTTTTTGCATTGCTTTTGGCTTTCTACTCCTTCACACACTCTCTCTATTCTTTGAAGCATTTCCCCCCCCATCGCCCAGCATCGTTTATATCTTCTACACCATCCCCTATTATGATTCCCCATTCTCTTCTTCCTTTCCTTTGATTGGCTACTTTCTCACTCTTTCTCTTTCATGATCACTTATACGACCTTTATATCCATTTCCTATCTCCTGCCAGCGATGGCAGCGAGATAGAAAACCTGGGCAACCAAACAAAAAAACATACACATATCCAGAGGGCGACCTCTACTTCGGAGCTTTTGAGATTTACAGACGGGATTTACCTGAACGAGGTCTATGCATATGGAATAATGGACACATGGCAAGATGTGTGGTACACGGATTTGGGATCATCGGCCTTGGACTTTGGACTTGGGAGTTTTCTTTTCTTTTCTTTTCTTTTTTTCTTTTTTTCATTTTTACCGCTTGCTTTCTTCTTCGGGACTCTTGCTTTTTTATTTACTTATTTTTACTTATTTTCCCTGGTTTTTCCTGGTTTGTTATATCCCTGTTGTTTTTGCATTTCAGTCCCGGGCTCGCCTCACTCTTGTATTGCATCTCTTTCTTACACTCTCTCTTCTCTTAATTTTGGACCCAATCTGCTTCTCTAAACCGGACTTACACAAGTGCAAAGAACATACCTAGGTAATTTGGCTGGCTTCAACCGGCATGTCAGATTAGTTGATCCTTTTTTGGACGATATTATACCCTCCATTTGCTCACAATCACACCATTTTTGAGTTTTGGCTCTTATGCTGGTCATAACTCGGGGGCATATCTCATTAAGTGCGAATACTAACGAAAAAAACCAAAAGCAAATCATATGTTCATATATACTAAGTTGTCGGTGGTACTGATGTCACCCCACGATCCTCCAGTAGATCCTCAACACTGCGCTCAGCCATTTCCGGAAGCACCTTGGCCAGTACGGTTTCGATGATCGCGTAGATTAGATGCTTATTGCAGTACGCATCCGCAAAAAGGTCCAGGAAATCATTCTCGATGGTTTCCAAGAGATACAGTTCTTCCAGATCCATCCCCGCAGATGGATCGTCTGTGCGCAGCCGCTCAGCGGCAACACACTCGCCCGCAAGACGGGATATCGAAGAAGACGAACGTGACGCTGCATTCGCCCTCTCCGAGGAAGATCCACGAGGACTTCCGAGCGAAGGGGATGGGGATGGAGCGAGGGAGGGCGAAGTGTTGGAGCTGCAGGTACCATCACCATTATAGGGCGACGGAGGCGCCGACGAGGGGACACCAAGAAAAGTTCGTGCGACAGACCGCGGGATCACGGCCAGGAGACTAGCTGCACATCGCCGCTTGATAGCGGCGATCTCCGTCTCAGATGGGGTCGTTTTCTCCGCTTCGGCCGGTTCGTTTATCGATGTTGGGACATCGCCTGCGATGGATGAATACGATGGAGGGCCTGTGGCGGTTGAGGTTGATACACCGCCATTATGACTGTTGCTGCTATTCCCCGGATTATTGGTTTTGCCAACGGTCTCGATTGGAAGATCACAGGCTCCTTCCGCAATAGGAGGGCCAGGTGAGGCCGCGAATGGTGCTCTCTGACTGGGCGTCGGGGTCTGTACGGATTGTGGAGCCGAGGCCGGAGCTCCAACATGCCCGGCCGGTAAAGATATTGGACGGGCATTGGCTGGGAACAAGGTGGTCCTTGTCGCAAGAAGAAGGTTGGGCAACAAAGTGGGGGTCAGCACGTACTCCTCAATGGTTTCCCGAAGGAATCTGTGGAGTTAGCAAAGGTCCTGTTATGACGTCGGAGTAATTGAGTCAAGAGGGAAAAAAATTAATTAGCGAGAGTGCCACTGGACTGTGGAGCGGGAGGGTTTGTTCGCGCATATTTTCACGAGAAAGAGCCAAATAAGAATTGGCCGTATAGAGTGGGGGGAGGCGGAGCAAGATCGGCTTAGGCAGAGATGAAGGAGCTTGGGCCAGACAGGGATATCACTCTGATCAAGACGCAGGACGTCCAAGAGGAAATAATATGAACCCCCTCTTCAGTGGGTAACATTTCACTGTTCCTGGCAAGGCTTCATGCACGAGCCTCGGTCAGATTGTCAATTCCAATCCCCGACAGGAATTTCGCTCATTGGACCAAAACCAGTAATTCACTTGTCTTGGCCATGGCCTTTCCCTTTTTTCTTGCTTCCTTTCTTTTTTCTCATGCAAGCGCCCAATGTGGTATGGCCAGTTCAGTTCTACCGATGGGGGTGATCGGCAGGTCACTTTACTTTTTTCTTTTTTTTTTTCCCTCTGTCTCGTGCGTGATCAGCCTCTTCCCTGCCAAGGACGATTGGATCGTCGCCTATATCCGCCAAATGGGGTTCTCATTTCGATTTTGCCCTCGGACAGACCGAGTTTGAAAGTTTGCACATGTCGGAATCTCGAGATTTGCGCAAAGTGGGCAGACGAGCGGCACGGAAAGGGCCGGGCCCCGGCGCTATCACATCCAAGGGACGTCGGTTTTCCCTTCCAAGGCCAAAGAAATGGGGCATCCGCGGGCAACCACGGCCATCCCTGTTCGAAAATCCAGGTCGCTCGGGCCAACTTGAGGGCAGCCAATCCGATGACAGAACAACCCAGTAAGCCTGACGGTAATGACCGTACAGTAAAGAGACACCGTAAATTCGTAAGATGACCGTAATCGATCGACGGGTAATGCAGCCCTCCAAGGTTACAAGCAGATCAAGTGACCGACGCAGCATGCGAGCAAGACGCTTCATGTTCCACTTTGGCTCGCACAAGTGACACTCAACCCGTAGATCGTGCCTCGGAGATCGCACCGTTGCTCCACAGACGAGTATTCATTTCCAAGTAGGCCTGAGCCCCCGAGGGCAGGGTTGGGGCATTGAGGGGTTGCAGAGAAGGGCAGAGAAGGACTCCGAAGATAGGAAATGGAACAAAACTCACCTATCAAAGATTCCATCCGTGGCACCGACCCTGCCTGGGCCTGCCAGAATCAGGTGTTGAAACAGAGCGAGTGATCCACTCAGCCATGGCATTCTCGAGGGTATTCCTAATATCCGAGAGACCATGGAATACACCCGGTAGTCGAGGACTGGGCGTCTCCTTGTGACGCCATCTGACGCCTTGGATCCATCTCTTTTCTGAATGATGGGTAGAGCAAGTGAAACACCGACACTGTGCGAGGAAGGATCTGGACTCGATGCGACACGAAATATGCCCATGGCAATGAAACGTAAAGCGACATAACCAAGATAGATGCTTTGCAGAACGTTCCATATCCAAGCGGTGGCTGAGGATGATGCTGATTGCTGGTCTGGGAGCTCATCCTCGGTCGAAAGCAAGCCGAACTTTTCCAATCGGTTTACATCAGAGTCCGGGGCGGATTTTGTGTCATCTTGGGTTTGACGGCGTCCCACTTGAGCGGCGAGTTTGCCTATAGTTTCCCAAATGAACCACCCTTCGCATGCTCTCCCACTGACTTGGTTTCCCAGAATCAGATCTGCTATGATATCGACCACCAATGCCCTGAGACTGCTATTCTCGAGATCTTCAGTCGGAAGAAGAACTGCTAGTATACCGTTAGCCAGGAGCCGTCGATAAATGGTTTCACTCTCGCTCTGCTCGACTATTGTGGCTGGATCCGCTGTCTCAGGTACCGGGGAAAGGCTGGGATGTGGATTGAGCTCATGATAAAGCGCACGGTACGACGTTGGTAGACCAGAAAGATGTGACTGTTGCCTGGCCAGTCTGTACGCTGGAATGTCAAAGTCAGCAATGTTTCTCCTCTGCGCGGAACCACCATGGATTCCGACAAGAAGAACTTTAGAGCGTCAAGTCTCACAGAGTACATGTGCTTCCACCAGGCCAGGGATCTCGTCAAGGGCTAATTGTGCAACATCGATTTGGCGCAGCCTCTGCTCGAGTGCACGCGTGCAATGCGCGATTACTTGTAGTACTTCATTCACAAGCGCCTGATCAGGGGTAATTTTCGAGTACCACGAGTAGATAAATTCCTTTATTATAATGGCAAGCAGGGCGTAAAGTTGACGATCAACGTCATTGGAGCTCGTGAGGGGAGGTAACAGCTCTTCCGGAGGCGGTGGGGAAGATGCACCATAGCTGCTCGTCTGGGGACACAGTACGCGTCTGATTAAGGCAGTGGTAGCCTTGTCGCTGGCTGAGTCCAGGTCATCCTTGCTAGAGGCTTTTGGTGTACGCAGTCGAGAGGAAGGACGCGAAGGGGGTTGGAGTGCTGTCGGGGAAGGCAACGCGGTGGATCTGGAGCTGGAGGTTGTCGGCCCAGCCTTGAGATGGAATATCGGCTGCAGGCCGGGGCGGAGCGAGTCGCTCATCTCATCTCATAGACCTCCAGAGTTGGTTCAATAGCTCACCAGAGACAAAGCGTTCTCTGTTAAGACGCAGATAATCAAACGTTGATGATTTGTACCTGACCCAATCTGGGCTATAGGGCTTAGGGCTGGGAGATAAGGCTTATCGGCCTCCGTCGATGCGGGGATCTGTTGATGTCCAACTGTACTTAAGACACCCCGGTGGCCTGTTGTTCTTCAATTGTATTTTATGCTCCAGAAGATACACCATGGTAGACCAAGTTGACCAAAATATTCCTATTCCTTTGTGGTTGGACTGCGATCCTGGTCAGTCCATCGGATCCCTCTCACCTAGACATTACTGACTGTCCATTTATAGGCCATGATGTAAGCCTCGAAAGACACCTGGGCATTCCAGAGAGACGTTTGTTAATATGTTATAGGATGCCTTCGCGATTCTGATTGCCGCTCAGCATCCATCGTTAAACCTTCTTGGAATCAGTACTATACACGGAAATGCATCGTTGGAAAAGACAACTGCCAATGCGGGTAGTGTTTTGGAAGCGATCGGCAAGCCAGACATTCCCGTCTATCCCGGCAGTAATAAGCCATTCTCACGACCTGCCATTCATGCCCCTGATATTCATGGTATGAATTGTATCTCTTGTGACCCCAAGATCTTACTGATACTTCTTAGGCGAATCTGGCCTTGATGGGACTGACCTTCTTCCAAAGGCTAGTAGAGCACCTATCACTGATAAAAATGCCATTGCGGCCATGAGAGATGCTCTTCTTGCACAGCCCAAAGGAACTCCTTGGGTAGTTGCAACTGGCACCTACACAAATGTCGCATTGCTGTTTGCGACTTTCCCCGAGGTGGCTGAGCACATCCAGGGACTGAGCCTTATGGGTGGCGCCATTGGGGATGGATTCACCGATGCACCCATGAGCAGACTTCCAGGCGAAAAATCTAGGATTGGAAATGTGACGCCATGGGCTGAGTTCAATATCTATGTATGTTTTGAAAGACCTTGTCTCTTACTCTTCTAGCTCCACCACTAACTACGGGACATAGTGTGACCCCGAATCATCAGAGTCAATCTTTAGCAATCCTGTTCTTGCACCCAAGACCACTATCATCACTTTGGATCTCACTCATCAGGTTTTGGCCTCACAGGCCATTCAAACTCGCATCTTGCACGGCTCAACTGAATCGACGGGAGAGCCTACTATCCTTCGGCAGATACTGCACGCGCTTCTCACTTTCTTTGCAGCCACATATGAGAAAGCATTTGGATTGACTACTGGACCCCCACTACATGATCCTCTTGCAGTGGCTGTGATCTTGTCGACTCTGAATCCAGTCTTTGCCAAAAAGCATCCGAACCAAGCTCTTGCTTTTGATGATAAAGGTGGCGAACGATTTGCTCTGAGCATAGTCACAGATGGACGCCATGGCAAACATGTATCCGAGACTGGCCAACTGGGGCGCTCGATAGCCGTCCCTGTTGATGGTCCGGGTGTTGCTGTTCCCAGGGGAGTTGACCTAGAAGCTTTCTGGAACATGATCCTAGAATGTGTCCAGCTGGCTGATGACTGCAATGTTGCGCGCAAGGCCTGATCTACGACATATTGGAATACACGATCTACTTGAGAGAATTTACACCTTTTTACCGGGAGTTAGACCCTCAATGACATCTACAGCTACAGAATTTAGAACAATTTCTTTGATCAAGGCCAGATGCAGGAATAAGAGAGTGATTTTTAGCACATGGAAGTAGTCCCACAGTATTTCGAGTGGCCATATTGTTTTGGAATGAGTTTGTTCAACGAAGAACGAGTTACGGGTTTGGACAAACTTATCGGCCTATTGAAAGCACAAGTACTAGCACATCCTACGAAGGGCATACACATATCTAATACCCCAGATACTCTCCTTGCCAGCTGGTCTAGTAAAACCTCACCGAGATAGTATTTATGGGTCTCGAAATGCCCCTTGGGATTGCCAAATCTGTGGAAGGCAACCGATGCCTCCGTGGGGCCCGGATCAACCCGATGGTGGGGGTTTGGCTATTGATATACATGAAAATCGGTGGATAGGATCTATAAATCGATGTAAGGAATCTGAATGCAATGAAAGTCATCTCAGGATCTTATGTGATTGGAATAGCTGCACTGCAGATGGTTTGCAGCAAGGAAGACTCCACCTGTTCTCTGCCTTTACCACTTGCTTAGGCACATAGAAATCATAAGAAATCCATTGATACCCGATTCAAGGCATTCTCACGCCAGATCTGTTCATCTTTTCAGGCGTGGCCCTGAGCCGGCTGAAAGGAAGAACGTCATATGTTGTCCGCAGAACTTCTCCACATCTCAAACTGAAGCCTCACGACTCCGTACTCCGTAGCACTTCTCAACATTTGTCATGGGCATCTGTTCCCTTAATCTATTGTTAGTTGCCATATATATTTATACTGACTCTTGGCCCTGTTGTATGGCCACATTGATCCATACTCCTTGACGGCGCATTCCGATCAAGATGCCGCCCCCTAACACTGAATCAGTATGTTGCATCCCACATGGACTCAGCAAGCATCGCAACCTGTCTATTAGATGTGAATTAATCGGTTTCCTTAGTACGGCACACCTGCCCTTTCTCCGACAACCCCGGCTCCTGACCCTCCGCGTCGATCGTCGATTCCCGCACCTGCCCCTGTGGAGACCGATAACGCCCACGATGACAACGTGAACTTCCTACGATCGCGCCCAGCTCTTTTCAACCCATTACTGCCTCCACTAAGCCGACACCGTCGCCGTCGCTATCCAATCAACCCAGCCCTGCCAGAAGAGGATCGCATGGAGGTGGACGACCCCAACCATTCACGCACGCCCGTCGAACTCAACCATCGCATCCCTATCGTACGTCGCCAGGAGAGGTCAACTGATATGCCGAACTACGAGGGCCGAGTGCCCAACTCACGGTCCTTGTATGGCTGGGCACCCGGGTCAGATGACGAGGAGGAAGTTGCGCCAGGCCTCGAAGAGTCAGAAGACGATCAAATGCGACCGTTCCTCCATGCCATCTCCAGTCGTGGTACAGCCCCCGCACGACCTCCACGAAATGAGGTTCCAATGCCAGGGCAACTAGTACCACATGGATATGAGGCGTCATCGGCCAGTAACCGGGCTCGGACGTCGATCTCCACCGTGGCGGCTTTGTTGCAGTCCACACGACGTCAGCCCCGGCTTTCAAGAACGCGCACCTTGGAGAACTACCTCATAGATCGTTATTCAGATTCCAACCCAGAGCAAGATGCCGAGAACACCGTGGCAACTGCATCCCGTGCCTATCGCTATCGTCCTTCCAACCGCGCCGACTTGCATCATACCAACCTCACCCACAACGATCTACGTGCTCGCGCCGCCGCGCATCGCCAGCTCCACCCAGACACCTACATGAGTAATGTTCTCAAGGAAACGATCAACTACCTCGATCGTCTTCGGTATTCCAATTCCCTTGAAGAGAGTATGCTTGCCGCGGCGGATAGTCGGCTTCCCATCGCGATGGATAACAAGTCTTGGAGAGATACGGACTTCATTCTCTACACCCCCAACATTGCACCGCCAGCGGCATGCTCATGGCTCCGATCTGGGATGGCCTTTTCGGGCCATCAACGAGCTGCGAGCGTGGGGTGCTCCGTGTTATCGCAACCCGTTCCTAATCTGAATGCCCCCGGTGAACCGGTCATTGTAAATGGAAATGACAGCGCCCGATTCAGCGTGTCTACCTCAAGTGGCCGCCGCTACTTGGCTAACAACCGCGAGGAACACTGGCCCGTCAAGGTCACGATACACAATATCAATTACGAGGACATGACCTTATCTGGCACCATGGAGGCATACAACATCCCTGATAAAACTTCGCCTACGCATGATGCACATATCATCACTTTCTTGGAGGGCGAGATTATCGATTTCAACAAGCATACACTGGAGACCAAGAACTTCAAGGCCGATGCAGATATTGATAGCACGTATTGGCGAGAACTGCAACCATTCAAGGACCTGACAGATGCCGAGATGGCTCGAAGTCTCGTGAGCCGAAAGTGGATCACAGAGGAATTGTCCAAGGGATGGATCTTGATGAGGTGGAAGGGTAAGTGGCAGAAGCTCATGTCCCCCAGCGTTCTCTCTATTCGATTTCGGTTTGCTGACATACTCTAGAACGATGCTTCATCACCCCCACCGATGCTCGTCAAGGCCTTACAATCTCCGGCTTTTATTACATCTCTCTTCGTCGCGAGGACGGGCAGATTGAAGGGCTGTACTATGATCCAGGAAGCTCGCCTTACCAGCAGCTCTCTCTCAAGCCGGAAGTACCGAAAATGATTCGCCCTTCTTACGCATTCCGCTAAACGAAGGCCTCTGGTGCACGTCTGTTTCTTGTTTTTTTATTCTTGTTTTTTCTTTTGGCACAGAATAATCTTCTGGCCCTCTCTGTCTGAAACCTCAGAATTTACGATTAGGCGTTCCGGAAAACGTCGGATGGCATCTGACATGGCCCTTTGCATAGCTCGGTGGTGTTTCTTTTGTTTGGTCAATTATCTTCATTTCGTGTGTGGCCCTTTGGAATAAACACTTGGCTATCAACTTGCCGGGCTGCTGCTCTCATGTTTATCGAGGGATCATTACTGTCACCCTCTCTTACCATTTGACATTCTGATCTTATGTATCTATGAATTGGCAGAAACATATTGCATGTTAGCAACAAAAATAGAGATTCGTTGCCCGCCATGAATCAGTGTTTACTTATCAATGGTGATCATCAGAACGAAATGGGTTGACATCGCTATCTTGAGACTCGAAGACCTGGCTTCCTATACTCTTGTCATCCCCGAGCCATGAAGCACAGAACATCCCATAGATCTCCGGGTCTCGGACAAGGCTACCGTCTGTTCGAGCATAGAGACAAACTCCCAGGGTCAACCAAGCTTGAGGCTTGCTCTCATTGCTCAGATGACTGGCCTGTCTCGCTAGGAGTTACACATTCAGTAACCTCGGCATCTGGGCCCACGGCACTGCAATTCCAGTTCTGGTTAGTTAGAGCGAGGAGTGTATCTGATACTCGCTTGGAAACGCTCCTCTTGATGTACCCTCCCGATTCAGAATGTCAAACGTAATAGGAATGCGATTAAGCCAGCCCGGATGGCAATGGAAGTAATATCGAAGCCATTCCCCGCAGATACCGAGCTGATTAGGCTTCAGCTGGTAGCTGAGTGGCCGCATGGACTTGCCCGATTGCGGCAAGTCTGAGGAATAGACGGAGGTTGCATGCTCCTGTAGATCATCTTCTCTTTCGGCTTCTTATCTCTCCACCATGTACTCTGTACTCCGTACATGGTGGCTTCAATCTTGGCTGCGATGATTATTTATTGCCCCCGTCCCCTTCGCTGAGAGGAGACAAGTCGCGCGATGCATTTACAACGTCTTTCGCTTTTAGCGGCGATCAGCTGCGTGGTCCAGCCTGCGATCGCGGTGCCTCACGGGCCTCGAACTCAGGAGGGAACTTGCAAGAAAACGAAAGTTGCGATTCTGTGCGTATTGCCTTTGCTTGATTGTTTCCAAAGCTGATCGAATATAGCGGAGGTGGTGTCGCTGGTATCACTGCTGCTGTGGGTTTCCCCCTTCATCTCCCCAACCATCGTTGACAGTCGATAGCAAGCCCTGACCAATGCCTCTATACACGATTTTGCAATCCTTGAATACCGTGATACTCTCGGCGGTCGGGCTTTGCATAAGCCGTTTGGCAAAGACAAGGATGGAGAGCCGTATACCATTGAGATGGGCGCTAATTGGGTATGCATGTCTGAACTCGGTATCTGCATACAAGGGTCACCCTGACAAGTCGCATAGGTGCAAGGCATCGGAAACCCAGGAGGTCCGCAAAATCCGATTTGGCTCTTGGTATGTTCCACCAGATGTTGATTGACTGTAATCTGACTATGGAAAGGCTCAACAATACGGACTGAGGACTGAGTACTCCAATTACGACAATGTTTCCACCTATAACAAAGACGGGTACTCAGACTATAGTGAGCTATTCGATGCCTATGATGAGGCCTATGATATCGCCGATGGAAAGGCAGGGGAGATCCTTATTCAGAACCTCCAGGATCAAACTGCCAAGTCGGGCCTTGCTCTGGCTGGCTGGAATCCTAAATTTGACGACATGGAAGCACAGGCTGTTGACTGGTGGTCGTGGGGTAAGCACTGTCTCCTACTACGCTGGACGCTGGAAGATTAACATTGAAACCAACTAGACTTCGAGGCTGCTTATTCGCCACAAGAAAGCTCCTTTGTCTTCGGCGTTGCAGGCACCAACCTAACCTTCAACTACTTCAGCGACCACGATAATCTCGTTGTGGATCAACGAGGCTTCAATTTCATTTTCAAGAAGCTAGCATCAACTTTCCTTCGCGATAACGACCCCCGTGTTCACTTGAACACCGAGGTCACGAACATCACCTATTCAGACCATGGCGTCACTGTTCACAACAAAGACGGCAGCTGTGTCGAGGCAGACTATGCCCTCAGCACATTCTCACTAGGAGTCCTGCAGCATGGCGCTGTGACCTTCTCTCCAGAGCTCCCAGACTGGAAACTGGAAGCTATTCAGAAGTTCACCATGGGAACATACACCAAGATCTTCTTCCAATTCAACGAGACCTTCTGGCCCTCCGAAACCCAATATCACCTCTACGCAGATCCTGTCACCCGCGGCTGGTACCCAATCTGGCAGTCCCTCTCAACCCCGGGCTTCCTCCCAGATTCCAACATCATCTTCGCAACCGTGACCAACGATCTCGCCTACCGAGTCGAGCGCCAATCAGACGAGCAAACCAAAAAAGAAGGAATGGAAGTTCTGCGCAAGATGTTCCCAGACAAGGATATTCCCGAGCCAACCGCATTCATGTACCCACGCTGGACCTCAGAGCCCTGGTCTTACGGCAGTTACTCCAACTGGCCGCCTTCCACAACCCTAGAGATGCACCAAAACCTCCGTGCCAATGCTGGCCGGCTGTGGTTTGCCGGCGAGGCTACCAGTCCGACATTCTTTGGTTTCTTGCACGGCGCATACTATGAAGGGTTGGATGCTGGCCGACAAATCGCGGCAATTATCCAGCACCGATGTGTGAAGTCTGACTCTAGTCATTTGAGAGAATGTGGCCCTCGCAAGCACTATGAGACTTTGCACGGCACATCGCCGTATTCAGACTACACTAAGCTCAATGGATGGGATGTGGATAGTTTCGTCGATAACAACATTGATTAAGCAGAGGGCTGAGCACATTGGAAGTATCGGTCCATACGTGAGGCTGTAGTTCGATATCTAGGGTAATATAATTGTGACGATATATCTCGCTTTCTTCGACTTTGGATCTAAAGTGTGCAAACTGATAGAGGTTCTGTGAAGCTAGCGGCGTGATAGATGACAATATCAAAAAGCCGAATATGACTACGAAGGTGTATAGCAGCCAAGGGTTGGATTCAAGCAAAGCCAAGTTAGCTACCTGAACTTGTCTATATTTGGACTGCTATCGACATCGCTCATTACTGTACTGTGAATCATAGTCCATACTTGAAGCAATTACTAGCATATGAGTCTTGAGAAATGAAGAGAATATCTGTAAAAAAAATTGGAAAAGACATCGCAAGGCTGCAAACGTGGCCGATTAGACAAAAGACTTCATTTTTGCCTGCCGGTTTTTCAAGATAGGAACGTAGATGCCTTGACCATGCACGTCGTTAGGCTTTAAATTATAGTCAACGCTGGTGATTCTATGAACAGATATTACAGATATTGCTTTTGGGCTGCTTTATTCAAAGATTCTGCTTTTCCCTCGCAGCAAAGGCCCATAAGCCCTAAATATGATCGGAATCGGGATCATGATTGCGGCCAAACTACCAAGCAAAGTGCCAGCCCATTGGATTCCCACCTTTTCAAACATTTGCCTCGAGAATAGTGGAAATCCTGCGGCTACTGCTGATCGAAGCATGATGTTGGCAGCAACAGCAGAAGCAGCACTGTAGTATAGACGCGTCAGTTAAGTCCATTGATTTCCTCGGGCGAATGCCTACACTGGTAAATAGGAATCAACAATATAGTTGAAGCAGGGAAGAAAGATACACAGTACTCCAAACCCAATAAATATTCCGGCCATGGCGGGCACAGCCCAGTGGATTTGAGAGGTGAATCCGGTCCAGCCAAACCTGTCGAGGTATGGATTAGTAGAGCTCATTCTGAGAGAGCGTTATTATACTCACCAGAAAAGACCAATTGTAAAAACAGGCGCTCCTAGAAGTGGTGGAGCAAGCCGCCATTCAGGCACCGGGATACCCTGGTTATCTGCCAATTTTCGTGCATAGTTCAACTGTCCCAAAAGGATGAATGCACACGCGAGTAACACTCCAACAATCAAGCCAATAAACATCAGTCCAGCGATGGCGGGAGTCATCCCATGGACATGTTCAAAGACAAACGGATATGCTTCGAGAAGTGCATAGACAAGACCGTAGATGAAAGACATGTAGATCGAGACCACGAGAATGATCGGTTCCATGAACAGCAGCTTCACTGGCCGAGTGAAGTACTTCTCCACGAGATCTGCAAAATTGATCTCAATCTTCTCTTGTCTGGCATGAATTGCCCAGTTTTTAGTCTCTTTGCGGATTGCAGCAGCCTTCGCCATGAGAATACAAGGAGGATAAGTCTCATCCAGACACAAAACACTCAATACTCCATTTGCCAGGCTGAACATTGCCGGGATATAGAGAGTCCAGCGCCAGCCGAGATAACTGGACGTAATAAACCCACCCAGGAACGGAGCCATAAATGGTCCCACAAAGACAGTCAGCGCATACAGCGAGATTGCCACGCCGCGAGTTGCGTTGTTGTATAGATCTGCTAGTACGCCGGGAACGACGGTAAGTTGGCTGGCACCAAACATGCCAGCAAAGAAACGGCTTATGATCAAGGTTTGAATATCTTTGGCAACTGCTGATGCCACGGTGAAGATCCCACCGCCCAACATACCGATGGTCAGAGGCCATTTCCTTCCCCGGAGCTCTGATGCAGGCGCCCAAATAAGGGGTCCGGATGCAAAGCCTAGGACGTAAAGAGTTGTTCCAAGGGTTCCCACCTCTCTCCCGACTCCGAAAGCTTTGCTCGCTTTGTCGATACCCGGTGCGAATATAGCGCTCGTTAACGAGACTATGAATGTGCCTGAGCAGACCAGGATAGAGTTGAATAGTCTGTGGAAGAGACTCATCAGTTTTGCTTCATGTGCCCATGCCCTTGGTATATGTGGAAGAGCGGCTTACTTCGAAGACAGTTTCCAGTTCTGAGGATGCTCAGGGTCGTCGATCCCTTCAAATTCCACCACATAGTCTTCTGGATTGAGAAGAGGGTCTGGAAATGGCTTGCCTCCTCCGATAGACAGCTTCGCATGAGATTTGGACATGTTGGAGTGACGATCGATAGATGAATTTGTCAAGATTGATGCCTAGTATACTGCTCGAGAGCTTTGCTTTCCCGCAGTGAGGGCGAATTCAAACCCGTACTGCCATAGAATCATCAGACTGTAATATGAATATAGAATAAATTTGTAGAAAATCGATGAGAGCTCTCTGGGACTAAAGAGTGGAGGATGAAACATCGTATTGAAGCACGCCGGGTATTGCGGATAGTAGGAAGCAGTGTCCCCGATAGGCTACATGCCTTTTTTTCGCAACTTTTCACGCCGATGACAGGCTCCGAAGATGGATGATCAAGTTGATACATTCCAACGCAGATTGGACAGATCCGACAGTTCCCATTTTGTATTTTTCGAATCAGCCAGGACCAATCCATGACCCAGGTTTGTACTATGGCGTGGACCTCAGCCGATCCTCTTCCTTTTTAGTGGCTTTCGCGGGCTTTCTCCCTTCATGACTGCGACTGTCTCATCCAGCGTCTCTGAGAAAGTGATGTGGTACAGCTCTTCACTCATCTGGCAGATTCTGTAGAATCTCCCGGCGGCCTCAAAGATCAGCTCCCCTCCCTGCGGGTTGCACCTAGCAACGGTTCATTGCCCAAGCTCATAGGCAGTGGCGATTTGATAGCCCCAGGTCTCTGGTGTGACCCATTCACAGAAAGCAGAGGAAACCAGATGTACCATGTTACCGTCAATATGATTATATCAGAAACAACACCGGAGTGATTTCAAATGAGTCAAGCACAACATCAGTATGCTTATATGTAATGAGAAACTGCCACTAGCAATATACAAATCCCCAATTCACTAAGTCTCAAGGCCCTATCCAGATTCACCCAGGAAATTTGAACCATGAATCATATCCGCATGTAGGAACTGATCGAGGTCAACTCTTTGCAAGCCAGGTAGATCAGCGACGAAAGCCTCTAGCCATGAGTATGCTTCAGCGCTTGGAGATTCTTGCTGAGATGATTGTTCAACGGGAATACCTTGCTGTTCCACGTTCAAGATGCCATTGAATATTGCAAGGTCATCTTTCCTGCGCTGTTGATGGAGCATGACTAACAGGCGAGCGGCATTCCAAGCCTCTCTCATAGTGTCTGTATCGTAAGTAGATGCAACGAGTTTCAGTGTCTGCATTGCTTCCGGAAGCATTGCTACAGATGGACGGGTGTCCATTACGAGCAAGACGCATATAATGTGGAACGGTACATTGGCTATGTGTTGCCAGGGAGTGCAGTCCTTGATCATAGTGCGTGAGCAGGCAAGTCCTTTCTTTAACAGTTTCAAGGCCTTTTCTGTTAGGTGGGAGGAGAGATCAAGATTCTGTGTATGGACTCTGCGCAGGATACATAGCACAAGATTGCATTGTGCCATAGCCGATGGGGGCTCCTCATGACTTCTTTCTAGGACCTGCGATAGCGTTGCTTCCAGGTTTGTCTCATCATCTTTGGATTTTCCCGGATTGAGGCTTTCTGACACGGGCAAAAGGCCGAGTAGCTCGTGTGTGTAATCGCCTTGTTTGGTTGATGGAAGCAAGGGTAAATCATCTTTATGGAAGAAGACTCGTGACAGGCCAAGATCGTATGAAATCCACAAGTTCTGGTGGAATGCCACGCCAAAGAGTCTCTTTTGAAGATCTGGGTCGATGTTTGTATCACTACTGCGTGGAAAGACCGAGTTTGCAGAGTTTAAATGCAAGCCTGCAGCTTCCACTAGATGCATCAATTTCGAACTTTCCATCCATGTTGAATAGGGCACATCCGTCATTCGCATGTAGACAACCCGTAACATCCATCCGGTGAGGAGATCCATTGGAGGAGGGCCAGTAAGAACATGCATTTCAAGAATAGAACGTACAGATACGACGAAATGTAACTCCGTGACCGTCATGTTTTGTTGAGAAAACAGACAGCCTAGGGCAGCAATACCACCGATGACACTGTCATATAGACTCTCGACTGAGGTTGACTCCCATCTGGCCTCCAGTCGCTCCAGAAACTGGGCACGGTTGATGAAACCATAGCATGGATCAATCTTCGTGAAGTACACATCAGCAAGGGCCCTCATGTGTTCCAAGGACGTGATGTCTGTGATAGATAGCGCTGTATGAACACCCTCAAATGTCGGCGTTGATCGTCGCTTTCCAATATTCCACCCAAACAGACTAAGCTTGGGCGCTTTCGCAGGATCGATATTCAGACCCATCTTTCGCACAAATGCGGCACCGGAATTCGCTTCTAATCGACGATCCACCCCGTGGGTATCTGACAAGTCGTTTTGCTTGGGGGACTGTGGTATGCTAATTTCATTGGAATGCTCTTCTTGGAAAGCATGGCGTCTTCGTCGTGGGGTTGATTTGTAGTAGCAGTCATAGTCCCATTGACCGCATGTTTCGCAAGGATCAGCGCCGTCGCATTTTCTTTTGCGTTCTCGGCATGGCTCGCATGCTACCCGCGCCCGCTTGCGCTTGGATTCGGACATCATAGCTAAGAACGGGTCGTTCGGCGGAAGAGATTCGGGTTCCTAGTGCCCTGCCAGGTATAGGGGATGGGGCGGGTATTGCGGAGAACGAGGATCTGCGGGCCACTCCCTGGGAACCGTGCGGATATTGCGGGGCAATGGGGTGACGTCGATGAAACAACATCCACAGCTACACAGCTTTTTGCCCGACTTTCAATCAACTATCTCATTCTGACCCCGTTATTCAATTCTCAAATTGAAGCACCACACCATGACCGTAAGCCTACTGTCACGATACCCATGGGTATCCAGTCCATTTGTGGTCAGCGCGCCCATGAAAGTCATGTCCGGTCCAGCACTGGCAGTAGCTGTCTCGCGCGCCGGCGGGCTAGGATTCATTGGACCAGGTGCCAAAACACAAGACACAACTGAAGACCTCGAAAAGGCATCATCTCTCATCCGCCAAGGAGACAGCACAATACCAACTACTAACTCTGCGCTCCCCGTCGGCGTGGGATACCAGCTCTGGGCTGATGATATCAACGTTGCTGTCGCCGCCATTGAGAAATATAAGCCATGTGCAGCCTGGCTCTACGCCCCACGTCAACCCACAGAATACGATGACTGGTCTAGCAAGATCCGTCAAGCATCACCGGATACCCAAATATGGATTCAAATCGGCACATTGAAAGAGGCAAAACAACTTCTACAGAATATCGAGCGACCAGATGTCATAGTGGTGCAAGGTGCTGAGTCAGGTGGTCATGGTCGAGCGAAAGACGGAATGGGACTTCTGGCACTGTTCCCAGAAGTCGCAGATGCTATGGCAAGCAGTCAAATCCCATTATTTGCGGCTGGTGGGATTTCCGATGGGCGCGGTGCCGCAGCGGCGATGTGTCTCGGAGCTTCGGGGGTGGTCATGGGGACTCGATTTCTGGCTGCCAGTGAAGCGCGCATTAGCCAGGGTTATCAAGATGAGGTTGTACGTGCGGTCGATGGTGCAGTCTCGACCACACGCACGCTGTTGTATAACCATCTCAGGGGCACTTATGGATGGCCAGAGGAGTATAGTCCCCGGACGATTTTCAACAAATCGTTTGTTGAGCAACAGGAAGGGAAGTCTTTTGAGGAATTGAAGAGGCTTCATGATGAAGCTGCGAAATCGGGCGACAAGGGATGGGGGCCTGAGGGAAGACTTGCGACGTATGCTGGGGCCTCTGTGGGCTTGATACACGATGTGAAAGATGCAGGAGATATTGTCCGTGGGGTTCGAGAAGATTCATCGGAAATAATTCAGCGGCTGTCGCAAAAGAATTAGACCTGTCAAATTAATTCACACGCCTTTGGCAAATTGAACAGAAATTAATGCAAATTAGCGCAAAACTGGACATGTTGAGAAAGAATATTTGAGGATTTATCAATAGAAAAATCATGATCCAACTTGCTGCTACGGACTGCCATAGGATATGGTACCAAAAGACAAAAGAACTGAGACACCAACTCTTCAAGTAATTACCTCAATTCAGTAGTAACCAGCACTTAATTCCGTCGAACACTCAAAGATTTCAGGTCCCACAGGTCTCTTAATGTTGCGCTAACGACAATTTCACCATCAACGGGTCCCGCTCCCAGATATTGAACGATTTCTGAATGTTCCAGGTGGCCGAACGCTCATCTAGTGACATGTCAAAGCTCCAGATGACCTTGGCTGCAATGAGGCGCATTTCCGCATAGGCAAGACTGTGGGTGGTTAGAATTAATCAACTTTCCTGGAGACGTCACAACCGAAAACTCACTTTCGTCCAAGACAGTTGCGAGGTCCAAGCGAGAATGCTTGAACGGCTGCCCGATTGTCCGACTCAAATCGTTTGTCCCTGCTATCCAGCCATCGTTCGGGGATGAAGGAGTCCGCTTCTGTGAAAAGCGACTCGGCATGGTAGGTAGAATAGTGGGCTCCAGACACAGAAACCTGTTTGGTGTCAAGATGTAGAAGGTATCACTTGTAAAAAGGGAGACATACGTTCTCGGCAACAAACTGTCCATCGATCAATGCACCTCCCTTAGGTACAATCCGCGGTAAAACGGCCGGTATAGGGGGGTAAACACGCAAACTCTCCTCGAGAGCTGCATTTAGATAAGTCAGTTGGACAACTCTCTGGAAATCAATCTCATCGTAAGATTTGAAGCATTCTCGGATCTCGCCCACGAGCTTCGCATAAACCGAGGGATTCGTCAGAATGTAATAGGTAAATCCAGAAAGTAAACTAGCGGTAGTTTCGCTCCCAGCAATGATCAACAAGGCCGCATTTGCTTCCATTTCACGTGTGGTCATGGACCGATCGTCGTTATACCGTAGAATGTAAGTCATGAAATCCGGCCTTTCGACTTTATTATCCAGCCGGCGATGAACCTTCTCCGAGGCCAGAACAAAGCTATCTTCTCGCATGTTTCTGAAGTTGGAGGGGATCAGACTCTTGACAAGCGGTGCCAGGAAAGGGTAGACCAAGAGTGGGCGCGATAAAGCTCCCACTTTCACGCTCGCAAAAGTCATCTTGACCCACGGGTGGTACTGGCTTTCGCGTAGGCAGTCAAAAGGCTCACCAAAGGCTAGATCACCAATAATATCGAAAGTGGTGAAGTTGTACCACCGAGACATGTCGACGGTTTCCTGTGATCTTGCAACTTCCCCCTTCAGCTTCTCAACCAAAATGTCAACATATGACTGGACTATGTCTTCTTGCTCGCGCAAAGCCCTCTCGGAGAAGGCATGAGAGAGCAATCTTCTTTCTCGTGCGTGATCGGCGTCATTGGCGTTAATAAGATTGGGCCCGCGTGGCCCCTGGAGGTAGAATTCAGGGTCTTTCACGAAAGATCCAGCTTGCGACTTTCGATGGCCGTAAATATCTTTCCATGCCTGTGGGCTGCGATATACAAGACTTTTGGGACCTGTACGAACTACATCCCCATACCTATCATGGAGCTCCTTGAGTTTGTAATGATATTGCCCCGTCAATGTCCAGTATAGGTTTTGGAGGTTTGTGCATGCGGCGAGCTTTGGACCAGGAAATTTCGAGAGAGGGCTGAGGTATAGGTTATAGACCACGGTCCATAGCACATATAACAACGGCTGAAATTCCTTTAACACAGGCGTTCATCTACAAGATGTAAGGAACTTACAGTGATAATGAGTAGATAACCGATATGTGTCGTATCCCAAACTTGTGTTCTAGGACTCCAAGGTACCATGATGAGGTTGGATAGCCCGTCCGTCTTCAGGAACCGTGTTCTCAATATCTTGAACAATTGACGATCAAAACGTGGCGATTTGAAGAATTTTATCAGCGATGCAACTTTGTAGAGGAAAAAGAGACTGGAACCTGCATGCGCCTTGTGGGGAAGGATGAAAAGGGATCATCTGCGAGCAAGAGGGATGTATTTATAATGAGGGTGGGAGAGTAGAAGTCAGATGACAGAAACAGATTTCCATGAATGCCAAGTGAAACGATGACGATACTCTGCTTAAGCATCGTACGGACTTTCGGATGGCTTCAGTCCAGTGCCCAATTGGCATGGTTCAGGGTATGGTGTCTGAAGAGACCCCGCATCTCAACACTCTTGTTGAGCATAAGTAGCTGCAGGGATAACCTAGTCGCCCTATGCTATTGGCTTTTAGAATGGCTGCGTCTAAATCAAACCTAGCGCTGTGTCTGACAAAATAGCAAGGTGAGGCTTTTTTGTATTCGACTCTTCATAATATCATGGCAATGAGCTTATGCAGGAAAGGGACTGCATAAACATCGGCGATCCCAATGCTACAGCCACATTTCAACATCCTTGTTGAGCTGCATGGATAGGTGCAGGAATTAACCGGACTCCAGTTGCTCGTTCTGCTATTGGAAATAGCTGGGTCTAGATCAATACTAGCGCAGTGATTGACCGAAAAGTGTTGTCCCGTGTTCGATTCCTCACAACACCAGGGAGTTGGAGTTATGCCCGACATAAACCGGATAAAAGTCAGAGATTCCAATATTGCGGCAGTAAGGGGTTGATGTGCATAAGACAGGGAGATTAACACAAGCCAGCTCATTGCCTTGCCACAGGAACCGGCATCACTACCCGAGATTCACAGTGATCTAAGAAATTCCGTCATCCAGGACTCGTCAATACTATTGAAAGCCATGACATCGGGGAGGGTCACTTCAGCCTGCATCATATTAGTGTCCACTGCACTATTCGCAGGTATATCCAGTCGCCACGTCTCCACCAATTTTGGTTCCCAGTTCATCTTCAAGCCTCGAACCATTCTCAATCCTCGCTCGAATGTGTACAGTTCCCTATTTGCGTGAGGACTGAGAGCCTCTGTACACCTTTTGAGGATAACTTCGTTTCTGTCCAGATATTCAAGAACATTGGCAGTGTCTCGGACCATTGTCTTGGACCATGCAGGGTCTTCCAGAACCGTGAGCTTGTACAGATTGACAATAGTTCGGGTGAATTGGAAGAAGATGGCAGGCGGTGCCTCGAGATAATCCTGTCCTTCAAGTTCCAACCACACGTCTAGCCAGCCCTTTGTTGCCTGAAGCGAGGTGGAAAGGCTGTCAAGGCGATTGATGTCGAAAGCGTGTGGAACAGCGGGGTTTCCGATTGATATTTCGTTGATTATGATTTCGGCATTGTATAGGTGCATCAATAGGACTTCTTTTTCTTGTTAGGTGTGACCGTAAAATCTGGAGGGAGGGAGTAGATCCCTACTATGCTGTTGAAGGTAAGGCGGAATTTGGCTCTTCACGTTATCTAACTCCTTCTTGAAAGTACTCAAATAGAAAGCCAGCGAAGGTAAAGGTTCACCATCACGTCGCAATTGATGAACTTTGTCTAGGATCAGATGAAGCTTAACTTGCGCAACCAAGAGCTCATCCTGAGAGCACTCTTTAGCCTCAGCGAGCACCGAAAGACTTTCTTCCATGTGTGGCGTCCAACGCATGGCGTCGATCCTCGACATTGATAATGCAGCGCTGACGGTAAAAATGTTAGTGGTTATTTACAGGGAGTTTATCTGGGAAAGTACCTTGATGAGATCAAAAAGCACCCCAACACAGCCCTTATTTCCTCCAGTGTTCTGGGTGTAGGCAGACTTTGTTTTAGTCCAGTGGCAATTCTGAATGAATGCAAAGCCGAGTTCCCATCTGGGGCACTTTGATTAATTCCAAGCTCAGCGACAACTGCCATTAATACATGTGCGTAGATGTTGATGAATCGCTTGTTCGCTTGTGAGACCCTGAGAAGTTGTAATGAGGCGAACAATTTTCTAGTGATGCTTTTTTTCCCCTACATACCATGATACAAAAGTCATTACTCCGAGGAGAAGATCCATGCTTGGCGCAATGTCGACCATGACCCTTTGGTGAATATGGTTGGTAATTCTTCCGAAAGAGTCTCCTTTGTTTTGGTCTCTAAAAGTGACCACTTCCATAATGCATGCCCAGAAGAATGGATATTTATGTCGTAGTTGATCAGATGTCATATTAGCAGGGATATAGACAAAGGGAAGATATGTCAAGTTCCGAGTGCGGAACTGGTCGAGGTATTGTTGACCCATAGCGGGTGGCACGTAGATCAGGGACGAGACCTCACGGCCATCTAAAGAACGATGTTGAGGGGAATATAGTGCTTTCGACATTGGCGGGAGGGAAACACTGGTTGAACTATGACTGCTCGCTGGTGCAGGTTGACTTGGCGCATCTCGTTGACTCGGTCCTGGATTTATGAAGTCCCATTCCGGAGGGAGACCAGGGCTCACACCACTATTTTGAAATGCAGACATTACCCAATCGAGTTTCGCCTCGCGATGATTGGTACTACGGCCTGACGGCCGTTTACTGCGCTTGCGAACTGTGGGCGCAGCCCGGCATTCCTTGCTCAGCCGTTGGCATCTACATTCGTTTTTAGTTGAGACTAGTGCCACAAGCCATCAGTGCTACTCACCTCTCGCAACCAGCCCCAGTTACAGACAGAACACATCTACACTTGGCACGGGAACAGTTCATACATGCGCGACCATATGGCGCAGGGGTCCCACTTGACATTTGGGTGGTCTCCATCCCGATGTCCGGTGGAATTCGGGATTGAAAAGAAAGATTTATTAAAGTGATACTAAGCCACCCCTCAGATTTTGAAATAAGATCCAAATAATACAACAGCCAAATCCTCAAGAGGAGAGCACATTTGGAGTTGGAAGCTGGAAACCCCGAACCCCGAACCCCGCTGCTAAACACATGAGCTCCACCAGTGGATCCTCGGGATCTCGCCGGTCCGAATAATAGCTGACTCATCCTGCCTGATGCGGACTGCTAGCCCTAACTTGGATATGTACGGCGTTAGTCAGTGATGTTGATCATTGCGAGTGCAGCAGCTAGCATGGGCACTGGTAGGCTCGTCGGTGGACTATGTCCATTATTTTGAACTGTGTGATATTGTCCAAACCATTATGTAAAGACTCAGGTTTCTATGCAAAAAGAATATTTGCTTACAACAATAGGCAGTTAGTATTCTGCGGCAAACCACTTTGTCTCGCAGCTTCTTTCTAATTCTGTCACATAGTCTCATAATTTAGTATAGTTGGACCGCTGTTGGAAGGGCTTTTGGCCTAATAAACCCCATGACTCATGAACACTGCCGGGCAAGAGAATTGGTACCAATTCCTAGCAGGGGTTGATCATGGTACTGGCCAGCGAGTGGCAAAGATTCCCATTCTAACAATGTATCTATATGTCTAGCTATTCTTCTGCAAGTAACATAGGTAGCCAAGGATTGCAGTCTGAATTGCCGTGTCACCCTTGAGATTTCCGTGGACCGTGGGAGTATCCACACGCATGTTTGTTCAGGCCCTGACTAGTGTTGTTGTCTTCCTATTCGACATCTTTTTGCCGAACTATCTTCAGTCTCTTATTCTGAAGGAGGCAACTGGAGTCAACGTTGGGGTGATCATGGCCGCTGGTGCGAAAAGTATCCGATATGCAGTATGCTGATAAGATCCCGGCGTGTTGTAGCGCTTATATGCAAAATGTAGACCATGGATGCTATATGGCCATAGCGACTAGGGCGTGGGGTGGGTTCTTTGCTTATAGCATGGTTTAGATACCACAACTGATGACAGCGAGCTTGCTGCCCCAGATAAGGCCCCAGAGTAACGCCCTGCGGACGACCAAGGGTGAATAAGTCTGTCTAGTCGTGGGTTCTAGCAAAGCATATGGTGCCGGTTTGCTGTTTGTTTCCGGTGGTTTCAAATTACTCTCTTTTTCATTTAGTTATGAGTTTGTCCTGCCTAGGTGTTCGCCGATGCCATTGAGCATAACATCATTTTGCTCAGGCAAGAATCTAACAATAGCGATGATGCCTTTGAAGAGTTGTGCTTAAGCTACAGCGCTGACAGTGCCTAAGGATACCCACCAACTAACCAAGCAATCTACACGAAGCACACACAGATGTTGTCATAATGTATCTTTTTGTCTAGGTAGACAAGATTTCTAGATGCCATTGACGCTGCGAACCCGAATGAACGGGACACAGCGATAGACTAGGTGATTCGAAATGACAGGTTCAAAAGACCAAATAGAGATGTCACAAAGCCTGGTCAGCCAAAACTCCAGCCCCAAAGAGCAGGGTAGCACTCCGAGACCAGATGATGGCTTGGACTATCGATCCATCCCAGATGTATTCCTCCTTTGATTCCCACCACAAAACCCCCCAATCAACCCTGACGCCTTGAGACCTGCTACTCACAGCCTCTCAGTAGAAATAATCTATTGCTCGGTCTGGAAGTAGTTGAGGAGAACGGAGCGCTCCTGGGACTCCTCACCCCAATCCTTGACAACGACGCAAGAGCAGTTGACAACCTTGCGGGCGTTACCCTCACGGTCGAGAGTGCCTGTAGAAAACCCGTTAGCACATGCCCAAAGATCAATACCAGGAGATAAGAGAGAGAGAAAACGTACAGAGACCGACCCACTCGCCGAGCATCTTTCCATCGGGAACCTTGATGAGGGGGATCTTGTGCTCAGAGCAGAGAGCGACAACGAGCTTCTTGTAAGCCTCCTCCTCGCAACCCTCGTTGAGGACACACATGTGAGCCTCGCGGCGGTCGAGAGCCTTGGCGGCCTCACGGAGACCACGGGCAAGACCATCGTGGATCAGGGAGATGCGCAGAACACCCTTGAGGGCGTCCAGAACGGACATCTGGCCGCTGCCGGCATCGGCAGAAACCTCAACCTCCTCGGCGGGGGCGACGTTGGTGGGCTCTTCTCCGTCCGACTATAGTATATCTTGTTAGCATGCGTACTAGAAGAGGTTGGTTGGTTGAATCATTGTCTTGCGACTCTTGAGACTTGAAGTTGACCGAAATTGGACTTGGTGCAGCACAGTGATAGCGCCGGCGACGAGGGGTAGCGTCTAATGCGCCGGCGGAATGGCTTCGCTGACCATGTCCATTCCAGTGTCTCAATCGTCGTGACAAGATCGTGGCATGTGTGAATATCCTAAAGGAAATCACGCGAGTGTGAAACATACCATTTTGTATGCTGTTTATGCTTGAATCGGATGATCCTCGAAGAGTAGAGTTGTATGAGATGGAGATTAAAAGACGGTGCGGGCGGCGTAAAATTCCCGCTATTTTCGACTTTCGGCTGTGTGTGCCCTACGATTATGTCATCCGATGTCCCGGGTGTTGTCACGTGACCAGGACGGATCCAGACGGCCCAATTTGTTTTGATATGGTACATTGAGCTGATTTGTAGCTTTGAATAGTATTATCTGCGTGAATAAAGTCTGTCTACCGCTTCAAGGAGACACAACGGGTTTGAACTGGAGTTAGCACCTATATGCTTCCATACTACATTCACCGACCCACGGGCTAGAACATACGAAAGCAACTTGGAAGCCACTGGAAAGCTACTTAAGAATAGTAGATTCGTCACTGAACGCAAGAGGTATCATAATCGTACAATCAGAATCCGCCCTGTACACCGTTTCGCTGGATTGCTGCCATCGCGCCGGGTCCCGATAGCTAAATGCGCTAAAAACAAAACTAGACGTATGTACTAGATCGAGAATGGCCATACCCGTTGAGGTGACCAGTTCCATTGACTTCGACAGAAGAGTCCGGGCCATGGCCGTTGAGGTGAGGAGCGCCAAAGCCTGCGCCAGCCGCCTGCGGCTCTGGGTCGATGTGCATGTTCAAGAATTGTAGCTCAAGACCGTGAAGGTGAGGGATGTGAGGGACAAGGTCTGTGAAATCAGAAAGCTAATAAACTCGTTAATGTCATGGCCGTAAATTGCGAATGTGAAGGGACTTACTCTGATCCAGAAGACGTGCTCCATCTGGAAATACTTCGGGCGTGTGTCACAATCCCTCTGCATAATCTGTCCAACACTAGATTCCTGGAATCCGTCATCGTCCGTGTAGATCAACATGCGACGAGTGACGCGCCATAGGTTCATGCGTTGAGTCGGTGTCGCCTTTCGCTTCTCCCAGCTGGGGTATTGTGAAAGTTGAAGATCGTTGGTAGCTAGTAGAGGTGCAACCAAGTAATTCGGAATCCATTTCTCGTCGGCGATATCCACACTACAGCCAGGATCAAGTTGACGGCTGAGAGCAGTAACGAGGGGCATGAAGGCCTTGAGCCAGTCGTGACTCTTCGCGCGGGGGTTGTTGGAGCCCACGAGGTTGGCTGCAACACGAAGGCGACTTGGAAGTGCTTCACGGCGTCGGTGCTCTGCTGCCTCCCGGTCACGGCGCGCCTTGGCAATTCGAGCGCGTTCTACCTCCATCCTCTTCAGCCGGTCGTCCTCGGCTTGCTTGGCGCGTTTTTGTTCAGTCTCCTTTCGTTTGCGGTCCTCCTCTTCGGTCTTTTCTTGAGCAGCCTGAGCAGCTTGGTCGGCTTCTTCTTTGGCAAGTCGGTCGCGTTCGGCTTCGTCTGCTACACGCTTCTCTTTCGCAGAGCGCTCTTCATGCGCTTTTTTTATTTGAGCTCGTCGACGCTCATCGGCTTCGAGCTCCAGACGCTTCGCAACGGCGATAGGGTCTTGCACCGTATCCACTTTAGGCTTGTGTGAATCCTTTTTCACATCACCGTTCTTTCTGATGGGGTCACGATGAGGTGAAGCTGAGCGAGTAGGAGGTTTCTTGGAAGTTTCGGTGGATTTATGTTGTTGAGAGTCGGAAGTTCGAGTAGAATCCTCGTGGGGTCGGCGAGAGTGAGGAGCAGGTTTTCCAGAATCGTCGGGTTGTGGCGATGCACCGTTCGTAGCAGTTGACAACGACTTCTCTTCAGAAACAACTCGTCTCTTCTTTTTCCGTGACTCGGGAGACAAGCGATCGCTATCTGTGCCACGTGAACGAGATCGTTCCGGAGATCGATCAGTACGAATGCGCTTCAAAGACAAGGTGTTGTCAGATCCTGCGTCAGCACGGGGTTTTGGTGCCTCTTCGCGACCCGAGAGTGAATCAGATGAAAACAGACTAGGTCGACGCTCTTGAGGTCGACGCCCTGCTATGAGTCGTCTCTTCCGGGTCTCTTCATTGGGTACCATTCCACTGGACTCGCTGTCTCGCCTGGCCGACAGTGAAGATTTGGGTTTGGAGGTCTCTGGTGGCCGTGATGAATCCTGCTCTTTCGCACGTCGCTTTTCTTTCGCTGAATCATTTTCTTTCAAGGAATCACGATTTCTGCCGACGTTGGGACTAATGTTTGATTTCTTACGGGCGACAGGAGAAGACGATCCCCTGCGTGCCGCACGTTTCTCCTCTTTCTCTTTCCCACGCGCTCGGCGGGGTGAGTCTTCCTTGCGACCCTTCTCGGAACCAGCGAATCTCTCATAGGCATCCTTCAGAATCTGATGTTCATCTTCCCAGTTCTCACCTTGTCTACCCTGGGACAATTCGAAGTATGTTCGGTCTTCAAACAGTCGGCGCGTGGGATTGAATCCGGGTTGGTTCAGGATGAGTTGAATGACAGCGCTGTTCCCTCGGCCAATTGCAGCAAGCATGGGCGTGTTGTAACCCGGTTTCTGACCGCGCACCGGGGTCGGATCTGCGTCGGCATTTCCCATTGCATACAAAAGTGAGAGGACATCGTGGTGACCACCCTTCGCCGCAGCAATTAAAGAGGCAGTGTCGGCTTTCTGCAAAATATTCAAAATGCTGACCACTCCAGCCTCGTCCCCCTTAGCAGCAAACTCTCGGAGATTTTCAAAGGTCGGTTTTGTCCATAGCAGGTCATTTCTTGTGGCTTCACTTCGTCCGCCCTTTCGTCGATTTGACGTGCCTACTGGAGGAGGGCTACGCATAGGAGGTGATTCCCGGGGGCTAGCTGCAGATCCTCTGGCTGCGGAAGCACGTCTTGAAGAAGGCTCCTTGCTTTCTGGTCCAGTGTGTTCCTCCGATCGTCGACCAGGTCGCAAAGTGGCCTTGGCATCCGCGAGTGCCTTCCGCATCTCTTCATACTCATCGTCGTCTAACTCCGAGGGGACCAATTCATATGGCTCATCACCCTCCGCATTCACGGTTCTTGGGTTTGCACCTGCGTCAAGCAGAAGTTTGACCACCTCAACATTTCCATTCTCCACTGCATCAATTAACGGAGTGTCTCTGTCGATGTTCTTGGTATTGATTTCGCAACCTGCGTCCAGCAGGAACTTAACGATTTCGGCCTCGCCAGCAAGCGAGGCGATCTGCAGGGGTGTGTTGCCTGCATTATCGGGAATATTGATATCTTCTGGTCGTTCGGCGTGGCGCATCATCACTTGATCATGTTTCCGGTCCGCGCATGCGCGTGCAAGAGGAGTCCGGCCACTCTTGTCGCGCAGCTTCTTCGGTCCCATCTGCTTGGCAGGCGATGCGGATGCAGCTGCTCCAGAGCCGAGCTTCCGCAGATGCGCCCCCGGCAGTGGAGAGCTGCTCTGAGATGAAGACGTCGATTGCCTATCTTCGGAGCTATGTCGCGCAAACCCTGTGAGGAGCGGTGTTGGTGCCTTTTTCTTGTTCGGATATTGAGAGCCTGAAGCAGATCGTTGGTGAGATGGTCGATTGGGTGACATCGATCGCGCATTGGATGGTGGCCTGGAAAGGCGCGTGTTGTTCGTATGCTTAAGCTCTCGAACAGGATGGGATGCTGCATGAGAGTGTGCGCGACGGCGATCTTGTTGTTCCTCTGCACTCTCACTGAAGCTTCGCTTACGAAAAGCGCGAGGTCTCCCCGACGCGTGCTCGATTCCATCAGGGGCACCTTCGGTCTCTGAGATCTGAGAATCATCAGCTTTTTCGATCTTCACCACCGACGGCGAGATTGCTCGGTGGGTTGGAGAACGAGAGCTTCGTCCTTGATCACGTCTTCGTTCTCCGCCAAATACCCGTGGTTTCTTTCGCTGGTATCCATCAATTCCATTAGGTTCCTGGCGACTCGGGTCGTGCTTGATGTGCTTTCTCTTTTTCTCCGGCGACAAAGACTCTCGGCCCGATTGAATTATTGTTTCAGCTTCCGAATCCGCCCTGGGACTGGGAGGCCCATCCTCCTCCCCTTCTGAATATACACGTGTCGGTCCATCGTTTTCTACCCGTGGACGAGAGTCTGTACGAGCTTTGCGTGGTGATGGGGGGCCAAGAGGGTCCTGTTTCACCGGAGCAAGCGTGTTCTGACCGACGTCCAGGGCAGCTGGTAAGGAGACTGCATCGACATCACTCATAGCGATAGCACTCGAAGACTTGAAATACCGCTCGTCATTTTGGGGGGGTAAACGCGACCGAGAAAACGACCGTGGTCAACAACGCCAGCAGTGGTGCGCGGACGCCGATCCTCGACCACGGGGTTCACCCGCAAAAAGAGTCTTGAAACGTGGGCAATACCGCTCCGAGGTACGGGAGCGATACGGGATGACGGTCGGGGGGAATCCGGTTTGAATTTACTGGTATAGGTATATAGGTCGAGAGTTGAATCGAGGGTTTCTTATTCACGGTGGGAGTTGAATGGGGGAAGGAAAGAGAAGGGAAGAGGAAAAGCGGGAAGGGAAAGGAATGGGACTGGATTCATTGGGTGTAAGGCTCCTCACTGGGTCTGGTTTGGCCACGGTGAATCATCGAGCTGCAGGTGGGATTTACTACTTCGTACTGAAAACATACTTATTTTGGGAGGTGGGGAAGACTGGAACTGGGCAATTTTCTTTTTCTTGTTCTTTTCTTGAAATGCCCTTCAAGGTTGTTCCGAGGGCGAATACGGGGGAGACAATACTGTGATACCGTGACTGCGTGATACCGTGACTGCGAGCAAAAAGGGGGGCACAGACCTCAGGCCGCTAACCCAATCCGGGCCAGTGCAAACTTGGCAAACAGCTTGAGTTGCACTAGACCCAATGTGGTCAAGTGGATTGGCCTCCGAAATATCGCCACTCGTCGGCTTGTGACCGGGACTTGGCTCCAGTTTGTTTTCTGACGGGGTAACCCCCTAATGTCGTCTCTCATAACTCCGAGCTTGAAACTCCGTACGGACACTCCGTAGTATATACATCGAATTCAGGCTCAGCCCTGATTCGAGTGAATCCCGATCGCGCCGAACTAACTCCCAACACTCGGAGCTGAAGGATCGGCGGGGGCTGGGTTTCTCCACAGTAAACACCTCCAAAATATCTCGCTGATATCATCGCAATAACATCGAGGACATACCGAACGGAGAAAGGACAAAAATAAACGCCCCCTTCTCCCCCATTCAAGAGACATGTCTCTGATCTCCCAATGGGTCGATAAGACTCTAGAAGCCACGGGCATGGATGCAGTGGATGCTCTACGCGCGTTCTTCCTTCTGGCCGCCGCCACGGTACGATACGCCCTGTGATAGTGAACACGTCCTGCAGACGAACCCAACTAATGCCCACCCCTCGTATGCAGACCATCTCAATTAGCATTCCAACCCCTCTACGGTCCCGCTTCCTCGTCTATGGCCCTCGCGCAACCTCGGTCTCGAGCTCCACCGGCTCTGCACCATCGAGCGGCCGGAACCCTTCCGCCGCGAGCAAGGGCTTCCTGGACTATCTTGCGACTTGGCAGGTGCCACATAGCTACTTTACGCAGTTCTACGTTGTATCTGTCCTGTCATCGGTGTTCTGGGTTGCGCAGTTCCTATTGCGGGGTGTTGTGTTCCAAGCCATTGCCTCCCGCGTTAGCGAGGAACATCAAAAGCACTCTATGTCCATGTCTCAGCTAATTGTCTGTTGGGCGTTGCTGGCTATTCAGGGATCGCGGAGACTGTGGGAGTGTATTACTTTTTCAAAGCCCTCATCGTCGAGGATGTGGTTTGTTCACTGGCTGTTGGGCTTGGGATTCTATTTGGCTGCTGGTGTTGCTATTTGGATTGAAGGATCAGGCACTATGTTGACCACAAAACTGACCATTGCCCATCTGCAGATGACCAATGCCCCAAGTTTGCGCACTTTCTTACTCGTCCCACTCTTCCTCGTGGCGTCTGGTCTGCAGCATGACTCTCATCACTATCTCTACTCGTTGAAAAAGTACACCCTCCCGGACCATCCCATGTTCCGCGGTATTGTGTGCCCCCACTACGGTGCAGAATGTGTTGTCTACCTCTCGTTGGCGCTGTTAGCTGCGCCACAGGGTGAATGGATCAACAAAACCATGTTGTCTTGTCTGATTTTTGTTGCGGTCAACCTAGGCTTGACAGCTCGCAATACTAAGCAGTGGTATGCGCAAAAGTTTGGCAAAGACTCGGTTCAGGACTGGTGGCTCATGGTTCCTTATGTCTACTAATGTGGAGCTAAAAAGAATCAATAAAGAATCGCAATCTGCCCAGCAAATAGCCGTTATCTCCCACCCACAAACTTCAAGGTGTTCCCCATCTTCGCAACGTGAAGCACATCCCTGTATGTAAGGCTCGTCCTCGTCTCTCGTTCATACCACCCGCCCTGGTACGGTTCCTTCTCCCGCAGAAGCTCCCAGTTGCAAATAGAGAGAGGGCCCAGGTCTTCATCTCTCGTGATTTCTGCGATTCCATGCAGAAGATCCGTGTACATCTTGCTTCTCGTGACCAGCAGGCTCCTTCTCTCCTGCAAAATTCTGTAATGTGGTCTTCGGTTCCTACCATGCTCCTCAGCGACATCTCTTCCTGCCTTGGCCAGCGTATCGTCCTGTCTGCAGTCGCCTTGTGTATGTTTATGGTAGACATCGAACACAATTGGCGCCCCTAGACTCACTGTCGCGACAAGGGGGTAGTATGCAGCTCCATCTTCGTGCGGCATAATTCCCTGCCCCGGCCGGTACTCGTTCACCAGGACATGGTTAGGCGCCTTGTGTGGCGCATCGTTGAAGATACCCAGTGCTGTAAACCGTGGCTCGATGATCGGTGATCTGAGCCAATCTGGTAAAGATGATGCGAAAAGAGCATTGTTCTGAGTGAGGGCCGATGGCCACGTTTGAAGCCTGCGGTGCGAGAGTTGAGTCCAGCGTGGCAGAGGCGCTGAGTTCACCTGTGGGTTGGAGTGAGTCAGATCTGCATATGCAGCGAGTGACATGTCACCTCTATCATTGGAGAAATGTCACTTGATAGGGAAAATATACCTTCCGTCACCTCAATCTGGACCCTACACCACGGGGTTTCTCATCATACAAGCTCATAAGAAAGGCATTTCTTACCTTCTGAAGTAACCATTGTTCCTCGTCCTCTGTAATGAAATCCGGTATATAAAATGCATCCTCAGGCAGCGCAGTAATGCGTGCAGCTTCAAGGTCAAATCTCATGGGGCCTCGAAGCTTGAATTGGTGCAAAAGGGTCGCCAGTCCACTCAAATCCACACACTTGAGGGGTCAATAGTTCGATAAAGTGGTTGACAGCGCGAGCGAAGACAAGAAATAGAATCAATTCGCAGACAAGGCAGAGAACGACAGCATCTAAGCTCAGATAAATCCATATGCATAGCTGATCACTCTGTAAATGATCATTAAATTGTAAATGTGTCCAAGTAGAAGTCTACGGGAGCTACATTCACGTCACACACCTTTCTGCCTTGCAGCCTGAGGCGGCATATCACCCCACATCAGGATCATCAGAACCACCAACCGAGGCAGAGATCACAACATATTGAAACATCTCATCCACGATGGCACCCAAGAACAACGCTAAGTCTGCCAAGGGCAAGGGCAAGGATGCCTCCGCCGACGACACCAAGGGCAAAGGTGGAAAGGGAGGAGCTGTGAAAGGCGCACAGTCGATTAACGTGCGACACATTCTTGTATGTTCTTTTATACTTGTCTTTCTCATATGTAGTCGTCTGTTCATGGTGTTGGATTTTGGCCCTTACTATACCAGGCTCGTGGATTGAGGAAAGTATTGTATCCAGATTCATACTAATCATGTCTAGTGCGAGAAACACGCTAAGAAAGAAGAAGCCTTGGAGAAGCTGCGCAACGGTACCAAGTTTGACGAGGTGGCTCGTGAATTCTCAGAGGATAAGGCTAGACAGGGTAAGCAGGTTTCAGGATCGAGCGCGGTCACGAACCAAGTGGATCATGGCTAATTTCTTGCAGGAGGATCGCTCGGTTGGAAGACCAAGGGCGGCCTGGATCCGGCATTTGAGAATGTTGCCTTTGAACTTGAAACTAGCACAACGGCGAACCCCAAATATGCTGAAGTCAAGACTGGGTTTGGATATCATATCATCATGGTTGAGGGGCGGAAGTGAGCTTCCTCTGAATACATACATTCTCAAGACAAGAAAAGCATTTGCAAGAAGATATACCCGGAAAAGATTCGGAAAAGATATAAAAGAAAAGGCCATTTGCAGGCAATAAGTGGTGCTTTCTATTTTGGGAATCTAAATGCTCTTCGGACGAAAGCTTATCTACAAAGCCTAATATGACATCGGAACATCCTACAGCTCTTTTTTCGCAGCCTCAAGCTTGGCCCTTTCTTTCGCCTTCTTCTCTGATCTCTGCACCACTGCTTCGGCACCAATGCCGCCAAATACCAGACTGATTCCTAGCCATTGGCCACCAGACAAAGAATGTCCGAACCAGAACACGCTGAGAAGCATAGTCAGCATCTTACGAGTCACTGTGACTGTGACGAGCAGCAGCGAAGAGAAGCGAGACAGAGTGTAGAAAATAAAGAGCTGTCCGACAGCACCGCACGCTGCGAATCCGAGAACATGTTTCAGCGCCTCGGGGTGACGAGTGAGGAAAGAGACAGCACCAAACAGCTCAGTCTCAGTAGATGGAGGGATCGGGAAAGGCAGGAGATTGTGCAAAATACCGCTCTGCGAGAGATGCGGCATGATCAGGAGATATGCGGAAGTCAGTATGGTAGAGAGCACATTCTGGGCAACCATCATTTGGGGGCCCGTAAAGCGGGTGTACAGCTTGGGCGAAGAGAAGACATGGTCTTGCGTGGTGTTGGTCAGGCCATCAAGGAGTAGGTTGATGGACAACAAGAAGATGCCCCATCCAGAGGATCCAGACTGCTGCTTTGCGGCAACCTTCTTGCTAGTTCCTGGGTGGTGCAGACTGAAAGTTGCGACGCCGAGAGTGACCATCAAGACAACACCGTACTTATACAGAGGATATCTCTTGCGGAAAATGGCCAGGTGCAGGACCATGACCGGGAGGAGCTTGCATGACTTGGCGAGGATGAAGGTCAGGTAGTCGATGTGTTCGAGACTGGCGTAGCCGAAGGGTGACGCGAGTGACGAGGAGATCGCGACTAGAAACAGTGGGACGAGGATTCGGCGCGTGGGGAAGATAGATGGGACCTTCTGGCCCTTCGGGTTGGAAACCAGGAGGTATGTAAAGCCGGTGATAGCTGCGAATGAAGATTGAATCGTGTTTAGCACGAGAGAGTAGGTGAATCGCTCTGTTGGAGGGTTTGGCTCCGCGGCGGTTGCCGGACGAATGGCATAGCTAGTCGTCGTAATCGCCTCTTGCAATACACCCCATGAGAGGCTTTTTGTTTGTCAGTTACTCATCGCATCTCGAGAATCAGGCAAGCATGGTTGAAGCACTTACAATGCCGCATATATACCGAGGACGCAGATCACAAGCTGCGTCAGGCCAGGGCTATCGGCAACTGTCTCCAGAGCCACTGTTGCTTTTTCGGAGACATTTCCATTCGCAGTAGAAGGCGTGTCTGCCTGGTCAATCGCAGAATTTCGAGGCACATCAGACTCGTCTGAGAGGTGCATTAATTGAGAAGAGGGGGCTCTCTGGAGCGGCGCGGCTTGCTTTTGTCGTCCCATTGCGACGGAGGAATTTAGCTGGAAGATGCAGAAAGAACAAGACAAGGCGATACAAATTATGCGAGTGTACTTGAGAGGATGGGAAGCAGTTTGAGCCTATGTCGATGTTGTCATAAGGATGCTATGTTCCTGAACCCTGAAACCAAAAAAGAAATACAAGACAAGATGCCATGTGTTCTTACTTCGACTTATCGATGATCGCCGCCCCACATAACTTTTTTTTCCTGAAGAACGCAGGACAACGCGAAGAATGAGCCTGAGATCCAAGGATCTATCACTCGAATCTATCACTTAGCCTGACAGATTCCAAGATTCTTATCTTTTGAGTATACATCCCATTTGGGGAAAGCGGTGTCAACAAATCCAGATCTATTCGGGCGGTGAACCCCAAAAATCCCGAGATTTGCAGTTTCGCGACCAGAGCTCCCACTCTTGATCTAGAGCTTTTAAGACAAAGCTCCAGAAAAGCCATGATGGCAGACATACAAGAAGCATCCAATCGCCCCAGTGCATCGGCAGTCAGCCAGCACATCACCACAAACGGCTACGAACCCCCTCATCTCGCAGCATCGGCCCAAGTCCAGCACAACCTCCAGCACCAACACCTCTGGACTTCCATAGTTGGAGATACCATTCCTGGACAAGCAGGGGACTCAAACACACTTCAAAAAGACCCCCGCCAACCCCCACAAGAACCAATTCCTCTCCTCTCAGGCTACCCTCCACACCGTGTGTACACGCATCCAGACGAGCAGCTGTACATGTTAGAGAATGGAATTCGCGAAGACGACCTGGAACCGGAGCGCATGTTTGTGGTGCCGGTGATTCAGGGTCAGCCGTGGACTCTGCGCCATATGGCTGCTGTCTTTGACCGGCTCCCTGATTTTAAGCAAAAAGCCGAGGAGCTTGATGGATCTGTTGATCATACAAACCTGAAGCCGGAGACAGATGATTCAGACCCGAAAAAGGCAGAGCAATTGAATCGATACTATGAAAAGAAAGAGCAGGCTCGTCTGACTAAAGAATGGGGCTCGCAAAAGCTGCTGCTTGCTATGGTTGATAAGGGCATGGGTGGAGACGGGACAGTGGCATATTATGTTGTGCATGAAGGCGAGGTCAAGCCAAGGCAGAACTGAGTGTGCTGGGTAGCTCCGATATGTACATAATTTACCTATACATTTTTCTGCCTCGCGGGGTAACGATGTGACGAATACATTTATTCCTTTATAAGACTTGAGATAGCATTATTATTCAAAATATGTGCAGCGTAATAAAGGATAGGTCATGAAGATATGCACCGAGACTGTACACAAGGAATTCTCGACGGATGATCAGCTAGCCACCGGGTATAGTGATGAGCGAAAAACAAGAGGCAACAAATGCTAAATGGCTGCACTGGATGCTCGACAAGATGCTCAGAGAGACGGCTACAAACTGCAGCAGAAAGAAAATTAAGGAATTAGATCACCACTGTCGTTGAACATGACTTGCTCTTGCTCCATACGGCAACTCGTGCAGTACTCTTCGTACCACTGCTTGACGTTGTCAGCATGGTCAGCGAAGATACGCTGAGCTTTATCCGTCGGGCTTGCCTGAGAGTCATCACCCTGTGAAGCCTCTCCGCCAAGAAGGACCTCGACCTGGCGACAGCGCCGAACCTCCTCGCGAAGCCAACGCTCCCATTCGGTCTGGATGACTTCTTTCTCGATGCTGTTCACGACACGCATTGCGACGAGAAGATTATGCCGATACATGCCAAGGCGCTCACGGGTCTGCTGGAAACGCTTGATGGCGCTCTTGGTCAACGCATCTCTAGGACTTGACGTGCTGACCGACAGCGGCATATCGGTATATCGTATGGTTTGCTCGTGGAAGGTGGCAAAACAATCGCTAGTATTCCCAGTACCAGGCCAGATTGTGGAATTTGCGACTGCGTCATCAACATCCCGCATGTAAATAGATTTGGTCATGACGAGGTTTGGCTGTACACCCAGTCGTGCCATGAAATTGCCTGCGTGCCTCTCGTGCCACCAGTCCCAACTATCTCGCGAGGAATAGTATCCGTTCAAGATTGCACTCGTGGTCAACATGACTAGGATCACCTTGTGTACACTCACGGTCTTCCAAGTCCAGCGAACTACACCAAGAGCCCACAGCATCAGGAAAGACACGCTGGTTTCCATAAATGACAGGAAGGTCTCAAGGAGTAGCTCGTGCATAGCACGCTGTTTCCGGGGCTTGCGGGATTCAAGCTTCAGGTTAGATCCAGCACCATTAAACTGGGAGACTTGGCTTTGGCGTCCAACGTGGCCGAAGATCGTGATGGCTTTTTTGGTTCGACTGTGTGCACCCAACCGGCGCACTTGGTCACTCACCAAATCAACAAGATCCAAGGCATCTTGTTCCAAATCTTCACCTGCCCTTTTGTCGATCACATCTAGCTACGTTAGATGATTGCATTTTACTTCAATGGCGCAGATTACTCACTCTTGAGGCCATACGGGGACCACAGCCACTCGACTTTCGTGTAAACAGCTAGCTTGCTCTTCGACTTGGCCTGGAATGTAATAACAACCTTGCTGACCAGCCGGAAGGAACGTCGGAAGGGAAGATGCCATGGTGTCTTTTTATCGGTGATCACGTAGCATAGATGGTCGTTGAGAACATCGATGATCTGATAATCGGAGATGGCATTGTCGTGGCTGCGGCCTATACAAGATCAGTCAAAGCTAGATCACAAGACCTTTCATTAAGCCTACCAAGGATATCTGTTGTGTCGATATTGTAGTGGAAATCACGCCTCAGATGGTTAGATTCCGTGCTAGCCCATGGGCCTTGTTTGATGTCTTTAAATTGTCAGCATGCATCACGGGTGATTGGAGATATTGGGAATCAAACTACCTCGAGCTTGTCTCTCGTGTAACAGAAGCTGCCAGACAGCGCTCTTGTCCCCAAACAATATATGGAACAAAGCTTTGGGACTTATATCGAGGACCTTTTCAGTGACTAGAACAAGATCACCTTGTGGCACATACTCCACAGGTTGGGTGGGGAGTCTGAATTTAGCAATGTCGCGACCGCGGCCAGTTTTGCCTCCATCCAGCTCAAGATCTTTGTCAACGTAAATGGGAAGTCGAATGTCCTTTCCACGGCCCGGATCAGTAGGGTTCCCTGAATCATTTTTGATCTCTGCAAGGCCAGACGAGAGATCTTCCCAGCTATCTGCGCTGGAAGAACGGTCGGGAGACCCCGTGTCCATCTTTATTAATGCTTTAATCAGAGATTCCAAAGACAATTGCTCAACCGCAATTGAGCTTTGGATCAAGAAATTTAGGCGTTTTTGGAGAAGTTTGAGAGGTTCGAGGAAAGTCTTGATCGTGACACGACCAGGCGTATCACTGCCAAGTGGCGGAACAGTATGAAGGAAAAGGAAGTCACAGTCCCGGCCAGAAGCCGCAGTTACTTCTTTGATTTGCTCCAGGGTGACACCAGTGGTCAGGACCAATCCGAAATGATGGCTGTAGAAATAGATGTTCCTTGTTGTGACATAGGCTCGGCCAGGGAACTCTTGCTGGTCATTTGGACTCCAGGTGGCTCGGAATACTAGTACCAATGCCTCCGATCTTTTGACATCTGGGAAAAGCAATCGGAACTGAGCATCTTGAATCCTCAATTGTTGGGGGTAGTAGCTAGGATATTCATGTCCAAGGCCCAGTGCGCTTTTCGTGAGCTTAACATCATCTCCGTCAAGGCTCACTGTCTGCCTGTGACGTGGACCAGATTGCTGTTTGGGTAAGCCCAAAGCACCTGTTTGATCAGGCTGTGCAGCAATGGTGCGTGTCGAAGTGTCACTTAGAGTGGAAGACGGCTGACCATCGACGCTATACTCATCCGGTTCAGACTTGTTCATACAGCCCCAGTTAGAGCTACCCCACAGGTTCGCCATCATACCACTAGGCATTCCACCAGTGCTATCTGAGACGCCTAAGCCAATACCTCTTTCATTGCTCACAACCACTGCGGCCTTGCTCATACTTGTCGGTGCTGGGGGGTTGGCAAGAGTGGCAGGTGCGAGGCTTGAACCAGGCTCGTCGACATTGCTCAAACTGCGACCTCGGTTACCACTATCGTCATTCACATTGAATGGAACAGTGGTGCTGTAAGGGAGAATGTTGTGACTGGCGGAGATGAGACTGGCTATTCCTCCTGCAGGGCCAGGTATGGAAGGAGATAGTGGAGCCGCGTTATTGGACTTGCGGTGAAGATCCAATTTCTGAATAAGTCTGGAAGTATGCTCTCTCGCATGTTCTCTTGCAGAGCCCTCACCATCCAAGCCTGTGAGTCTTCTGCTGCTGCTTCCAATATCGGTACTGTTCCTCATAGCGTACCCATCACGGTCTGGGACGGGCAGTGTCATACTACGGTCTCCGTTGCCGGGCTCATCGCTCATATGGGGGGTAAGAGAGTCCGCCGGGTCTGCAGCAAACTCAGGAGCCGGAGGCTGAGAAATCGAGAAGGCTGGATCCTGAACTGTAACTTTCCCTGAAACTGAAAGATCAGTACTTGCGGGATTTTCCAATGCTTTCTGTTTAGCAGCCTCAAAGGCACTAATCCACCCCATAAGCTCCTTTTGGTTCTCTGCCTGCAGCAAAATCGTGTTGTTCTTGGTTTTCACTTGGAAACAGAACCGGCGTTCTTCCTGGAATGCAGGACGAATACTGCAAAGCAGCACACCAATTCGGTCGCTCTCTTCAACGCCGCCAGTCCGCGTGCCCTGCACAAGACACCCGAAGATGCCATGCTTGAGGAAAGCCCATCTTTTAACCCAAACAGTACGAGTAGGCTTTCCTGAAAGTGTGCGCAAGTACAGCCAGCCTTGCTTCTCTGGCCGTGTCTCTTTACTCACGTTAATTGTTGAGATAGGACGAGAGCCAAGGTACGGAACAGTGGAGATATTATAGTCTTCCAATTCGCGAGACGGTCGAGCCGCAAACTCCGCAGCTTCCTCAATATGCTTTCTGGTAGAGAGAAGCTCTCGTTTAGAGGACTTTTCACTCCCTTCCATCTCATGAAGCCAACCTTTGATACGGTCCATTTCATGTGCCCATTTCGTGAAGGTCCCACCGTTGTGATTGTGGAATCCCCGGAATTCCCGCCATTGATCGTAAGAGATCTTGACCAGAAGTCGATCAAGCGCATTTCTTATCTGGGGAGCCTGCACTGAATAATCCATAGACGCTTTCAGGTATGCTTTGTGGGCTTCATGGAGCTGGAACGCTTCTTCTCTCAGAGCCGAGGCTTCCTTGGATTTCGACTGAGAAGCAAACCGAGCTTGGAGGTAATCGTACGATTTCTGGGATTGTTCGAGATTGCGACGAATTTCCTGTCGCCATGTCAGATAATTCCACATGCGAACAAGGCGCTTCAGTGAGTCCTCAGTACCTTGAATTGCCGCAAATCTTCTTGGAGGAACTCTCGAATAGGTTCGGCAATTAATGATTCCAACTTCCTAGTTGTTGTGACTAGTCCACTCCAAAGATCTCTGGATCCCTCTCCACACCTCCTCATAGCCAGAAGTGTGTAATCATGATCAACAACCGCTTCCGACACAACGAGGGGATGTGTCGAGTAGGAGAGAAAGTTGCTCACAATACTCTCCACGGCACTCAGCTCGGAGGAAAGCTTTGTTGCAGCCTTGGCATATCCGTCGAGCCATCTTTCCAGGAAATCGACCTGGTCGGAGAAGTAGAGGGTGGTGGCGCGGAAGGTGGGTGAGTCGAGTGCAGCTTCTTTGAGGCCGACCGGGCTGAGGATTAGACGTATGTGTTAGTATGCAAAGAAACATCTCCCCTGGACAGATTTATCAGTTGCTCACACAACGCTCAGAAGCTTCCCCACCTGGGGTAAAGGGGTTTGTGTTTGGTTCGACATCTAGTGCATGTCTCCAGCCATACACTTGATGCGAGCAAAGACCGAAACACGAGCAGCTTGGATAAATCTCCTACAGATCCACCGCTCAATGATGTAGACTCAGTGATCAATTTAAGTTCGAGTCCTGGAGAGACCCCACGTGTATGATTTTGCTCCTTGCGGTGGTCTCGACTTTGCGAGCGACCTCAGCAGCCTCCCGAGGTCTAGGGACGAGATGATCTAATTGGCTACGTCAGGGGTCGGGGTGCCTGCCTTGGTGCCAGATCCCCAAGGCAACCACAAGGCGGTTCATCGAACGAGGGCGGTGTGAGATTTTTTTTTCTTTCTGCCATTTGGAGATTTCACTGAGTCGATCTCCAATCACATATCTGATCACACAAAATGGAGCCTCCTTCTAAGAAGATGCGCAAGCTCTTGGAGCATGACAGCGATAGCGACTCTGGGGATGATGCTGGTGGAGTTCTCCTGGGCAAGCAGTCGCCTGATGCGGGTTTCAAGATCAATGAAGACTACGCTCGTCGATTCGAACACAACAAGAAGAGAGAAGAAGTTGCGAGACGTACGTGTGGCTTATACTAATATCTTCATGTGCCTATCAAATATGCTAACCGATTTTTGATCAATAGTGGAAGCAAAGTATGGCAAGTCCTCCAGCCTTGGAAACCGCCAAGTTGAGGACTCTGAGGATTCCGATTCTGAAGAAGAGGATGACGATGCAGAGCTTGCTACACTAGCTCTGGATGCTGAGATCTCAGCGACTTTGCAGGCTATTCGTTCTAAGGATCCCCGCGTCTACGACAAAGAGGCCAGCTTCTACACCAAGTTCGACCCGGAAGCTGCCAATGCCGCGAAGAATCCCAAGGAAAAGTCGATGACTCTGCGAGAGTACCATACTGAAAATCTTCTGGGTGGTGTCAACCCAGCCGAGGAGGAAAATGTCCCCAGAACCTACGCCCAGGAGCAAGCCGACTTGAAGAACGCCATTGTCAAGGAGATGCACGGAGCGGCAGACAAGTCGGATGAGGAAATGGAAGATGCGGACGATTTCATGGTCCGCAAGCCTGGTCAGGACATTTCGTTGCCCAAGCAGGAAATCAAACTCGACATTGAAAATGCGGACAAAGACCCTGAGACTTTCTTATCCAACTTCTTGTCAGCACGAGCCTGGATTCCTGCCGACAGGCCAGAGCTTCATCCGTTTGATTCGGATGATGATGACGATGATGCGAGGGCCGACGCCTTCGAGGAAGCTTACAACTTCCGTTTCGAAGACCCCAACAAGATGAATGAGGTGATTGTCACCCATTCTCGTGATCTCACCAACAAGCAATCAGTCCGTCGTGAGGAAAAGAGTTCCCGTAAGAAGATTCGCGATGCCGAGCGTCAATTGAAGGAGGAGGAGAAGAAGCAGCGCGAGACTGAGAAGAACCGTCTTCGTAAGCTGAAGACTGAGGAGCTCCAGAAGAAGGTCAACCAAATCAAGGAGGTTGCGGGTCTTCGGGCCTCAAACTTCACGGACGAAGACTGGTCTCGTTTCCTGGACGCTTCCTGGGACGATTCCAACTGGGAATCGGAGATGCAAAAACGTTTTGGTGAGGATTATTACGCCGGAGAGGAGGGCCAAGACAGTGAAAATGAAGAAAGCAAGAAGAAGAAGAAGCCTAAGAAGCCTACATGGGATGATGATATCGACATCAACGACCTGATTCCAGACTACGAGGATGACGAAGCCAAACCGACAGTCGAAGTATCGGAAGCCGAAGAGGAAGATGATGACGAAGCTTCCGGTTCAAAGAAGAAGAGCAAGGCTGAAGAGAAGCGAATTCAAAGACGCGAAGCCCGCAAGGACCGTCTGCGCATCGACGATGCGGTTGAGCGCAATCTGGATCTCGATATCACCCTGCTTCCCGGTGCCACAAAGAAGAACGCCACAAAGTTCCGCTACCGTGAAACCTCCCCACAGAGCTTTGGCTTGACGGCGCAGGATATCCTCATGGCAGACGACACACAGCTCAACAAGTTCGCTGGTCTGAAGAAGCTGGCTTCCTTCCGCGAAGAAGCGCAGAAGCAGCGCGATCAGAAGAGACTGGGCAAGAAGGCCCGTCTTCGTGAATGGCGTAAAGATACTTTCGGTGACGAAAATGGGCCGGAGTTCAAGTTCGGCGGCGATGCCAAACCTAGCCAGTCTGACGAGCCTACTGATGAAGCTAAGGTTGACATCCGGGAAGGTGATGGCTCAAGGAAGAAGAGAAAGAGGTCGAAGAAGCACTAGACATATTGTATCTGCCACATCTACTATTGTTTATATCCTTTTCGAACCAATATATGAAACGAATCAACATTCATTATTTCAAGTCAAAAGGCGCTCGCGCGCAGTTCGGGAGGGCCATAATAAGATACATCTCGTAATCATAATGGTCGTGAGTCAAGCGCCGCATTTGAGAACATATATCACACGAAGACTTGACCAAAAAGAGGTTGATGATGTACGATAGTATCGACCAGTTGCAGATATATACAGACGCATTTACCATCTTTTTTCGCAGCACCATCTCACAGATTAGAGCTCAACTGTGTAGGCATTCTGTATACCTATAGGTGTATCGAGAGATGGCAATTGCTCCAGGAAGTATCACCAATATACTCCATCAGATATACCGGTGGACAACGAGATACCCAGGTAGCTCCGAAAGTGGAAAGCTCCCATGCGACCGGGCCCACTCGGGCGCTAGCGGTTGCCGGGGCGAGAGGACCTCGGGAAAATCCAACTTTGGGTACATACGCCGTACATATCTACTCCGTACATGTAGGTATGTTATTTTGGTTATTTTGGTTACCAAATTACAGGTAGCTATGGCAACTTCCTACTCTGAGCCAGACTTCGGACTATATCTGGGTAATCTGCCTCGAGTAATGTGCAAATTCTTCAAATATCAAGAAAGGTGGATCTGATTGGGTACATACATACATACGACATGCCTGGCATTGTCTAACATGTGAAGTACCTTGGTACATCGTCCAAGCGGCGATCTACCACCTTAAAGTTTGTACCCTTGACATATAAATAGCAGCAAGGGAAAAATGTCTCATATCAAAATCAAGATCCCTCACATTCGGCGAGTCGTGCTGCTACAAGACGTGGGAGGCATTACTCCGTACATTTGCTGGGTCTATGCGAGATCTGTCCCCAGCCCTTTATCAGAATTCCAAGTCAAGTATCAGCCAGTGTAGGTTGGGCGTCGAGGAATCCACTCGCCCGAGCCAAACAAAGGCTACGTGAGTACTAGGTAGCATACTGCATCGATACTTGGGTCCTCTTTGAATGGTAAACCAATAGCGAGGAATGCATTGAGATCCGTACAAGAACACCAGAAGGATAGCCAGAGGATAGCTACGTCGGTGGCAAGTCCGAGATATGCTTTTTCACGTCCGGTTTGCCATCGGATAGCCGGCCAGCAAAAAGGAGGTTGCCCCGGGGAGTGGAGGCCCGGCATTGGACAGGGAAATATACACCGTACATCGTACCCCTACGGTAATGTACGGCGCTTGGACCGTTACTCGGGCCTAGGTACGAGAGGGCGACGTGCACAGTGAACCGTTGTAGCCATGATTGATATGTAGAAGAGGCGTGAGCTGTGTGGAGGCTGTAGTGCACCGAGAACGGGTTCCTCGAATCGAAACATCCATTTGCCCATAGGAACTGTCCAGACCCAATCTCAGGGCCAGCTGGCCAGATTGCAGAATTTTCAGTGGATCGGGAGATATCGGCAGGAGGCGACGGAATACAAACACCGAACGGTAAGATACCGTAATCTATCCCTGTGGGCTTCCTGATTGGGTCTTAGCGCCTGGCGGTCGCTTCTTCCCGTGTACAGTAATTTTTTTTCTGGCCCCCCTTCCCGCCTTCAGTCTTCCTTTTTCTTCCCTCTTATTATTCCAGGTGTCTCTTTCTTCTTGACACTCTTTCCATCTCCTCTCTTTTTTTTTGCATCCCGTTTCTTTTGCACTATCTTCAAAATGGGTTCCAGTGACGCTCAAAAGGCCGACAAGTCGGTTTTCGGCATGCCCGTGAGTATCTCTTGAGCTTATGAGCTGGTCTGGATGTTGCGCGAAGAATGATATGAGATGCTCAGCATCAAACATTGAAACCTCGGAACGTGACTTCAAAGACCAGTGACCATGAGCTTGATGTCAATTCCAACTGAACAATCATGCTAACCAACTTTCGCAGGGCTTCGTTGTCGACTTCCTTAGTACGTGTGACGCTTGATCCTTTACAGGAGACTGGCTATTGCTAGCTTTCATAAGGGTTGAACATTCCAACTAACTGATATTTAGTGGGTGGTGTTTCCGCCGCTGTCTCCAAGACCGCTGCTGCCCCCATTGAGCGTATCAAGCTCCTGATCCAGAACCAGGTTGGTCACTATCCGTCAGGCCTCGATTGAAATGGTCTAGGGGTTGAAAATATTCCTCATTTGTGGTTACAATCGTGATTGCAATTGAGTACGGATTTCTGTACTGGACACGAACTGCATTTTCGCATTGATCGCGTCCAGTGAAAAATTTTTCACCCTTGGCCAATCACAGTCGACCTTTTCTCTCAATATCAGCAATTCAGCATCTAACCGCAACCAATCAATAGGATGAGATGCTCAAGGCCGGTCGTCTCGACCGCAAGTACGAGGGTATCGCTGACTGCTTCCGCCGTACCTCCTCCGCCGAGGGTGTTGTCTCCTTGTGGCGTGGTAACACCGCCAACGTCATCCGTTACTTCCCCACCCAGGCCCTCAACTTCGCTTTCCGCGATACCTACAAGTCCATGTTCGCCTACAAGAAGGAGCGTGATGGATACGCCAAGTGGATGATGGGTAACCTTGCCTCCGGTGGTGTACGTACCCCCCTGAAAAAATTTTCCGCTCATGAATCACAACTAACAAAAACCACAGGCTGCCGGTGCCACTTCCCTCCTCTTCGTCTACTCCCTGGACTACGCCCGTACCCGTCTTGCCAACGACGCCAAGTCCGCCAAGGGCTCCGGTGAGCGCCAGTTCAACGGTCTCGTTGATGTCTACCGCAAGACCCTCGCCTCCGACGGTATTGCCGGTCTCTACCGTGGCTTCGGTCCCTCCGTTCTCGGAATTGTCGTCTACCGTGGTCTCTACTTCGGCATGTACGATTCCATCAAGCCCGTTCTCCTCGTTGGTCCTCTTGAGGGCTCTTTCCTCGCCTCCTTCCTTCTCGGCTGGACCGTCACCACCGGTGCCGGTGTTGCCTCTTACCCTCTTGACACCGTTCGCCGCCGCATGATGATGACCTCCGGTGAGGCCGTCAAGTACTCCTCCTCCATGGATGCTGCCCGCCAGATCGTCGCCAAGGAGGGTGTCAAGTCTCTCTTCAAGGGTGCCGGTGCTAACATCCTCCGTGGTGTTGCCGGTGCTGGTGTCCTGTCCATCTACGACAAGGCCCAGCTCCTCCTCCTCGGAAAGAAGTTCTAAGCGACTCGCTGAAAAGTGTGTCACTAGCCACTGTAGTTATACTGGAGTAGGGGGTGAATACCTCACCCAGTGCAACCACTGGGCGTCGAGGTTGTGGGACGGTCAAAAGATAGATGCGTCAAGAAATGGGTTCCGAGGGAGGTTGACGCCTAGAGTGGTGATTCTTCCTTTTTGTACCCAATGTACTTTACTTCCTGCAAACTCTTTCGTTTTTCTTCAAAATATCTTCCTTCGTAGAGACTGTAAAAGTAAACCAATAGACCTCAGATGTCCCGACTAAATCTGGCTGGTTCTCCTTGGACAAGCACTGCCCTTCGTGATCCTTTCCGTATGAAATGAATAGCTGAAAGAACAACACAGCACATTGTATTTACCCCGTGTAATCCGTCATATCTTTCAAGGTTCCCATCAGCCAAGTGATATCTAGTGTATGTCCACATTGAAACCAACCCAGGTTCCAGATAGCCCCATATCCACAGACAACGACCAAAAAGAGGACCCCCAAAGCGGCAAGGCTCCACAGCGGCAATTCATGACGTCCAAGCTCCTTGAAGCTATAGCCTCTCAACTCCCCAACTCCTACCACTCCCACCACTCCCCATCCCCTCAACATCCAAAATGTCCTCTCTACCAGGAATCCAAACCTACAACACAGCTCCAGTAAACGCCAACAAAGACACCCACGCAGCAACCCCCGAACCCGAACCCGCCACTGCAACCTCACCCTCCCACCCAGCACCAGCAACAGCAACAGCAACAGCCCCATCCAACCCTTCACTCTACACACCCGCCCAACCCAGCAACCTCCAACCAGGCGCACCACCAACACCATCAACAGCTCCAATCCCTCCCACCACCCTCCCCGACCCAACATCAACAACCACCGCCGAACCACAACCAGTCGCGCGCCCAATACCACCAATAGCAGAAACCCACGGCGCACCACCATACTCCCCACTCCCGCCCCCCAAAGCCGGCGAGCCAGTCCCGCCGGCAGCAGCCCAGCCTGCACACCACAGCTACACGCAGTCTTACTCCTTTGCGCCAGCGGGTCAGCAGGGCGTAACCCCGAACTCGACTTCCGCGGCTTACTCCTCTGTGTACCCGAGCGCGGGACAGACTCCGCCGTTGTACTACGGGAGCGGTGCTGGGACTGGATCTGGGGGTGGAGCGGATAGTGGTTTCCCCGAGGAGGAGGGGTTTATGGGTGCGGCGAAGGGGTGGATGCGGTGGTCTGGGGGGAAGTTGGCAGAGGTTGAGAAGGGGATTTGGAAGAAGATCAATGATATTCATGATTAGAGAGGGGTAGGGGTTTGGACTTGGGTGTTTATCTTTTATTTTGGTTGTTTTGTATTATTATGGGGGTTTGTGCTTTGGGGTCCTTTTTGGATATAAAGCTGGGAAGGGTGTGGATTAGGTACTATTATGGATATGATTCATGGAGGGGGGATTAGAATGGGATATGGGCTGGTTTTGTACTTGAGTTTGGAGTTTGATTGTTATCAATGAGAGTGATTTGGTTGGAATATACACAGAGATTGTAAGAGATGTTTTTGTGGTAGTCTCTAATTACCTGGTAGATTGTAGGGTCATTCAAGATTTGAAATGGACAACAGTAAATGTCCCATGATAACCTGGAGTAAGTGCATATCGAATGGCGTGGATTCAGCACAGGAATTAGCCCATAGAACTGGTAGCCTACAGAATCAAAAGAAACACCTCCGGATATACCTAGGTAAGAGGATGGTAAATAAACCGTGCAGGATTGCAACGGGCTGATTTTCTAAACTACCTAAGTCACTATGTACTTCCATCGTATCCCCGGCTGGGAAGCGTTAAGTGTCCCAGCCTCTGAGCCCATTTCCACCTAAGACAATGCACAGATAAAAAAAAACCTGCAATGTACAAAAGAACATGCGTAGAGCACATGGACCGAAACACAGACACACAGAGAAAGAGCAACGAGAGTAGAGAGGAGATTAAAGAACAACTTCTCAGTGGAATCAGTGAAGATGACCGAGACAATCAGACTAGAACGAGATTCCCAGACAAGATAGAGCGGGCCAGTGCAATCAATAAAGAAGACCGGAACCTCCAGATAAGTGGGTGATTCGGAGAATGATTGGGGAGTTGTTCGAATGAAGAACCCATACAAAAGAAAGAAAATGAAAGGTGAGAAGTATTAAAAAAAAGTCCGAAGTATGGTTGAAGAAAGAGACAGAGGTCTTGTAGCAATGAGAGCTGACTTGACTGATGCAAAGATAAAACGCCAGAATGAACAGATGGCAGACAGTGGGAACCACTGTGAGCCATCCTGGTTAAAGAAAAAAAAAGCAGAGAAAAGACGGGGTATTTGAACTTGTCCCAGTGGTTGCAGACCTCGACGGTTGCAACCCCGAATCGTCATGACAAGTGGTTTCGTAGCAGGCATCATAAGAGAAAAGTGAAGACTTCAACGCCGTGTTGGAAACCCAATACCACAAAAAAATCCAGCCCAACGCCCATCAGTCGAGCTAGCTGCAGTGCTAGCCAATTTTTCTGGCTTTGTATTTTTCTGGATTAATTGTCACCGAAAGAAAACGGCGCGCCAAGAGCGGTCCAGACCAGCCCCGACGGCCTGGGTATGAATATGAAAAGAAAAAGTGTATCACAAGAAGAAAAACCGAACGAAAATAAACGCCAATCATGATGAAGGTGGGGGGGCTTTACATGGAGCCCAGGCGGAGGAGTGCTTCCACAGCAGCGCGTTCCTGAGTGTCAAAGGTGCGAGGTGCCGGCTTGGCCGCCAGAGATGGCAGAGTGGGAGGGAAAATCCCAGAAGGCTGGGGCTTTGCCCGTGCAGCGACATGTCCCTTGATGAGACTGCCGTTGTTGTTCATTGAGCGAGCGCGCAACGCGTCGGCGCCAATCTGCGCCCAGTCCTCCTCATCGGTGACATCGCCTTCATCCCACTCGTTCTCCTGCATTTCATCAGGAGCTTCCGAGGAAGAGCAGTACTCGCCGTCGCCATCAAGGGACATTTTGTCGGCCTCGTGTTCAAGCATGTCGAGATCCTCGTGCATGCCGTAATCGTCGTTGTAGGAGAATGCCGTGGATTCGGCGAAGCTCATACGGTATGGATGACGGCTACCACCCTGCCAACTCGACTGGCCTTGGATCTGTAGGCCACGCTGCTGGAAAGAACCCGCAACGCTTGAAGGGGGCGATGCCGACGAGTTCAAATCGCGGTCATGCACAGGCTCACCGCGACGTCGCGCGTCCCAGCGGCCCCAACCGATCTTCTCAAACACCACGTCGCCTCCAATTCCACCCGCTTCCCCTCCGTTCCCTCGACCTTCCAACGCCGCAACAACCAGTCTGCGCGCTTTGGCTGGGGGAATGCGCGAAAAGCCAGGGACCGAGGTTGTCAGATGACCCATAACGTGGCGAATGGCCAACGGGCCCTGCTGGAGCAAGATGTCGGGAAGGTGGTATCTGGCCAGCATGGCAGGGGTAATTGCGCCCATGCTGTCGAGGTCGTCGGCAGGTCGGGAGACGTTCTGACCGTTGGCGTATTCCATCGCATCCTGAAGATCGATGTCAGAGTCCAACTGGGGGACAGTCGATAGCGGCGATCCTGGCGACAGTGACCCACGTCGTTTGAAGGTCTGGGGAGGAAGGGTGGGCGAGATAGAGTTGGGTGGCGTGAGCAGCATCGCAGGTTGTCCGGATCGCGCAGGCACACGGCCGCCACCCAGGCCAGCACGGCGCTGAGGGATATCAACCGACGCAGTCTTGCCAGCAAGAGCCATTGCAATACTGGAATTGGTCTGGGAAGCCATGATGAACAGAAGTTTGATTTGTGAAAGGAGAAGACCTAAGAGGGCGCAACCCGGGGTATATGAGTCAGACGACCTGTTCCAATACGCGACAAAGCAGTACCACGGACAGAGCGGGTGGCAACAGAAAAGTCTCAAAGAAGTAAAAACAAAGGGACACTCACCTTTCACACAGATAGTGACACAGAGTCACCGATGGAGCCGTGTAGCGAGGTTAGGACCAACTGTTTAGGGCTTGGATCCACGCAGGGGATGCGACGCGGTAAGGGGAGAAGTGATAAGTCGCGATAAGAACCGATATCAGGGGGGGTGGAATGTTCTTAAGAGAGTTCTCAACAGGAGAGCAGAGCAGAGAAGAAGAGACGAGGGGTATGACGAGGCCCGATGCTCAGGACGTGACTCCAAATAAGCCCTGGCCCAAGTATGGCAATCAGGAAGGCGCGTGGGCCGGTTGATTGGCGCCTCGTGGACACCGGGTGCTTCCGGCCTGTGATACTCCTTTTGCTACGACATTATTACCTCGTTTCTAGATTCGAGACCTTTGGACGGAGTATACATGACCCTTGGGGTGCTTCCACCGGTTCACGTTCAACTGGTTTCTACATAGGCCTTCGTAGTCATGTTCAACACTAGAAGGTGTATCCCTGAGGCGATCGGCTTGAGCAAGAGAACAAGGAATACAGGGAATACAAGGAACTCCAGTTCCCTGTTCCCCCACTGGTGAAGGTAAGAAACAGAAAAGAAAAAAAAAACCCCTCATGCCAAGTGGTTATCAGCCAGTCATGGCGATCGCGAGTGCTCGTGCGTCTTTACTGAACGCTTGCAGCGCTCCAGGGCGTAACCCTATTTCCTATCATCGGCTGATAACCCTCCTCCAGGGCACGTGGACTCACGTTCGTTGCCTCTGATTCATCGTCCTGGGAAGACTACGTTACAATGTCCCTGTTGACTCTGCACTGCTCATCCCCATTCTCTTTCTTTGTTCTTGACTGGGAATTGCCCATGGAGTACGGAGTACATCTATGTTCGAAATCTCACTAAGTACTAGGTACCTCCACTTTCCCTCGGGTCCCACTATAATCTGGACTCGGGTCCCTTGACGTCACTGGTACCGGTGACCTTGGAATGTTGATTTCCCGTTCTTCTTTGGTGCATACTCCGTAGTGTGTGTTGTTTCGTGTACTCCGTACTCTCCGGAGGACATCTGGTCAAACATGCTGGTCTACCCAAAATTAGGCAACCCCTGCACAAGAATACCCAATTCTATCCATACTGCTTATCTTCGAGGAATGGAATCCTGCATAGTTGACACCTGGACCAGTCCCGTTGCCCCGAGGAATGCCTTGTCTTAGTGCGAGGTCCATGTACGGAGTATGTACAACATAGCCCCTCGGACATCGATTATGGACTTGTAGATGCACAACTTTACAGATAGAAGGTCTGTGTAGGAAATTACGGAATTCCTCATTTCGGTCATGATTTTCCCGACTGTGGGGAGGGTAGATGCGGGTGACGAGAGAGCCCTGCATGTCACCTTCGCTACAATCCCACCCTTTCGAGCCTAGATACTTGCCTTTTTAACCCCTCAATGGCGCAACGGCCGAGGTAATTGCCCTCCGGCTCCTGCTCCGAGTGTGCCTTGCTCGGTTCCTGGCTGATCTCGTCTTGTCCCTGCGGCATTGCTAAGCGATCGTCTTGATTTGAGATGCAAATCCCAACTTCGAGCCCTACTTGTCTCACAATCGCTTGGTTGCCTACGGAAGATAATGTGATCAGACCATAGTTATTCAATCATCTGACTCAGAGAGAGAGAGCGGTTGGCAAAGGGATTTACTTGCCGATGGCTATTATATTCAGTTCGGAGCTGAACCGTTGACCGTCGTGTCTGGACATCTCAGCCTCACTTGCCTGTTCCTGCCCTCCGCGCTGACCAAAGACCTAAATTAAAACATCCCTCACTCAGATCCCTCATGTTTCCCACAAAAAGAAACACATATCCCTCTACCTGGTCAGGCAGCCTATCATCGGTATACCGGATAGAGCAAGCAGTCGTCGTATAACTAGGGCCCTCATAAGCCGCTAGTTTTTCCGCCTCTTCTGCTGTCGGCACCTCGTAGACAGTTCCTAGAACTCTATCCCCCGGGTCACCGGACAGTAAGGCTGGGTAATGCCCCCACAGCTTACATTGGTATCCCTCGATGCACGCGGGTCGCAAGTGAGCCACCTCTCTCGGACCCAGCAGATCTCCTAGGAGACTTGGGTCTTGCAGCGAACCGTAGAAGAAGTAGAAGCCTGTTGGAGCAGGTCCTTGATTTTGAGATCGGAATTGAGATTGGAAGAAACGACTGGGGGAGGTCGTTTGTATCTTGCGGACGGAGGATGGAATTTTTGAGCAAAGGTTCTCTGGGGGAGGAGGGGGTGGTGGTATACAGTCTCTTGATCGTGCCAAGTTAGACATAACGGTGCTAGTATCATGAATTGGAAATGTCAAGAGAGCACTGGATCGGTAGATTAGTGGTCCATATGTCCATCGATGATTGTGGGGGACACAACCCTTGCGACTGCGGGGAATCGTAGACGCTTCCACTACACACGTTATGACGCGGTCTCGAAGAATATCATATAGAGGCCTCTTCTTCTTCTGAGCCCGCCATGTCGAAGGAAAATAGAGGTGCCAAAACCCCTGTGATTACCGGATAAATAGCGCATCTTCATGTCCTGTTTTACCACGGTCATCTTGCCGGCGCGGGGAGACAACTGCCTAAACAACTAAGTACGGAGACATATGCGGACGATTAGCCAGGCACAGAGATGCCAACTAAGAAAAATGGATGTCCTCCCGCGTAGTCCGGGAGATTCTTCCAGTTGGTCCTTCATTTCATCATGGTCAAGTGTGTTCTGACATTTCTCTGTTTGGCAATCGCCACCGCACTGAGCCCGGAGTCGTTGAACTCTGATATATCGATTCTCATCCACAATGATTTGCTAGGTAAACAACCTTGGGCATCACCAAAGATTTGAACCAACCACTCACTACCTCGCAGAAACAGAAAGTCCTTTTTCAGGCTCGGGAATCATAGCCCTCGACGCGAGACCATGGCAAGAAGCCACTCAAAGCTGCCAAAGCGTTGGCGAGGGTCTCTGGGGAATTGGTTCTAGTTATGAAAACATCCAAAGCGACTTGGAATACCTTGTATTGCAAGGAAAATATACCCGGGGCCAACGTTTTTGGGTTGCCTCCGACCATCGCAAGCTGTCGACCATTGACACGAATGGTCAGATCTATAACGCCTCTGCATACGAAAAGCTGCCCGTCCTTTGTACACAAAGTGCACCTTACTCCAATATCACATTTCAGGATACCAGCTCGCAGTGGCAAGTGACGGTGCATTCCAACAACGAGTATCTCACTGGGTAAGAATCTTGAACCTGGTCCAAATCTCGTAATCCGTCCTAATAAATATAGGTTTCGGGATCGATTCAGCTTCCGATTTCTAGGAATCCGCTATGCTGATCAGCCTCAGCGATGGGATTACTCACAATTGTATAGAGGAAGTGGTACAAAAGTCTCGGCCCTTGACTACGGCTCTGACTGTATACAAGGCACCACTGGCTCAGAGGATTGTCTGTTCCTCAATGTCTGGACTACTTATCTTCCTAAGCACACGACCATTGAAAAGAGTAACCTAAAACCCGTGATGCTCTGGATCCACGGTGGAGCCTTTTTGAGTGGCACTGGCAGTGATCCGACGTCCGACGGCGGCAATCTAGCCTCGAGAGGCGACGTGGTGGTCGTCACGATAAATTATCGGTTGGGCACACTTGGGTACCTTGCATTGAATGATGGCAAGACCAATGGAAACTACGGGTTGGCAGATCAAACTACGGCGCTGGAGTGGGTTCGTCGAAACATTCAGGACTTCGGCGGCGATCCGGACAGAGTGACCATATTCGGACAGTCGGCTGGTGCAGCCTCTGTGCGGGCATTGCTTGCATCTCCTAAAGCACGAGGTAACTTTGCTGGTGCAATCATGCATAGTAATCTTGGAGGCTTGGCTTATGGCACAACCTACTCGAAGTACTACACCATCGACCAGGAGATGGAGGTTGTAGGGAGAGGTATTCTGGATGAGACGAACTGTACACATGCTGTCTCACCGGTTGAATGTCTGAGGTTACTGCCCGCATCAACAATTGCAAACCTCGCCGACCCTGCGCGGTATCTGGTTGTCGATGGGGTCTATCTCCAAAGCTCGGAGCTTGATCTGACCAACTCAGCATCAACTGCCCATGTACCTCTGATGATGGGCGCAATGAGAGACGATGGTGCTGCCATAATTGGCTATCCCGAAGTTGGACAATCTCTGAAGTCCTTCCTCAATGAGACCGGTTTACCCGATTCAGTCGCACCAAGCGCTCTCTTCCCCGTGCCATCAACGACCAACGCTACCCTGGATATCTTCAATACTTCATCCCGAATAGCTACAGATGCCATGTTCCGCTGCATTGACCAAGCAACTGCACAAGCTGGTTCAAAAAACCACATTTTCCCCGATATCTTCTACTACGGGTTCAATCGGTCATATCAAATGCCCGGTTGGTCACCTAATGCCCCATTGTGCAATGCGCCTATTACAGACGAGTTCCCAAATGGCGATCCCAGTCAGGATTACTTCAAATGTCATTCAGGTGAATTGTTTTACGTGTTTGGGAGTTTCCGTCGCCAGGGCTTGCCGTTCCGGGATGAGTTCGACCTACCCTTTGGGCAGTATGTGCTAGATTCTTGGACCAGTTTTGCGAGAACGGCTAGGCCTACTCCTAATTTGGAATTTCTGAGGACGAGAGGGTATGTTAACACGACTCGAGAAGTTGAGACGACTGGGCCGTGGAGGCCTTTCAGTGAGCATGGCCAGCTTCGGCTGCTTCAGTGGCCGTCCAGCATGAGGGATCTGGATGATCTGGCACAATGTCATGCGTTAGATTTGCCCTTAGACTACTTCATCTACTAGAATTGGACAAATTTGTTCTGGTGGATTGCTGGTCTTGATGTCCAGGCGGTACATAGATGACTGTCGACCAGGTAGGTACAAATTTCCTACAGAGTATTGTTTCTGTTGGATTCCTTGTAAGGTTATTCCATAACTCTTGGCTTTGTCAACTATCAACAACCATAACAATGCATTATGGTGTCTACATCTGTAGACGTCAACGGTTTCATTCAATTCCCATACTTATCTTGAGTAAGTATGTCTGTTTGTTTCGTTTGGCTTATTGATTGATGCGTTGTGATCCATATATTTATTTCTTTAGGATGGGCATAGTGGCTGGGATCAGAGGACATAAAGGATTATTCTCGTTCTTCTGTTCGGTCTTCCATGGATACACAGTCCTTTATTCTTAGTCCCCAGTCTTTTTCTTTCGGACCATCTTGGGAGTATTTCAAGACTATGCTGAGTATACAATCTCTTTGAGGATTGCTTACGGTTTCCTTCATAAGATCGCTTCAATATGTTACAGAAATGGCCGTGGTACAGTATAAGCTTCATGAAGGCCCGAGTAGATGCTAATATCCACACCAACTATTCCAACATTGATCCCCTTTCCAAAAATTTTCACACGCTATTATCACAATACCCAGAAAACCATCCTGCCAAGAGCAATACAAGCCGGGAGACTTCACCGTTCGGGATTATCTTGAGAATATTAACCTGAAATACTGGACAGCAACATATGCCCTTCGAATGGGGTATTGATCATGTAGTATTCATTCTATTAAGTACTAAATCTATAGCACTCCCTACGTAAGGTGATGTGAGATCATGGAAATATACTTCAGCAAGTAATTATATGTTATGTACATCCATAGCTTGTAAGAAGCCTGACTGATCAAAACCAAAGCCGAGGAACCTCTATATCAACAGAAATCATCATGGAGCCTACTTCAAGTTGTGATGTCGATCCATTTGCAAGCTTCTTTTATCCTTTCCTAATCGAGTGGCATCTTTGTTTGTGGACGCCATTCGTGAGACCGTTCCAAGGATACTAGTATTCGGCGTCTCGCATGAAAGAGAAGACTAAACCAAACAGCCCTTACAACTTGGTTTTTTTTCTCTCTATTTGTCCTCTATCTATGGTACTTGAGGATTCTTTGTTTTGTTCAATATTTGTACGTATTTGCCGTCTTGATTTGCACGAGTTCCCGAGTGTTTCCCCCTCGGCTCTACCAAGCGCTTTGCTCCCACCTCTTTCTCAATCACTCTCTGATCTGACAGTTTTCCGAACTTGAAGGACGTTCTTCATTCCCCGTCTTATAATGGAAGGGAACAGCGATACCGTGAATGAAGAGACCAATGACATAGATTCTGATACCGAGTCTATGATCGAAGAGGCCAGGTAGACAACCAGCTTGCAATCACTTGAATTAAGCCCTGACGATTTTAGATGTCCTTATGTGGCCGGAAACAAGATCACGCTGCAGATAGAAGGCCGCCCGGTTCAGGCGACTATCGTTAAAACCTTTGAGCGGACTCAGTCCTGTGCCATGGTCGTTTCTTTTGATTCCGACCTCTCTGCTTTAGGCATTACAGGGGATGTGGTTCTGAAGCTTTACGATAGACGATTCTCGACCGAACTACGAAGTACCTGGAAACTTGCCCCTCCTTGGACTCCACGCCTAGAGAGAAATTTCCATGAGTATATTTGCACAGACGAAGGCAAGGAGGAATTTATCACTCGGAACAAGCTTTTTGTCAAATGGAGAGAGGAGGATTGGGGATACCGCCCAATCATTAGCGAGGAAGACATCAATGGGCAGCAGGATACCACACAGCAGCAAGACACCACACAGCAGCAGGACACCAATAGGGATGAAAATGTTAAGCCTAATAGCCTACCCAGCCACATTTCCATGCCCTCTTTTAAGCTGCTGTCCCCTATCTTCCACTTGTGTGGAATGGCTTCTCGTGGCCTCTGTCTCACTATCCGACTTCTCGGTACTGCGCTCACAACTACTATTTCCTTGGGACAGGGCATGTTTACTAGAAAACAAGAGATAAGGGACGACGAAACCAACAGAAACCAAAGTCCTGACGCATACCACGAAGTGGGCGGAGAACCACAGAACGAAGAACCCAACACAGCGCCTGAGCACACAGAGGAGTCGGATAGCGACGAAGAGCCCGACCAGGATTGGGAGAACTTATTAGGTGAAATGAAGCTCTATCCTCACAGGCAACTTCTTTATGCTGCAGAAGGTGCAGCGTATGAAGCGATGCAAGACATGCAAGGCATTTATGTGCCTCGAATTTTCGCCCATACGAAAATCCTCGGTCCGGAGCGCTACACCCAAGACCCGTCTATCAGCAAATATTTCGAGCACCCCGGGATTCTCATGGAATATATCGAAGGGTTTCCTCTGCCGGATATTGCCGAACATGCCCCAAGGGAAGCATGGCAGCCAATCATCGACAAAGCTATCGAGATCGTCAATATGGTCAGGCACCATGAAGTAATGAATGATGATACGAACGTAAGGTGCTTCATCGTGCAACCTGATCCAACCAACAGCGTGGATTCCGAATACAAATTCAAGCTCACTATGATTGACTTTGGCCATACCACCCTCCGTAGACAGTATCCTCCTGACCCTGACGGGAGGGATTGGCGAAAAATGGAGGCATATACGGACGCAGAGGGGGCTATTGGGAGAGTCATGGAAGGAAAATTGGAAAGGTACTTTGGTGGAGGCTACGTTTATCGTCGAACATCCTATACTCAAGGACTTATTGACGATTATCTGAAAGTGGGTGCTAGGTTTGCTGATCCAGAAGATTGGTAGGACGCGGGTTGATCTCTCTCTTCTACTTCTCCCCCTGGGTAGCGAGAAGGTGAATTGTTATCATTTTCATTTGGAATTTCTCTCAGAAGATCATCCACAAAGCACGAGTCAAACTCGACCCCAAACCGTCTACTTCTCCAGGACTTAGGCCATAGGGAATCCTTTCTGCTCTTTTGTCGGGGCCCCATTCTTTTTACAAAGCACTGCACTTCAAGCTCATACCTGACTCCCAGTCTCGGTGGAATGCCGTGGTCGATGCTCGAACATGATGTTTGAGAGTACAATTCTATTATGTGCTAAAACTTATTACTTTGCCAGGCAGCTTGGACATGGATGGTTCCATCAATTCTCCTACCTCCCAGGAGGTTGTCGATGCCCTCAAAGCCGAGTTCAAGAAACCCAGAAAATAGACACCACCTCTACGGAAATGAACTCAGTCTTTGTTTCTTCCTCATTGCAGTCTTGGGCTAGCATTCTTTTTTTCCTCTTTAAGGCATCTCCCTCGTGTTCTCGTAGATTATCATTGGACTTATAAATTCTTACCCCGGGCCTTCTCTCTTCTTTGATTTGACCTTTACTTACACTACAAGAAGCTGGGCCCCGAATATTATATATGAAGATATATTCTCCAAGTCAAGTCGAACGCCGAAAGGTGTATGCGGGTAAGTGATCTCCACTTCGGAATGGCATCCGAAGTCCAACTTCAACGCTTGCGCTATTTCGGACTTGCACAGCAGGGCATCTTATGTACAGTTCATGGTCCCCATGTATTCCTGTGTTACTCTGAGGCTATTTGAAGTAATCTCCAAAACCCCATATCCGTCAGTAGTAAGCCGACGGCGCAGGCGCAACTCGACCCGACGGATTACATATCCCATATCTGTATGTAGTCATTAAGCAGAAATGTAATCAATGGAAGATAAAACCCCATGCCTGGAAGAAGCCATTTAGGAAAGTAAAAAGTAGAAATCAAAACCAAGTCGAGCCTCCAAAAGACAACACCAATTCCCCGAAGTATATGACTCGCGATAAGATCGGATGCGTCCTTTCCGATATTTCCCCTCAGGAAATAGCCCATCGCCCGCACTAAAAATCCCCATTACCGCATCCTTTCTAATTCTCTCTCTCCTATTTGGAAGATATTTATAATCGAACTGCAAAATCACTCCAAGAGTCACAAGAAAACCCCAAAGATGTCCTACGAAATCGCCTACGACACCACCCGCGCACCGTCCCGCGCTGCGGCACTCGTCGCCTTCATGGAAGACTTCTATCGCACCAGCGACACCGAGTCCCTGCACGAGAAATATGTCCAGAGCTTCACTGAAGATGCAACGCTGATCATGGGACCCAAGGAGGCCAAAGGCACAAGCGGTATGTCGCCACCCGATCGTCTTGTATATCGGCGAAAGCTACGAAATGGATAGTTTCGTCTTTGATGCAGAATATACATTTGGGGGATAGTTTGGATTGGAAATACGAAACTGACTTTCCGCTAGCGATTCTGTCTCTTCGTCATGGTCTCTGGACACATGTTGCCTCGCGCCGTCATACGCCTGCGCGGATCTACTTCGGCGGCGAGGATGAGATCATGTTGTATGGTGGCGTGAACTATAGGCTCAAGACTAGCCCCGATGATGATGTCTATGTGCCCTGGGCTGGACGGGTTGTATTTGCGCCTCAGAAGGAGGGCGAGGAGGTCAAGATGCTGTTTTATCAGGTTTACTTGGTGAGTAGTTGGTAGGCTTTTGCTATGTGGTGTTGGTGCTGATTGAGATAGGATACGGCGGCTCAGTCGGGAAAGAAATGAAGCACATATAGGTAGAATTGGAATGGGGGTAAGCTTGGACTTGCCTTTGTACATATTTCTTTTTTGTTGTGCATAAATTCCAAGGAGTGGATATCAACTAGATACCCCGATGATATAAAATAGATCCACATCCAAGGCTAGCGAGGCCGACACCAGACGTCTACATCTACATCTATGGAGAGTGAGAGGACGGGACAGTTTTGAAGTGTTTAGACATGCTCTTTATTTCCAGGAGACCGCGAGAGAAAAAAGGGACAAAGACGCCGTAGGGTTGGTCGGGGTCAAAGAGGTGAGGGAGATCATAAAAACATGTCAAAGGGAAAAAAGATCCCCTCCCCTCGACAAGAAAGAGAGGGGAAAAGGATTTGTGCAGACCGTCCCGTCCGCTCTCTTCTCTCGTTCAAGTCTCCGGATAATGATGCCTCAATCCTCATGCACTCTCCACCGCCCATATCTCTCTCCGCTAGTAGCCCCGTCTGGTCGTCAGAAAAAAAATAATGAATTGGAACAAGAAAAAAGAAACAAACGTAAAGTCGCGCACGGGACCGCAAGCTCCGAATTTTTATTTTTGTGCCGTCATTTCCAATATTTTGCCGCCGTAGCGAAGACAAAACCACAAAAACAAACGACTTATCCCCGAACTATTAAAAGCCCATCGTTGCGATACGTTTATTCCTCATCCGACTCCTCCTCGTCGTCGACGGTGGTCTTGGCGATACGGTCCAAATCACGCTGACCGCTCTGGGTGATGCGGCGGCCACCCTTCTCCTCATCGATCTCAAGGACACCGATCTTCTCAAGGGCCTGGAGGGCCTTGCGGTCGACGGAGCCGGAGGCATCGACGTGGTGGGCGGGGCGGGCACCGCGGTTCTTGGTGGAACCGTGGACCTTGCGGAGACGGCCGACACCGACGGTCTTGCGCATGTAGATGTGGCGGGCACAGGCGGCGGCGCGGACGTAGAACCTTCAAGAATGCAAATGTTAATGGTTTATTTCGGATATTTCGTGGGTTGGTGTGTGGTGCAAGTCGTACCAGTCAGCATCCTGGGGAGGAAGCTCGTTGGAGGCAGAGGTCTTGACAGTGTCAACCCAGCCGGGGATGGGGAGCTTTCCCTGACGCTTCAGGAAAGCAGAGTAGGCAGCAATGAACTTCTGCGCCTGTGATAGGAGTAAGAAACATATGTTAGTCGCGGCTCATCAAGGTATGCGTGGATCGGTCAAAAGTCTGCAGATTTGCAGATGTGTCGGGATTCGTTTCTGGAAAAGCGGTTGTATCATTCGTCGGGGGGATTTTGCGCCGGCATACAGTCGTTGCATCGAGCATCTCATAAGAGAATACCGATCGATGGATAGATCCATCAAGACTTTGGCCCCTCAAAACATGCGTGCACAATCCTTCAATATTCGATATTTTCCGATAGGCAATCAAGCCGTTCGCATATTGCGTAGTGTGGCGTATTCCGTGCGAGGCCTTTCCATCATGGCGATATAATCCGATGTTGTGATATCCGTGTATCCAGAAACGAACCGTCCACATCACGCAAAGCAGAGCTGACCGATCACCTGAAACTCGAGCAGGACACTTACGTCCACATCGCGAACGGTAACACCACCCATTTTGGCGACTTGTCGAGGGGTCGAAGGGTAGGGATTAGAGAGAGAGAGGCGTTGGGCGTCGAGGTGGGCAGGGTCGAAGTCGAAGAGTCGCTCAAAATTTCAAGACACACACAACTCTGGGCGGGTTGGGTCTGTGTGCCGTTCGCTTGGAGTCCGTTTTGGGTTTAGCCGTACCCTAAACTGGGTCATGTGATGTGGCCCAACTAGTGCCTGACGGATCAGGCTCCACATCATATTTCCCGTCGCCTGACATTTCAGGTGTGTTTTCATTTGCCCTACAAGATGCAATTCGTGAACATCATTTACAGAGCGCATTCCTTCATTTTCACATTTTTATTAATCATACATTAATTTAAACCTATTAATTAAAACCTATTTCATGATACTTTCATTATTCGTAATTGCAGGGAAAAAAATAAAAATAAACCCCGTTTCCCAATGCTTTGAGCAACTTCAACGCCAGAACCACTCAGAATTACAGCGTGGGCGCTCTCTTCAGCCCAACGCAATACCTCACAAATAGTGTATCAACAAAATGACCATGTCGAATGCCAGGAGGTCGGCATCGATTGAACTCATCAATGGCATCCTGCACAGCAAAACCAAGATGTTCGATCAGATAACAAGCGATCAGAAACCCAGTACGATTATAGCCATAGTGACAGTGCACTCCAACCAGTGGACGAGGTAGGGACTTTTCTTCCTCTGTGCGCTGCTCCATCTTCACATCTATATCCTTTTGAAGGCTGTTGACCAAAGCGATGAAGTCTCGCGCCTCATCTGGGGTCGGAGGAATCTTGGATACCGTTGGGTGCTTGTAGTAGCGAATCCCACCCTTCTCCATTTCGGCTGGGTTATAGACTGGACTCTCATGACTGATGTCAATGACAGCGTGGATCCGACCGCGGTACTTTGCTGAGAAAGTCACAGGGTTATGTTCCTCGTCCACCTCACGCAACATCTTAAGCGCAGCAAAAGTGTTGGCGATCCGCTCCGAGACTGGCGCGACCTTCTTCCACTTGGCAAGATTCTTGACATCCCACTTTCCAGATGTGTTCATGTACTGCAGTTGCCAGCCCAGACCAAGACGCTTGTCGATGTTCGACGACATGAAATCCTGGATAATCCCTGCAAGAGTGCGGTAGGTCGCCCGGTCGTACAGCAGTGCATGAGATGCAGGCGCCGGCAAGATTGCCGATTTGACCACGCGCTTCCGCTGGCCAACCTTCAAATTCTTCTCGGAGATCTCCACATCGAACACCTTTTCATTGCCAAGAACATTGGTTGGGGGTGACATCTGGTCATGAACCCGCGAAGCATCAGGAATGATACTGCTGTCGCTGGTGTCGATCATGGTGTGGGCTGAAGCATCCCCGAAGAATTTCAAAAGCTTTTGCACCTCCACTGGTTTGGTCACAGCATCCGCCTCTCCCGCGATAAGCAGAACCGGCATGCGGATTCCCGCCCAGACCGTTTCGCCAGGGAGACCGCCAATCGGATGGTCGCTATTATAGTAGGTGGGAAGTGTGCCCCACGCCATACGTCGCCAGACAGGTGTTCGGCTTTGCTTGTTGAAGCGCACCTGCAGATCTCGCGTTTCGATATCGGCAGCGACACCGACCATCCTCATGACACTGGCACTTTGTTCTCCTCCGCGTCTGTCCCAGCGACGCCAAAGGTCGAAAATCGCACCAGGAACATATAGCAATCGGCGGAACTTAGCGGTCTCATCTGCAGAGGGGGGTGAGGCTCGAGGGCACACGGCAACGAGGCCGATGATGTGCTCTTTCAGCTTTGCGCCGATGGAAGATGTCGACGACGCCAAGAGGGCAGACAAAGAACAGCCTAGACTGTGTCCTACCAAAATTACTTCCTGGCCAGCCTCACGATCCCGATGCTGATCAATGGCTACAGCCAATAGTTCGGACAGAGCCTCCACGGTGTATGCATTCCAATCTGTGGGTGCGAACTTGGACAGTCCACACCCGGGCAAGTCAATGCCAAAGCATGATCCAACATTAGACAGACTAGTGAGGAGATGGTGAAATTGCGCGAGAGATCCGCCTAGCCCATGGACGACCACGACCAAGGGAACAGGAGTCGGTTTGGTCGGCAATCGAGCTAGATGTGGATGGGGGCAGTAGAAGGTGCGAATAGCGGGATAGGTAGCTACCGAAGTAGTATAAGAGTTGTATGTGGTAAATTTTCTCAAAATACCCGGGTCTGTTTCGTATGCTGCGCGAGTGTTAAGAAAACTCCCAAGTTAAAAAACAAGCTATCCACGTACCATCGGAGCTTTGCTGCTGAGGCTCGGACTGCCAATCCTTGGCCTTGTAATTGGGATTGGTTCCATGGCGCAGCGATGCATTGCTGTCGTAATCTTCATCTTCGTAGTCCTCATCCTCCGAGGAGCTCAGAGTTTTCGAGGATTTAGTGGAGCTCTTGCGAGCGGCGGGGCGCTGCGCACGAGAATATTTCGACGCTGATAGCTTGCGCGTCACCAGCGACGACAGCAACCCACATCCAGTCATGGCGATCACACAGGTAGTCAAAAACACAACCTGACCCCAGTTCACGTTGTCATTGCGGTAGAGGCCGCGGAGAGAAGTGGCGATGGCGGAGAGAGAAGCGTTTTGAGCAGCCGCGCGCACGGAGTGGAAGAATTGCAGGAGAACTGCGACACCCGATTGTTTGGATTCCGACGTTAACGAGTCGTAGAGGGCGGAGATAGCGTCGGACCCCATGATTAAGTACTGGAGGGGCGTTCTGGACTCTTTCAGAGCCCCCCGATGGTGATTTTTGCCAAGAGCCACGCGAGGAGGCACCCGATGCTGTTTGGATGCAGTGCAGATAGCCCCGAGGCCAATGAGAAGAGCGAGATCGACAACGTTGAAGGGAGTTGCGAAGGAAAGAAAAAGCAGTCCGGGTTCGGGTTCAGCCACTCACAGCCTCGGGACGAGCGGCGTGGGGTGAGTCACTCCTTAGGCCCACTTGCGTGCAGCCACAATTTTGGAAGGAGCGACTTGTTTGTTTATGGCAGTTACTATGGAGAGGGAAGTACCCTGTACCTTCACACTCAAATGTTGGGCCTTAAGCATAATTTAGTGCCCTTGACTATATCCTGGGGTCTAATTTTTGGGCCTCTTGTTGGGCTGTTCTATTCTTATTGCCAAGCTATTGCTTCTGCCCATGTGATTCCGTTTCCTTATGCCCAGCATGTGCCAATTGCTGCCTATTACTGGCCAATTACAAGCGGGGCCTCCAAGATCAATCTCAACATCGAATGTTTATGTCTTTTCTAGAACATGGTAGAGCAGTTATTGGTACGGAGTACTCCGTAGTTCATATCATCATTCAAATTGCCCTCCAAACAAGCTGCGTGGATACACTATCGCACGTACTTAGATGTTATATCGCAATAATTCATTAAAACAGATCGGTCATGGCTCCCTGCGATGCATCACTGACCAATCGGGCGTACTTGGCCAACACACCACGAGTAATCTGCGGTGAGGGAGGTGTCCACTGACGTCGTCTTTCCGCAAGTTCCTCATCCGAGACATCCATCGAGAGCGAATTTGTCTCAGCATCGATGGTGACGATATCTCCATCGCGAACGAGCGCAATCGGGCCACCCACAGCGGCTTCGGGCACAATATGGCCGACAATGAAACCATGGCTGGCACCCGAGTACCGTCCGTCAGTAATGAGAGCGACATTCGTGAGTTTGGCTCCCATCAGTGCGGCACTGGCCTTTAGCTGTTCCGGCATTCCAGGTCCACCCTTAGGGCCCTCATAACGCACGATGATCACGAGGTTCTCGCCGCGGGGGATGCGGCCCTCGTTCAAAGCATCATTGAGCCGGTGCTCTTTGTCAAAGACACGGGCCTTGCCAGTGAACCGCAACCCCTCCTTGCCTGTGATCTTGGCAACTGCACCGCCTGGTGCAAGATTGCCACGTAGAATCTGCAAGTGGCCGGTCGCCTTGATTGGGTTGTCCAATGGGCGGATAAGATCCTGTCCCTCAGAGAGTGAGGGGAACGAGGCAACGTTCTCGGCCAATGTCTTGCCCGTCACAGTGGGGATATCTCCATCCAACAGACCGGCTGCAATCAGCAGCTTCTGGACTGATGGGACACCGCCGATCTCATATAGATCCGCCATGTAGTATTTACCACTGGGGGACAGGTTGGCAATGAAGGGAATCTTGTTGCTAACCCGCTGGATATCATCCAGGGTCAGGTCAACACCGGCTGTCCGAGCCATCGCCAAGAAGTGGAGAACACCGTTGGTGCTTCCGCCCAGTGCCATAGTCATGACAAGAGCATTCTCAAACGACCGCTTGGTCAGCAAGTCTCGGGGCCGAATGTTCTTCTCCAAGCAGACTTTGATTGCCTCTGCAGCACGAACACATTCGCGCATCTTGGATGGCGATTCAGCAGGCGTAGAAGATGAGCCTGGTAGCGAGAGACCCATCGACTCGATGGCCGTGGCCATGGTGTTTGCTGTGAACATACCACCGCAGGCACCGGCACCAGGGCAAGCATGCCGTTCCAAGTCATCCATGATCTCGTCTTGGGTTTTGGTTTGGTCACCACCATCGTCGGGCTGGCGCAGGGTACCGTAGGCGTAGGCACCCGCTGCCTCAAAGCATGTTGAGACATTAATAGGTTTCCGCAGGTGCTCAGAGTAGCCAATTCCAATAGTTCCACCGTAGATCATAATGGATGGACGGTTGTGGCGAGCCATACCCATCACAACACCGGGCATGTTCTTGTCGCAGCCTGGGATAGCAATACAGGCATCGTGGTATTGCGCACAAGTCACAGTCTCGACACTATCAGCGATGACCTCTCGGGTTTGGAGGGAGAATCTCATTCCTAGCAGCAGATTAGCTATTTCACCTTCTAGAAATCAGAGTGGATGCGCCAACCAACCTTCGCTGCCCATGGTGATTGCATCCGAAACACCAATCGTGTTGTACTGCCAACCAAGCATGCCCTGTTCCATAACTGACTTCTTGACGGTCTTGGCCAAGTCCATCAAGTGCATGTTGCATGGGTTTCCTTCCCACCATACTGAGGCGATACCGACATGCGGGCTCTTCGCCATGGCTTCCTTATCAGGGACACCGGCGGCATAGAGCATAGCCTACAACAACGTCAGTATTGGATCCCATCATCTTCTCAATTCCAACCTACCCGTGCTCCGGGGAAATCATGGCCCTTAGTGATAGTGTGGGAGTGACGGTTGAGTGCGGGGGAGCCATCCGGATGCTTCGCATCTGTGGGCAAAGATGGGAAGTTGATATATTTGGCCTCGCTCAGAGTGCTAGACTGCGTTGGCTGTGAGGGATCCATGACGACGAGTTGGTAGGGAAATTCAATGAGTAGAGTGTAAAACAAATATGCCCAACACAATTACCAAAAGATATAGCCCACAACCGAGCCTTGAAGAAACTCGCTGTCAACTCCCCAGTGGACCCCGCGTTCCTCCAGTGAAAAGCAGCCGATTGAAGAGCACGTCGGAGTTGGGCCTAGTCTCCGACTCGGCGATCGGTCCGGGGGATCTCCACGTATAGCATCATGGGTTGGTCAATTGTTTGATTACAGATGATAATCAAATAGATTAGCCCAAAGAATATACGATATTGAGGCGACTGTTGGCGCGGAGGCCGCAACCCCCGAACCCCCGAGATCGGCTGTTACGTCATACACCGTCAAAGCAAACTTACGATGGTTAAAAGGCCCTGAGACATCTCTCCTTTTTCTGATTCAAACCATCGATCCAGAATACAATATTGATCTCCCAATGGCCACCGACGTGAGAATCGCCCAAGCGATTGGCACCATTGGCTGCGCAATCGCAGCAGGTAAGCAACACTGCAACATGACTACATGCAGACATTAACGGTATCCGAGGTGGAATCGCCACACTGTCAATAATAAGCATCCCAACTCTTCTTGTTCCAGCCCGTCGTCCTGCAAATGCGACGCTACCAGCCCAAGATACCCCAGGAACGCCGGCCACCCACCTGACACACCAGTGGTTCAATCTGTACGATCGTGGTCACTTGATTTTCCCCGGCACAGCGGTAGTGTCATCACTCGCAAACCTCTATGTTCTCTGGGAATTGCGGGATTCCCCTACCCCCGCCCCAGATCTTCTTGGTGGCAGCTGGTCCACGTCCTATATGCTTGCTATTGGGTTCACGATGAGCATTGTACCCTTTACGCTAGCACTTATGAGGAAGACCAATGATAAACTGATGGCTCATGCGAAGAGGGATGATGCGGCTAACGCGGAGGGTACGAAGGAGATGGTGGTTAGTCCACAGGAAACGGCGAAGCGAGCGCGGGAGGATGACGAGGTGCTTGGGCTTTTGCAGTATTGGTCGAAGCTGAACCTGATCAGGGCTTCGCTTCCGCTTATGGGGGCTGGCATTGGGTTCTATGCTGCTGTTTCCAGCTGGGTGCTTCCTTGAATATCGATAGTAAGAAGAGTTATCTGATTCGGTATCGTCATTTTTCTGTTCTCAAATTAAACCCCAGTACGAATATGTGAAAGCGAACTTCAGCAATTAAGAGTATGGGTATCGTCGAATTTCTATTGGGGCTGCAAGTTATGTATGTGCTGCGGCCACCCGAGTAGTTATAGCTATATGAACAAGTTGGAGGAGACAGGGTCAATATGTACCAAGAGCCTCAAGAGCATGCCTCAGAGATGTTGTCATGTTGAAGCAGACTTTATGTCCTCGTCTTCGGCAGGGTCCTTCTCAATGGTGGACCATTGCTCAGAATGTTGCAGGGCTTCATCGGCACTAATTTCCTGCAATGGGCTGGACTTCTCAGATGAGGCCTCTTGGTGGGGCTCTGGCTCATGGATTTCTTCATCTGCCTCATCAATAGCAAAGCCAACAATCTTTCCGGTACCAGGCTGGGAACGTGCCTCTTCTAGCACGTCGCCGTTCCAAGGCTGGCACTTTTTGACAATTTCACCACACCGGAGGCAAGTCCACCCCTGACCTTCTTCCGCCTCGACCTTCTGCACAATACAGACGAAGCAGTAGATACAGCCACAAGGGACAGTCTCGTATGGGTTTGTGATATCAGTTTGTGCCGATCCCGAGATTCCACCTGACGCAGCGGCCGCCATAACATCAGCTTCCGAGGTTGTTGTTGGGTTTTGATCGCGGTAGCAGATAGCACAAGTCCGTTCCGGGAGGAAGGCCAGCTCCCCTTGCTTTTCGGAAGGTTCATCATCGTCGTCATTTGACCGGATAGAATTGACCATCCTGCGCCAGGCCCGACTTATCCAACGCCGCCAGCGACCAATTCCGACAAGAGGAAGGAGGAAAAGAAGGAATTCGGTAAACGCATGCCAGACTAGCTGCCGGTTTAGGTATTCAAATGATACCTCACGGCTGGCCTGCGCTGAGGGTGGAGTCAAGCGGATGCGAAGGATGCGGTCGACCAAGGTGCGATATCGGCCGTTCACTAGGAACACGAGGAAAGAGACAAAAGCTGCGATTGAGTGCGACGTTGAGATAAAGTCCGTTAGGCGAGACAACATCCGGATATCCTGCGATGGCTTTGTGGTATCAGTCAGTATAAAAATCGCCAACCTAGACCGGTATATCGGCAACAAACCTCATCATAGCCACCTTCTTGCGCAATCAACCAACTCTCCCATTTGTCCCAAGCATATCGTCCTCCAACTGTCAATAAACCATAGATACTCTTCTGCCATTTCGTTGGAGAAGAAAAGACAGGCCCTTTGCTTCGACTATCGGTGTACTTCAGGCCCTGTAGCGCCGCGCCATACGAGGCATTGTGATCCCATATTGATAATTTGAAGAGTATAGCTCGCAACGCAAACAAAATCTCGTGGGACCAATCTTCTCGCATTTGGGGCTATATTCGTTGTCAATTGCCATTATCGTAAAAGCCTTCAGGGATTCCCTCTCCGAGGATTCATACATACCCCGAAGTATTTGAGGGCCTCCCCAACTTGGCCTTTCATCAGACCAAGCAGCTCCTCATCTAACAATTCGGCATCCACCTGGCCCACTCGAAATGCGGGGCGCGTCCCATCTCTCCCGTTGACGGTATTCCATATCCGCCACCCTGAACTGGGCAATCGATTCAATGGATATGGTAAACGCTGGACGGCGGCCGGGCTGATTGGAGAAGCCGCCTGCTGTGCCGCATGACGGGCGCGCGATTCGGCCTCGCGCAGGCGACGTCTTTCAAGAACCCGCTCTTGTGCAGCGGCGAAGTTTGTTGAGCTCATCGCGAAATCATGGTTTGATTGTGGTTGATAGGAGGGAGCGGGCTGGGGATCGTGAGAACACGGGGAAATGATGGGGCCCGGAGTTGCTCATTGACCGCGGTCGATTCCCCGGACGCAGAGCCGAGGCATATCACGTGATCCACCTCATCTTATGAATTGAAGAGCTATGAGTATTAGTGGCTGCATATCCTTTTCTAATATTGGTGTTGGAGGCCAGACTGCTGAGTTCGTCGTGTTGAAAAGCATTGTGGTCGACTCGGAGGCAGTCAGCAGCCCTATGGAAGAAAAGAAAGGAAAAGCACCTAAGAAGTATACATGTTCTTCTGCCTACATATAGTATCTGATTCCCATGTATTGATTTCCCTTTGAGTAAATCGAAAGCTAAGTTTGGACGTCAACTAGAAGGACGGATTCTTGAAGCTCAGATTTGGAGTCTACGCTTATGTACCCAGTAGAGTTGGTATACCTACAGCTGTGGACGCAGATGTCTGGGCAGCGAACATAAGCCATTTCAATTGAGACATGCAAGTCAGCTTCGTGCATAATTGATACCATCTCGACTGCATTAGCCAGTAAAATCTATTCCAAATCAAGTCGTAGATAGCCCTGGAGCCTTTCGGCATTGCCTTTCAGACCGTGGACTATTGGTTTTAAAATGGCAGACCAAATCGAAAGGTTGGTTCTGCTTTCATTGGAGTCTTTATAAACTCATGCGCTGCCCGAACCGACATAATTCTCTGCCTAAGCTTGCTTGGTTCCAAGTCTTCTGGGTTGTGCAAAATGGCACCTCTTGTGGATGAATCCATCGAGACTCGACTGTTCATCAATGGCGAGGTATCTTACACATCTACCACTCTCATTCTTTTCTGGGATGTTTAACACTTGCTGACTTTTGCAGTTCCGAACATCATCTGATGGCAAGGCTTTCGAAGTGGTTTATCCCTATACCGGAGAGGTAGTTGCGCAAGGTTAGTAGAGAGCCTCTCTCCAAGCCAAGGCATTGCTAACATCTTCGTTGCCATCCAAGTGCAAGAAGCCAATACGCAAGATGTAGATGATGCCGTTGCTGCTGCTAGCACAGCGTTTCCAGCCTGGCGAGACCTGGGCACTGACAAGCGTGGCGCATATCTGCGCAAACTTTCTCAGCTCATTCTGGAATCAAACAATGAGCTCGCAAAACTAGAGACACTTTCTACAGGCCGCCCAATCTCGCAATATTTTGACGCTGGGACAGCTGCCGAGTTCTTCGCGTACTTCGCTGGGGGCGGTTGGACCGCACAGGGGACAGCCAGTCTCAACACACCCGACCACCTTAACATGACTGTCAAGCAGCCGTATGGCGTGGTGGCGCTTATCATCCCCTGGAACTTCCCACTCGTTATATTTGCTGGGAAGGTGGCACCGGCGCTGGCGGCGGGAAACACCGTTGTGCTAAAGAGCAGCGAAAAGGCGCCTTTGACGGTTTGTGAAATCTCCTCGGTTTTATCTATTCATTGACCGGACCGTCTAACCAATAACATAGTCTCTTTACATAGCAAAGCTGGTTGAGAAAGCTGGCTTTCCACCCGGTGTCATCAACATCATCTCCGGCTTCGGCGACCCTGCCGGCTCAGCGCTGGCATCTCACATGACCGTCCGTTGTATCAGCTTCACTGGTTCCTCGGCAACAGGCCAGAAGATTCAAGTTGCTGCTGCGAAGACAAATCTTAAACATGTGCATATGGAGCTGGGTGGAAAATCACCGGCAATAATCTTCGAAGATGCGGATCTGAAGACAGCCGTTGAGCAGACTCAGTTCAGCATTCGGTTCAACAGTGGACAAGTGTGCACTGCAAACTCAAGAATCTATGTGCAGGAGTCGGTGGCTGAGCAATTCATCAAGTTATTTCGGGAACAATTTGGTGCTGTTCGGATGGGCGATCCACTCGACCCTGCCACCTTGCATGGCCCGCAGATTGATATACTGCAGTATAACCGGATTAAAGAGTATCTTGCTGTTGGGGAGAAGGACGGGAAGCTTACAATAGGTGGTGATGCGAACGACGGGTTCTTTGTGCAGCCGACTATCTTTGAGGGTGTTTCAGGGGACTCGCGGCTGATGCAGGAAGAGATATTTGGTCCTGTTGTGGCAATCAACACATTTTCAGCCGAGGCTGAAGCTATTGAGAAGGCGAACAATTCGGATTTTGGTCTGTATGCTGCTGTCTTCACAAAGGACCTTGACCGTGCTGTTCGTGTGGCCAAGGCCTTGGATGCCGGTACTGTTGGGGTGAACTGCACCAGCCCAACTAATGCTAAGGATACTGCTTTTGGTGGGTTCAAGATGAGTGGCAGTGGTCGAGAGGGGCTTTTGCACAGCCTTGACATTTTCCTTGAGACTAAAAGCATATTGATCAAGATAGCACGTCTGTGATAGCAGGATGCAATATCATGAACCTATAGCAACGAATGTGGGATCTCAGTGGAGGCGATGAAGCAATTATGATAGAATGATGTAGAGACCTGTAGGTATTTGGCTATAAACCAATAGTTCTCATATTCTTTGCGCCTGGGAACACCTGCTGAAACTACAGGGACGTTGGATAACTCTTTGGAAAGCAGGTGATTTAATCTGACTCTTTTCGTTTTCTTGTTTTACCTCGTATGTCTTTTCTTTCGATCTTCTATGCGTTTCCGTAGACTAAGGAGCAAACCGAGTTCTTATTGAATATTGATACTCGCAATTGTTTGTGTCTCTTCGCCCCTTGATGAATCCTACCGGGGTAAACATCCTCTCATTTTGCCGTTACTAACCCTCTAGCTTTTGGCTACGAGAAAAATTCTTTGCGCGTTCGACTTACTCTAGAGAGGTACCCTCTAACCATCGTGTCAAGAATCACAAATCCTTCATACTATCACTTGGCCTCGCCACCATGCCTAATCCAGCGAATTTGCCTCTGGAAATCTTCAATATGATTCTGGAGATCGCCTTTTCTGGAGAACAGCATCCCCAGTACGCCTGCAAATGTGCTCTCGTGAGCCGCCGATGACATGTGGTATTGCTCAATCACATTCACACGAATTGGACTTACAATGGTGGGAGAGACTCGTTCTCAAGATTCTGGAAATTTGTGCGCACATTGCACAGGAAACAATATACTGCAGCACCTCTCAGGACTCTGATTGTCGAAAATTATGGCTTCTATCCCCGTGCGACTGAAGTTACTGGAGGGCAGATACCACCAATACAGCCCTGGAGCTATCACCAGACGACAAACGATGGATTTGCAACGCTATCCACGATTCAGGTCTCGGGGATTTGGAAAACACGGTGTTGGAAGGTTTCTCTCGGCGAGATCGGCGGTTTTTGATGCCAATCCTTTTAGTCTATGCGCCAAACCTTTCAAAGCTCCACACAGATATACCCTGGTCTAACCCTATCTTGGGCACATTCTTGAAAAGAAAATCTGACACACAGATGTCAAGCAACATATTGGCCTCTCTCAGTAAGCTGGAGGAGCTCACTTTGTGGAATGAATACTGTGCCCGGTCTAGACTACATATGGCCCATAATTCACCTACCAAGTCTGCGAAACTTGGTCCTTTGTGATGTCGACCTGGTAAAGGCAGCCGACTTTGACCCCGGATGACAGATCTCCTGCCAATGAACGTAGATCGTTGAGGTTTCCTATTGGAGCGGATACAATTAGCCTGCCCGTCTAGGGTGGACAGGCTAACATCGTAGTTTGTCCCCAGTCCCCAATTAAATCTCGTATCGTCAGACAAAACAAACCATCGCAAGTGGCCTCTTATTAGCAGTTTGGTATTTTCCTTTCGGTGTCTCCACTACTGCCCAGGTGGCTTATTGGAATCGCAGGGTGCATGTACGGGCAGCGATGAAGCCAACTCTAATGTATGGGTTCTTATGATGCCTAGAGCATGACCTATTTAAACTTGTAACCAAATCCTACAATATGCTTGTTCGTACCATGATCGTTTCTTTGCGATGAAAATATCTGGATTTCAGTTCATTTGAATTAAAATGCAGACTGCAAGTTATTGAATGAGAAACAAATAATGTCATTGCAGCTTCACCCAGCTGACCTCACAGAGAAGTGTGATATCCAAGGACATCTTGATTAAAGGAGGAAAGTGGCAAAGGCGAGTAAGACTCCGAGCATGACAGTAGGGACTGGAACAGTGGCAGTAATGCCGGTGCCTTTGTGAGTGGTTGCCGCCTTCGTGGAGTTGGTTTTGGTCTCGTTGGTCCGCTTGGCAGTGACCTTCTCGTTGTAGTGAGTCTTCGCGTCCCAGGGATACGGCTTAGTGTCGTATGACGCGGTCTGGTTCCCATATGTTTTCTTGACGATATCCAGGATACCGTGGCCACCGGAACATTTCTCCTTGCTGTCGGTGATGGGGATCGGCCATTCGGGGACGAACTTGGAGGTATTTCCAGTGGTCTTATCGCCATCTGACATGGGTCCAGGATAGGTCTGATTCAGAGTCAGATGAGTCTTGTCAACCTCGTAGTTTATGTAACCGGTCTTGTTGGCAACAAGCTCGAAGATGTTGGCACCGCAATCCCAGCGACCCAGAGAAGGGAGGCCCCAGTTGGCAGAGACACTAGCAATGCTGGAGTAGTGGGTATAAAAGGTGTCATCCTTGGTGCCCCTGAGGTGTTCTGGAACAGCACCACCAACAAGAACGCTGAATACACGGTTGTCCTTGGCGTAGGTCGAGTCCTCATCAAACGTCAGAAGGAGAAGGGTATCATTGAAGAAATAGTCGTTCTTAAGCAAGTTGGCTACCCATGGACGCTCCCATTTGGCCCCGAAGGTGATGTTGGTATCATGCGCATCGTTTGTCATATTAGGAGTGATGAATGCCCACTGAGGAAGCTTCTTGTCTCGAAGGTCATTTTCGAAGTCATCGAAACTCTTGATGGAGCGTGCGCGACTGCTGTTAGCCACCACTGAGTTGTAAAGCACCATTGGGTTGTGCTTCCGAACATAGTCAGGATGATAGGTGGCTTGGTTCGAGTAGTTGAAGCCTTGGAAGCCGGCATAAGGAATGTGCTCCTGATACTCGGCCCACGAAATGCTCTTCGTGTCAAGCAGATCAGCGATAGAAGAAATGTTCTCAGGGATTTGCTTGAAGTCGTCATTATCCATGCCGAAGGTGTCACCTCCAGCAGCAGCACAGTAGTTGGGCTCAGAAGGATGAGTGACAGCATAGAAGTTGGTCCTGAAAAAAGTTCAGCATGAGGTCATCTCAACCCAAGAATTCAGTTTATTGGGGGCTTACAGCAAGATACCCTGAGAGGCTAACCACTGCATATTGGTATCCGCGGCAGAGTCCTCAAAGTTCTATGAGCTCAGTCAGTCGTTGTGTCCCGGGGAAAGCTTTGGGGCTGTGTGTACAATGTTCTCCAGCCAGACTTGATAGAAACGATCAAACACCAGACCCTTGACATCAGAGACGGTGACCTCAGGCTTAGTGGTGGCAGCAGCCGCGTGAATTTCCGCAACAGAGGGCTCAGATACAGTAGCTATCTGGGCAATTGCCAGAGCTGCCCCTCCCATCAAGACCGCGAGGACAGCCTTCATTTTGATAACTTTCATGGAAGATCAATGTACGAGGGATGAAGTTGGTGAAGACGATAGATCTGGAGAAGAAAATTAAAGAGGATGAGAGAGATGCAATGAAGAAGAAGAGATTTTCACGTAGGGGGAGGAACAAATATTAGCTACATGTACAGATGACAGGCATCTCCACACGTGCATCTTACATCGTACATTTGAAGACACCGGGACAACCCGTGGAAGACAGGGTATACCTGGTCAGTACTTAGAATTGGGCGTTCCCACCAGCTGAAGAGAAGTCTCGCTTTGGTAGGCGATGCAATGAAGTATGGGGCATGGAATGATGTTGTACACACACATGGTACAATTGAGCCCTCTGATTGGTTGAATGTAAGCCTGTCCCAACGGCCTGGGATTCTGGTTCGCGCCAAGCCCAGGGCTAAAGCTTGGTTGGGCCGCGGCTTCGGGGCATTTAGACCTCATCATACATACACCGAATGTATCTATCAAGTACATGTGCACAACAGATATGCACTGCTCCAGGGCCAGGTACATCGGCTACATACATGTATGTACTTTGTCGAATTGTCAATCTCGGAGTATTCATATCCTCATCTCAGCTCTCGGGGTGTACAAAGAAAGCATTTTATGGATTGAGGTGCGGATCTTTCTCCCCGCTCGATCAATGGAAACCCCCCTCTACTGAAGTACTTCCTGCGAAAAGAATGGGTTGCGAGGTCAAATTCATACGGACGTACGTCGTACTTATTGCAGAAAGATCTCTCCTCGGAGACCTCACATTATATTTGCATTTGTATACTTAATGTATGCCTCTCAGTGCCAATATGGCCAATATGTAGTCAGCGTGAGCTGGTCGAACTTGCATCCAAGTCTCGATCATACAGAGAGTAAAACCATCCCACTATCATACAGTCGTCAGATATCATATTTAATGTACAGTTTTACCGGGTGATTCCGTGACGCATCATGTTCTGAAGGTCCGGAACATCTTGGTCCCCACTACGGTTTTGGGCCTCGATCTTGATGTCGTCTTCAGGGCCACCAGCCCCTGTGTACTGTCCTGCACGGGCAAGTCTAGAAAGGGGTACAAGGTTAGAAATTGAAATGGCTCTATACCTTGTCAAGATATTGATATCTTACCTATTGCGGTCATCACGAGTGCCACCCTCATCTTCGGGGATCACACGGTGGTCGCTGCCAGAGGCGGTTGAGCCAGGGCCATATTTGACACTTGTGGGTTGAGAGAAGCGCTGGTTGACCATCTCGTCGACGCCAGACTCGAGAGCTGAAATGTCTGTCAGTATACGATGGACCAAATCTGTGATTGAGACCTACTTGAGTCACTCTTTCTGCCGACGCCCTGCTTGGCTTGGTGGGAATTGAGGTCCTTCTCGGCATCGAAGGCCATGTGCTTCAATTCTTCAGTCGTTGGCATTGTGTCTGATTGGATATTGAGGATATTGAGGATATTGATGGTTGATAATAGAGATATATTGAATGATAAACGACAAGCAACTACTGAACTGCACTTTATATATCTCATGTTGCCATTGAGTATTGCATCATGCTACATCATATGTATGTCACGAGTGGAGGAAGATGAAAGCACGCCTGCAACAAATAACAACGTTGTATGTAAGAGATTTTTTTGCTCAAAACAGGGTTGTCGATCTCGGTTTGATAGTACCCCGATCAGGTTGATTGATACTGACTTCATTGTCTCCACTTGGGAGAGACCTCAGAAGCCCTAGCGGGAGATCCCAATCGGGACGGAAGTCAGGGTCCAGCCCTAGGGTTTGGCGGGACCGGTGTATAGTTATTCCGGAGGCGGGGAGTTTATGCTGGAGATGGAGCTCCGATGAGAGATCCAGTTAGCTTGTTGATGAATCAACGTCTTGAGATACTCACTGAGTCTCTTTTCATAAATGCCGAGTGATTCGAACCCCTGAGATCTTGACTTGGCAGCCCGCTTCAGCAAAACCAGAAGATTTACAGGTCTCTCCTAGACGCGTCGAGCAAACCAGCATTCGCCATGGCCTTCGCCATCGAAGCGCAGGGCGAAACTAACCCACTTAGTGCCCAAAATGTGCTGAATACATTAATGCTTGCAGCAAGCTCGTCCCAACAGCAGGTCCGGACGGGTACTGAACAGCTTCAAAACTGGGAGAAACAGGCCATGTACTACACTTTTTTACAGGTATCAGTCGACAGATCCCGGCTATAGATGCTTCACATTATTAACAGACTCTACCGTCACACAGGAAGTCTTTCTTGACCATTCCGTACCAAATGAAGTTCGTTATCTCGCAATCATTCAACTGAAGAACGGCATCGACAAATATTGGCGCAAGACGGCAGCAAAGTATGTCATTGCTTGTTACATTGTGAAGCACGTATGCTAACACTGGCAAAAGTGCGATTAAATCGGAAGAAAAGCAACATATCAAGACACGAGCTCTTGATGCGGGCATTATTGAGCCAGCGCCGCTTTTGGCTCTGCATAACTCACTGATGATCGCCAAAATCATGAGATACGAGTTCCCCCAGGACTGGTACGGCAAGATAAAGATGTCTTTTTTTTTTCTATGCTAACTTCAATCAGGCCCGATGCGATTTCGTACATCATTTCCTCGCTCAGATCCTCCGTTCAGCCTGGAGCAAATCCACTCCAACTTCCCCGAACTCTTCTCATATTACTACAGATCATCAAGGAATTATCAACTGCACGAATCCAGCGAACGCGACACAACCTTCAGTCTGTGTCCCCTGAGATATTCCAGTTACTGGGAAGCATCTATGTGGACAAAGTCAATCAATGGGGGGCTATGCTAGAGCAAGGTGGTGCCGCTGAGGAACGATTGCTGGAATCACTCGAATTAAGCTTGGTGTCTCTGAAGGTCCTTAGACGTTTGATCATTGCTGGATTTGAGCATCCGAGTCGCAGCCAGGAAGTACAAAGCTTCTGGGTGCTGACCCATTCGCATTTCAGCAAGTTCCATTCTCTCGTGGACGGATCTGTCGGTTTGTCTGAGACAATCCACAAGACTATTGAGAAACATCTGCTGCAGATGTCTAAGTTGCATGTTGAAATGGCCAAAACACACCCTGCATCCTTCGCGTTGCTGCCAGATAGTATCTCACTTGTCCAGTCGTATTGGTCGTTAGTCGTCAAACTAGGCGAAAAGTATGACAGTCTCGGTTCTGGAGGCGAAGATGAAGGGAAGTCTTTAACCGAGAAGACCGGCCTCCGCGCACTGCTTTTGATCCGCGCATGTGCAAAGATGGCGTTCAACCCTGCTCAGACGTTCAAATTTCAAACACCACAAGACAAGGAGGAACGGAAACAATCTGTCCAGCTCGTCAAATCGCAACTTTTCACTGAAGAATTTGTGGTCAATGTCATGGAGCTTCTTGTCACACAATTCTTTAGGTTCCGCAAGATCGATTTCCAAGATTGGGAAGAAGAGCCAGAGGACTGGGAGAAGCGTGAGGAAGAGAATGCTGACGCTTGGGAGTTTTCTATCCGTTCATGCTCGGAGAAACTGTTCCTTGACCTCGTGATTCACTTTAAGGATCTCTTGATTCCGCGTTTATTGACGGTATTCTATACTTTTGCAAGTAAGTTGATGAAGGCTAGGCTGTGTGTGGATGGTTCTAATTTTCCGTGTCCCTTGTTTAGACACCGACAACCACAATGTGCTATTGAAGGATTCACTCTATTCTGCTATCGGCTTAGCTGCGGCCAGCCTTGAACAGCACCTAGACTTCAATGCATTCTTGGAGCATACCATGGTTCCCGAGGTCCAGTCTCAGGAACATGAGTACAAGCTTCTGAGAAGGAGAATCGCGCTCGTGCTTGGCCAATGGGTCCCAGTCAAGGCAGGTGAACTGAACATGAACGCAATCTACCAAATATTCCAGCATTTGCTCAGCAAACATGACCCTCTGAACGATCTGGTCGTTCGCATCACTGCTGGTCGGCAACTTCGGAGTATCCTTGACTCATACGACTTTTCACCCGACGCATTCATGCCATTTGCGCCACCGATCTTGGAGAGTCTTATGGCCCTTGTACAAGAGGTCGAATCTTCAGAGACGAAGATGGGACTTTTGGAGACAGTTCGCATGGTGGTGGTCAAAATGGAGGAACATGTGAGTTGTTGTCTCTTCATTGGCCAGCTGCATAACTAATTAAAATCAGATCAATCCGTTCTCGGACAGCATCATCTCCTTACTCCCCCCCTTGTGGGAAAGCTCAGGAGAAGAACACTTGATGAAACAGGCTATCCTAACTTTGTTGTCATCCTTGATCCAATCACTAGGACAGGAGTCAGTCAGGTATCACTCTTTGATTCTTCCTCTGATTCAAAGCTCCGTTGAACCCGGCTCGGTAAGTACAGCGTCAATTTGATTATGTGCCATATCGGTCTAACATTTTCCCACAGGAAACTATTGTATACCTTCTAGATGAAGCATTGGATCTCTGGCACGCCATTATCCAGGCGACGCCGTCTCCAGCCTCACCGGAGATCATATCACTTCTCCCGTCTTTGTTCCCCATTCTTGAGGCAGCAACCGATAGCACCCCACAGGCCATCCAAATTCTTGAATCTTACGTTTTCCTTGCACCCCAGGAGATTCTCAGCGACCGCTTCCGTTTCCAACTTCTGGTGATCCTCGAGTCTCTACTCAAATCCACAACCAAGCAACGTCTTGGTGTCATACCTCGCCTTGTGGATTTGATGCTCCGTGGTGCTGAGACTGTCGATGGTGGTAGTGAGGCAACCTATAGCATCATCTCCCAGTCCCTTCTGGATAGCTCATTCCTTGCTTCTCTGCTGGAGGGCCTCTATTCTGCCTATGAAATGAGCCAGACATCCGGCCCAAATAGGAAGACTTCGCCTGTGGTCGGTGTCGTCGAGAGTGATTACTTCTCTGTTCTAGCGCGTCTTGCGATGGCTAGCCCTACCATTTTCGCCTCCTCGGTTGCCGCCGCCACCAACTCGTCTGATGAACAATCCTTGAACTGGATCTTGACTGAATGGTTCTCGCACTACGACAACATCGGTAGCATTAACCAAAAGAAACTCCATGCACTTGCCCTCACCCAGCTCCTGGCTCTACCAGGGGTGCCACTCGACCCATCTCTTCCTCCTCCACCCCCTGCCTACATCCTTTCCCATCTACAATCTTACCTGAGCATGTGGACGGATCTTATCACCGAGCTAGCCGACGGTGGCACTGATCCCAATGCGGATTACCTGGTCTGTTGGAATGCGCCCGCCGGATCGGAAACTGCGATGCCAGAAGTCGCCCAAGAGGCCGAATCGCCCGAGATCATTCGTCGCCGCGACTGGCAGTCCGGAGATGCAATTCACCGCTTCACGATTCGGGACTTTGTGCGCCACCGCCTGCAAGAAGTGATTACTGGCTGCGGTGGAGCGCAGCGGTTCCAGGATGAGTGGCTCGTCAACGTTGACAGCGAGGTGGTTTCGGCGTTTGGAGCCCTCGGACTGCTTTGAGCGGTATAGTTTTTCTTCGTTCTGAACTTGGCATTCGCCCTACAGCTTTCACTTGCATTGCCACCATGTCACTGTATATGTGTGTCACCGTACATTTGTCCCTTTCCATTTGCATGACCACCAGGGCCATACTTGTTTGGCTTCTGTTACTCGGTACCAACTACATACCCCAATCCATGAGATATCATTTCAAGGCTTGTCTTCAACGTGACTCGTAGATCAGTCGGTAAGGCTTCGAGATTCATACATTCCGAAGGTAGTGCAGATAGTAAACATAAAATGACGTACTACACAATCTGACGGCCAAGCGATGTCGTGTGACACTATTCCGCTTTGGGGTGTTTCACTGAACCGTTGATCCGATCTGAGTGCTGTGGCCGGGGAGTGAATAGATGGAGACGGAAGTTGCGATTTCTTGAGATTTATGTATCCGAGGCAGATCGAGTCAAATCTTTGGCCTGCGCACCTTACGTCGGCCTCTGATGCCTTGAGTCATAAAGGGCCATTGGAGGGTTTTCCGGTAATTTTGGTAGGATTTCTCAGGTTACAAACGTCGTGGCTGTTGAACTGTCCATACCATATCCTCTATAATTCCCGTTCTGGAAACGTTTCCGGGTTAAGATCCCCTTCTCTACCTACATTATGTAGCCGGACCGGGTAGCCGGTGTTTAGATTGTCATGGGGACTCGCGACTAATTTCGGTGATGGCAATCCTGTGGCTAGCTTACCTGGATTGTATAGGTTCGAATGCATATTATAGGGCCTAGATGCAGTGAGCGTTGGTAATCGGCGATCGGAAGTTCGGATTTTCGGATTTTCGCGGCAAACGTGCAGAGCCACATGGAGTTGATGGATCTGCTACTCTTCTGTTCTGCTATGCTCGCTACGAGGACTGTGGCATTGGCCACTGATTGTGTATTCTACGTTGCCCTAATCTGCAGTGTGAACCCAACGGTGACCTTGAGATGGTCGGGTATTGAGATTGATTTATACTCGGAATCCCCAGGTCCACCTTCGTGCCGTGCCAATGACCGTCTCTGGAATTTTCACTCCACTCGACAAAGGCCCAAGGGCCCTAAACGCCAATGGGAATCCTGGCAAATTTCTCTAGGCCACTTTTGCATATGACTCCCAGGTCGATTGTTAATACATAAACCCCCTCTTCGCTTCGGTCGTTTCCTGTTTCTCCCCAACTCCAGCGGTCTAGACTACTTATTCTTTTTTTTAATGCAAGCGGTCAATTTAATAGCTGCGTTTTCCACATAGAATGTCCACCAATGTCGAGTCTGCCAGCAGCAAGACTGGCCATGCCTCTGATATCATGAACACCAACAAATCCCAGAGCACCCCGGCCTTTGACGAGAAGTCGGCTGCCCATGTGAACAATCAACACTTCGACAGAGAGGCTACACCAGAGCCTAGCCTACAAGATGCATACAGGACAGCATCCACAGTGGCCCCGTCTCAGAGATCAGCCCGCAGAGATCCTGTCAGTCGGGTAACCACCGATGCTGACGGAAACACCTACCCTGAGGGTGGCCTGGAAGCCTGGCTGGTAGTGCTGGGCAGCTTCCTCGGTCTCTTTGGATCACTCGGACTGGTCAACACTATCGGTACCTTCCAGGCATATATTCAAACTCACCAACTGAAAGAATACAGCTCAGGAGCCAATGGCTGGATTTTCGGAATGTTCGCTTTCTTGACCTTCTTCTGTGGTGTTCAAATTGGACCAATTTTCGATGCTCGAGGCCCACGTATTCTGGTTTTTGCAGGTTCCGTCTTCGAAATGGCTATGATCATTCTCCTCGGTTTCTGCACCCAGTACTGGCACTTCATGCTGGTCATCGGTGTCCTGGGTGGAGTGGGAGCCTCGCTCATATTCACCCCCGCGATCTCAGCCATCGGCCACTACTTCTATGAGAAACGGGGAGTCGCAACTGGCATTGCTGCCACCGGTGGATCCGTTGGAGGCATTATTTTCCCTCTCATTCTGGAAGACCTCTTCCCCAAAATTGGCTGGGCCTGGGCCACCCGCGTTGTTGCCTTGATCTGTCTGGTCACCCTTTCACTTGCAAATCTCCTGATTCGGTCCCGACTCCCGCAGAAGCCCTTCTCCAGGGAGAATGTGCTTCCTGACTTCCGCATCTTCCGAGACCCACGATTCGCCCTCACCACTGCCAGCGTCTTCTTCATTGAATGGGGTCTCTTCGTGCCAATCAGCTACCTCTCATCCTATGCGCTCGATCACGGCTTCTCCACCAAGTTCTCGTACCAAATCATCGCCATCCTGAATGCCGGCTCGTTCTTCGGACGGTGGCTGCCTGGTTTCTTTGCCGATTTCCTTGGTCGCTTCAACACTTTGATCGCAACAGTCGCTCTCTGCGTGCTCTGTAATGCGTGCTTCTGGCTTCCTGCCGGCAACAGCCTGGCCCTGGTTGTTGTTTACGCTGCCATATTTGGATTCTCAAGTGGCAGCAATATCAGTCTGACACCCGTCTGTGTTGGTCAACTCTGCAAGACCGAAAACTACGGCCGGTATTACGCAACTGCCTACACCATTGTGAGCTTCGGGTAAGTTCTTTCTTTTGCTTTCTCTTCGTCTGATGTCATCTCCAGAGCTGACATCCTTTTGCCACCCAGTACCCTCACCGGAATTCCCATTGCAGGTGAAATCCTGGCACGTTGCAATGGATCTTACTGGGGCTTGATTACCTTTACTATCTGTTGTTACGCGGCCGGTCTGGCTTGCTGTACCGCTGTCAAGGTCATTCATGTTGGCTGGCGTCACCCTCTTGCGATCTATTAGATTTCCATTTGGTTGCCCAGGATTGACATGTCCGATCTTAGTCTCGTAAATATCTCATTCAAAAAGATGAGCATACACAGAAAAGTTGTTGTTTTCGGCTTGCATTGTCTAAGTTTTAGCGTTGAAGCTTCTCTTTGTGCATAGCCAATACCTATTAATGTTTATTCATATCCTTTTTTGCGTATTATAATGCAGCCACATACTTTCGACCTGTACTGATGCCATGAGGTCACTTTAGGATGAGGTCGGATAACGTTTCCGCCGCCATCCTGATGTCGTTCAACGGGGGCTTCACAGTTCAATTAGAGTAAGTCAGGCACACAAATCAAAGTGAGAAGCAAATTTGCCCCAATGGAGGCACCAGGAGGCACCAGGAGGCGATATAGACATATATAAATTGACAAATCAGTCCCCCGCAAGATATGGCTGAACACGAACAGGTCGCATAAGATATCCGACAGGAACCTGATCTATGTAAACATCCGATCACAATGATGCTCCTGTGCCTTGTCGATCCACGGATTCACCTCGAATGTTTCCAATAGGACAACGCGGACTTCAACGTTGCTCTGGAACCAAGGCATTGAAGCTCACGCTCCCAAAGACAAAACGTCGACATCACCGTTGGCCAATCCTCTGGCGCTGATGCCATCGAGCGTTCATCAATCCATCACAATTGAGTTTTTTCCCTGTCGACTCTACATATACAATCCGGATGCTCGCGTCTTCTTCTTCACCTCGAGACTTATGCGTTTTTTCTCCTCTCGATTCGTCCGGGTCTTCTACTCATTGCTGATCTTGCTATCAAAATCCAAAGAGCTCATTTTTTAAAGATCGTTTCACCCACACACGGTCCGGGAATACCGGTGTACTTGCATTGACACCCGGCCATTTGAATTCGGCCATCTTTGCTTCGTCTTGCGTATACCCCTGCTCGCTCCCAGCCATGTTCCCCAAAAAATGCTGGATCCTGCTGGCTTGCTACTGTACTCTGCTGCAGAATGTTGTTGCCGCTGTGCCGGATGGATCGGTTGAGCAGTCGGATCCTGAGAAGCGGAGGCTTGAAGAGCGGGATCTGGCGCAGCGTCATAATCATCCTGATCTGGAGAGCTCGCTGCTTTCCGTGTTGACTGAGGAGTTGGCTTCCACACTGCCTCCACCGCCGACGACTACTGGGCCAGGTGGTGGGCCAGGTGGTGGGCCCGGAGGTCCTGGTGGTCCCGGTGGTCCTGGTGGTCCTGGAGGAGGTGGTGGTCCCGGTGGCCCAGGTGGAGGCGGCCCTGGAGGTGGTGGCCCTGGAGGCCCCGGAGGTCCTGGTGGCGGTGGAGGCCCTGGCGGCCCTGGCGGTCCCGGTGGTCCCGGTGGAGGTGGCCCAGGCGGTGGTGCTCCCGGCGGTCCAGGCGGTGGCCCTGGCGGTGGTGCTCCCGGTGGCCCAGGCGGTGGTGCTCCCGGTGGTCCTGGCGGTGGTGCTCCCGGTGGCCCAGGTGGTGGTGCTCCCGGTGGTCCAGGTGGTGGTGCTCCCGGTGGTCCAGGTGGTGGTGCTCCCGGTGGTCCTGGCGGCGGTGCTCCCGGTGGCCCCGGTGGCCCTGGCGGTGGTGCTCCCGGTGGTCCTGGCGGTGGTGCTCCCGGTGGTCCTGGCGGTGGTGCTCCCGGTGGCCCCGGAGGTCCTGGTGGCGGTGGAGGCCCTGGCGGCCCTGGCGGTCCCGGTGGTCCTGGCGGCGGTGCTCCCGGTGGCCCAGGTGGTGGTGTTCCTCCCCCAACTACGACTGGCACAACGACAGGTACAGGTGTCCCACCAGCTAGCGGCCCTGCTACTTCCCCTACAGCTCCACCACCAAGCACTACCACCACCAGTACATCTTCTACTACAACAGAACACACGACCACTGCTCCTCCACCTCCATCACCTCCCCTAACTAGTGTCACAGTTTGTCCTACCACGTCTCAGGCACCCGTGGTGATCCCGGTGACAGTTACATGTCCTGTCGTTGCACCGAGCACTGTCACCGTCACTGTCACGGCTAGTTCGGGCGCGGGAGCCGGTACGTCCACCCTCTGTCCTTGCCCCACTGGAGGCGGCGCAGGCCCAGGTGGTGGTGCTGGACCTAGCGGAGGCGGCCCTACAGGCGGTGCTCCAGGAGGCGGTGCTCCTAGTGGTGGAGCAGCCGGGGGTGGTGGTCCCAGTGGTGGTGGAGCTGGAGAAACCAGCACTGGTGGAATTCCCTCGACTAGCAGCGCGACAAGCTCATCCACCCGGACCAACACCCGTACCGAGACTTTGACCCAGACAAGAACCTCAACTCCCTTCGTCCCGAGCAGCAGCATCACACCAGGCAGCAGCAGCAGAGAATCCCGTACCAGAACCATCAGTGGCTCACCCAGCACGCCAGCGACTCTTGTGACTTTGCCAACGTCGACCCCTTTACTCCCACCGTCCTCAGAGACGAGGTCAGTCCGCGTTACTCCGCGAGCATATATCAACCCTGATGTGGTTCGTCGACAGGTGAATGGCAACCATACAACGGCGATATTCACCAACACGACTCGTATCGCAAATGCCACCACCCATGCAGTGAACCTCACCCATACCACGACCGAGACTCTCACTGAGCCTGCGGCTGCGTTCCTGCCCCGCTTTCATCGTGGACGGAATCGTGCTTAGACTATTTGGTTGAGATGAGAAGATTCGTTCTTGATAACTGTGTTTTAGATCAGGCGTTTGGTTTTTTGGATTCTTTGACGTTTTTAATATACTGTGTAGTAATATAATTTTGCTGTTCACGAATTCGGTCTACCTCCATTATGTACTGTCATTACAGTCGTCGTGTGTATTTTTTTCTAGCGGAGATGGTTGTAGTAGGTTGCTTGTTTGTCGCGCAGTTTCCTAAGTACTTTCTTGTCTCTTTTTTTGATAGAAAAGAATTTCTACAACAGCAGGCTAATGGTAACCTTGCAAAATCCAGCTCTTTGTAGGGCTATCATTGGTTTTGGATTGTCCGGACTGAGATCTGAACGACATCGTATTGCCAAAATATGCTCGGAATCAGGCCAATTTCCCCCTGTAGATGTCGCGAGGTAGAAATTCACCTACAGGAGAAGCGAAGAACATAAAACACATATTTTTCTAACTGCATCCAGTGGGATCGAATCGGAGAACTAGAGGTCTGAGTCGCGCAAGTCGAAGCAACCTTGAAGCATTTAGGGTTATTCTTTTTTCAGGTGGCCGGCTTGACTAGCAGCATTGCAGCTCAAATGAACTTGGATTCAATTTGGTGTTCTTTTTCCAATAAGCAGTTTCCTGGTCTAGCGGTTATGATTTTCCGTTAACAAATGCCACTGGCATATGTTCCGGAAAGGTTCTGGGTTCGATTCCCAGGGAAACTATTTTTTTGATTCTTCGCAAAGCAGGCGAGAATAGTCTTTGAACAATTGGAGGTAATATTCTACAGCGTATAAAACTTTCAGCTGATTTTCACCGTTCATACTTTCTTTTTACCCATACGAATCAAACCCTACCGCACTCAGTGTATGTAAGTGAAATTGTCGAATGGCGCAAGCCCGATGACCACAGTGGACCGCCTTGGAACGTCTCAAGAGATGGCTATCCTGAGTGGGCCCTGGACTACTCAGTTTAAATAAGACTGTAACTTGAGAACTAATCCGAATATCACCTTCGGCTTGCAGCTGACGAAACGATTCTGTCCGCTTCAAACCTTGTGGGATATACCGGGGTCTGTATTCCAGGGAGGCTTGACTAGTGTCTTCTTTCATTGCTCGTCGCATACAGACGAAATGTACGCCAAGGACTGGAGCATTGCAATGCCCAAGTATTTACAGGGTGTAAAGGATACATGTAGCCGACCCGTGCGGACTTCCACCCATCCTTTGTAGGCATAGATGGCCACATATCACAGAGAGGATGTTTGATTTCCTTGAGAAGTGGGTTCCATCTGTAATGTGTCTTCTCGTGTACCAACCTATATCATATAAGGTGATATCATTATCGTACGCAGTTGTCGAGTAGACCATACTGTCCACTCGAAAAGTGTTCAGTCCAAAAGGCGTGAGACGCAAGTTCCCCAGACGGGAGCAAGATTGACTAGGGGAAAGCAAGTCTTAGATTCACACAGTGAAAGTCTCATTGACAGCTGCGTTCACAAAGGATACCTCATGGGACCGGTATATCATTCGACTATTTCAGTCTACTGGCCGTAGGGGGCTATAATGAGGATCTCGCTCGGGGCTATGGATTTGGGGAGATGAGCAGTCGTTCTATACTTGGTAAAAAGGAAATGCCATCTATACACGTATAGCCACGTCGAGAGATTTGATTCAATGAAAGGACTGGACCTGGCAAAGGTCCATGGTAGCTGATAGCTCCAGCAAGATATCCTCTCGTGGTCCTGCTACACTTGATACGGCTTACTACCGGGGAGGTATCTAGGGAGTCCTTGAGAGGTTTATTCAAAGTGTAAGACATCCATGTAGCTCTTCCGGACGGTGACATTCGGATTATGCCCGTTGATTGACTACATGTAGCGTCCAACTTGACCCCGGAGTTCCATAGTCAAGATTGAATGGCCCTGATCTCTGGAGATCGTGGCTGTCTCCTTTACTGGAGGTATGGACTGGGTAGTTCCTTCCTTTTCCAAAGGGACTGTCAAAAGAACAATGGGTTGTCTCTTCTCAACTAGGCTTAGTAGTTCTGATTTTTCTGAAAAGGAGGCTTCTGAATGGTCGAGACAATGCCTATTGTTCTCTCTATTCAGGCCCAGTCGCCCCTTCCCTTTTGGGACTGCTGGAGGGGGTTAAATACCTTCATCTCCCCTTTTTTTCTTTCTTCCTTTTCTCTCTCTCTTCTCTCAATTTACCAAAGACTTTTCCTACAGCGCCCCCAGCGCTGTGACACCTTCTGCCTCCCCTCGTTTCCCCGGCCTCGCCGGCGTTTTTGATTTTTGTTTCAAAAAAAAAAAAAGTAACAGTTTTATACCAGGCCTATATTCCCCTTCCATCTTCCTGTCTTCATGTGTAGACACATGGTGAGACATATGCTTACATCTTTGCAGATAAAAAAAAAACATGTTGATCCCATTCTTGGGTATCTTCGTGGGCATGACTCTCTGGAGTCAGTGGTTCTCCATCCCGGGGTTCACTGTTCCAGAGCAGTCGTTCATGCGGCGTCTGTCTGGTACCTTCCAGCTGACAATGGAATCTTGGACTTTCTGCGATCTGGTGGACTTTGCCGTGTCCCAGGGTTCTCCCTTTGGTGACCGTGCAATTGTGATCCCTGCAGATAGTCATGGGCATGCAAACTTGACGGAAGGACCCCCATTCGAATCCCCGTTCATGGTACCCATCCCGGTCTCGCCCTGGTCAAGTGATCGAGTGACATCTTCTGATCCCGACGAATTTGTCCCCGTCTTCACACTTGGATCCGGTCCCGGGCAATTTTCCGATGGCACGCTGTTGTTGTTTGGCCTCTGGTGTTTTTTCCTAGGTTTCTGGGCCTCGATTGTTTACCCACGGCGATATGTCGCGGCTGGCATTGAAGCCATGATTGGCTGGATTCTGAACTTTCTTGACGACCAACCGCAAATTGCACGTGTGCATGCTGTGGCCGAGGAAAATCCATTCTCTTTTTACGAGGAGATGGATGCTCTGATCGCGGGTCAGACGAAAAGGGATGATGAAGGTCTTGACTGGAACTTTGCTACGGACATTCGTCCCAATGACGTCTCCCATGTGTCGATGCCCCCTCGGTTTGAAGGTACCTGGTTCCCCCAGACTGCTGATGACCTGATGGGTGGGCAGGCCATGGACTCGGAATTGGCTTGCAATCGCACCGAACCAGCCAACACCACGGACGACGCCTGCGCGAACTTGGTCTCTCGGCCTCCCTGGAACTCATCCGACATCTACGCCTCCGACCATGACGATCCCTTGGCTCCGGTTGAGATTCTGAATGGGAACGGTGCGGAAACTGCTGGTTGTGATTCCACCCCGGCGAACAAAAGGAAGAAGAACCGTCCGTCGCAAGCAGCGAGACTTCGTCAAGGAAAGAGGGCACGCCGTGAGAGCGAGAAGGAACTTCAACAGGATGCCTTTGGGTCTACTGTTCCAGCCTCTTCCGCTCTGGATGCTTCTCTGGCGACTTCTCAGGTCTCGACGCCTTTATCGGCTTTGGCTCCGGTCTTTGTTCCTGGTCGTACGGCGGAGCAGGAGCTGCAGAGTGGTCCTCTTTCCCCAACTCCCTTGTCTGTTGAAATGGACATTGATCTTCCCGCGGACTGTGGTACGACTTCGCCTGATGACAACGCTTCTTCCCAGCGGTCTAGTCGCCGTCATCGCCGTCGAAAGCGTCATGCCTAGATGCTTTGATGGAGATTGGACACGTATCAGCAACAAAGGTGTCTGATTGGGACAACCTAGAAGAACCTCCTCTCCTTGGAGAGTTGTTTAGGTCCTTCTTAGATGTCCCGCAGCCCATTGTTTGTTGTTACAACGCTGTTTAGGGGCGCCATCTAGCGTCCTCGGAAGCTTTCTTGTGTGGTGGTTGAGTTTGGAGATCGAAGTGACTGGCCAATATGTAAGTCAACTCCCCCTTTGACAGATTCCTTGAGAACATTGTACTGACGAGTTTGCTACAGGCTTATTCAAAAAAAAAAAAAAAAAAAAAAAAAAAAAAAGAGAAAAAGAGAAAAAGAGAAAAAGAGAAAAAGAGAGAGAGAGATACCAAAGTGAAAGCAAAAAGCAAAAAAACAGAAACAGAAACAGAAAAAGCGATCTAGCAAGGTTAGACCTCATCTCAGTCTTACTGAAAGATCCCTTTCACGGCGCTTTCGTCTCACGTCGGCCTTGTCTTGTTCCCTGTGGGATTCTCTGTTTTTTGATCTTTGACCATGGCCAACCTGACACTATCTTCATTTGCACCTCACTGTCCGATTTGAGGTTCAGCCCAGGGCTGCAGCCATTGTTTCAATGCCTTTTTACGGCGGACCAACTCCAGTTTCTCAGTCAGCCGTCTTGGTTCTTCGAGTTTTCCAGCATCTGTTCTCGGAGTTGTTCGACAAATGTTAAGTCGAAAATGTTTTCTCATTGCAGCCTCTGGGGGAGGCTTGGTCATTCTCACGGGGTTATTCACATACCCCATGGATTCACAACGACTTTTTGTGAATATCATTCCATGTACTACTTACTACATCATTGATACCAAAAGACATGGATGCAACCACATCTTCTACCATGACCTTCTGACACATACACCATTTGCGCTGCCTCGTCACACATCTCATTCACTTGAGGCTATGGTCATCCGCTTTACATCAAACATTCGAGCAGATATGGAAACTGTCATGGCTTATCCGAGCGGTCTTCGGGGGGGGACTTGCTTGGACACAACTCTGCACTCTCAACATCAGCCATCTTTTGTCTGTCGTTTCAACCAGATCTGTCGACGCATTATCATCAATTGACACATCTCCGATGACACTCGAGGAACAATCTGGCTGCTTCAATATCATTCTTTCACTTTGAGTCGTCGGGCTGCAGTCAACACCACTTGTCCATGTTGGACTTCTACTCACCACATATTTGCCGGTACTCGGATCCGCCTGCTCTCGGCTGGGCCATGAGATAAGCCTTTGCCAGATCAAGAACATCATATCCTCTCTGGACTTGTGGTATGTTATAGCCGTCTCTAGTTTTGTTTTCGCTTACTAACATTGACAGGTTAGGACGCTTCCAGGATTCTTGATTTTCTCCATTGATTCGTCCACTCCGATCTCTCCTTTCTTCAACCGGCCGCACTCCGGATTCAGTGTGCTATCTACGAACCATGATGAGATACGAGACATGAGACATGAGACGTGTTACCACGGGATATCAAAACTGGGATACAGACACATTCATGTGTCATGCGACTTTCTTGTACTTTGTGTACACAAATCGGGCATCAATTGCACCGACCTTTCTCTATGTTGAAATTTGTTTTGAGTGATACCCAATGAAGCTTGATTTGCTTTTGCTGTTTAATTTCCTACCACTTTTCTTCCATGAGATTCGTTGACTTGGTTAATGCTAGGAAGTAGTTCCTCAGTATCCCATAGTTTTCGAGGCTCTATTCTCATGATAGTCACTTTCAAATGTAGCTTTACCTCAATGACACCACCACGACTGAGGAGCTGGACTTGAGAGTCATGCGAGGTAGTAGAGCTCTCTTTGACAGCTGGATAAAGAGGATCTACTCAATTTCAGATAACAAGATCTACTATGTATAGGGCATGTCAAGACCGATATGCACCACACGTTGTAATGGTCAAGAGCTACCATGTAAGAAAGCTTTCGAATAACCACACCTAGGTGTATATGATTCTAAAAACAACGATTATTGAAATAAGAAAATTATTGCAAGAAGAAATAAAGTCTTGCCGCTATAGCAGATCATTACATGACATGGCACTTCCCTCTTCGCTTGCGACCCCGTTCTTTGATTGTATGATCATTCCAATCCATAATACGCCGTCGCCATTCCTCATTCTGAGGTGGTGGCAAGGTAGTAGGTTCTGTTGAAACACGCCTGTGGAACGACCGTTGCCTCTGAGGTATCTCATGCTCGTCATCTGGTGCAGTGCGCTGCTCATCTTCATATGGCTGCGGGATGTGAAGGAGATTTGGCGATGATATAGAGTATGGAAAGTATGCAGCGCCTAGTGCATCGCCCAGTGCTGTGGCTCCCAGATATGGAAGAGGCATGGTGCTTTCCTGCGCGGTTTCGGCTGGGTGTATGGCAAATGTAGGCGTCAGTGGGCTTGGACCCGAGGGATATCCTTGGTGTGGGGAGAGGTTGTTCGTCAACGAGTCCTGTGGGAGTAATTGTTCTTGGGTGAAGTAGTCTCCTTCTCTGCCGATGGATCCTCCTCTTCGTCTGGCGCCGGTTAAAGCGCCAGTTCCCAGTACCGTGACCGGCTGTGGGCGTGGACGGGCCGATTGCTGCTGTGCGACACGGGTGGCTTGCGTTCGGCCAGATTGGGGAGAAAGACTCGGTGGAACGAGAAGTGTTCTCTGTAGATCATCTGGCAATGGGGTCTCTGTCTCGGGTTGATAAGGTGGAGGTGGTGGTACCCAATTGTCGGCGTCGCTCTCATGCGGCACGTGTCGTGGGTTGGGAGAATTGCGATATCGCGGGTCATATCGCCCACGGTTTCTGTCAGCTACAGTGGCAGCTCGTTGGAGGAGTTCACGGGAACGAGGCTGCGTATTGTCATATGGGAGGTCAGGCACTTCGCTAGAGATTCCGTTGGGCGAGTTGGGAGCTGCGAGACTGTTCCGCCGGAAACGGAATGGCAGGGCTCGAGATTCTCGAGTTGGTCGGAATGTTGTAGCGGTATCACGACGCTGTATGCTTGTTCGCCTTCTTTCGAGCTCGACTTCGGTGGCCATAGAGGAGTCCGGCTCCATGAGAAGTTTAGGCGCGATTTCTCCAACCTCAATGTCAATCTCGATCGTCGCTCCATTACTTGTAGAACGTTCAAAGTCGAGAAGGAGGATTCGTCCACCGTCAACTGGGATGCCTTCTTCGCCAAATATTTGCGGGTGTACACCGCCGGGGGCCACCGCGACGAGTCTGTGATATCTTTTTCCAGATGTTGAGCGTACCCAGTGAGCGGAAGTGATCCCTTGCATATCAGTAACCCGTCGTCCCCTAATCAAGATTTTAGGTTGTCGGACAATTTTCTGGAGTTGTACCAAATTGTCATGAGGTGGACAATCTGCACAGTGATGACCTCCACCAATATGGGTACCATCAATACCACTGTGAGTGGTCAGGCTAGGTATACCATATATCCAGAGCTCTGAGTCTTCGAATCCCAAGGCAGCAAGCTCTCCTGCATCGTCTGTGGCAGGTCTCATGCTTGGTAGCATTTCTTGAGACTCATCACCCAAGAATGGGCTGGCGAAATGAACAATTCCCGCATTTTGCTTTAGTTGAATTGCCCTAAACGCCGCCAGTTGATTGTCATAACCAATCATCCAGTGATCGTCAACTTCCTCATGGCCAGCAATAAGGGAGGCATGGGTGATTTGACAGCTAATTGTCTCGGGAAAGAGAATCTGTGTGGTCCACATCCGCATTTCGAGCTCTTCAGGTGAGGCGTCGGTTCCAGTCTCGGTATAGAAAGGAGGAGTGATAGTGACAATACTATCAGCTGTAAACCCAAGCAGCATTGCTCCATCAAGCGAAAATGAAAGAGCATCAACACGCGGACAACGCACTGCCCGGCGGTGGGTTGGCAAAGCGGCTTCGCCCACAGCATACACTTCAATGCTATCCTCAAAAGCCAGGGCTAGTACACTACCCGTTGGGGAAAATTGAATGTCCTTTGGAGCATCATTGAGCGTGAGAACTTGAATGTTTTTGGCTTCATCGTCAGAGAGCTGATAGATATTGACTCGATGTGTGGAAGACAATACGGCAAGGAGAGAGCCATCATCGCGAATTGCGGCTCCCAGCGGCCGCCTTCGAGTCATGAGCTCGTGCTTGACGATGACTGGATCAGTAGACACATCTAGGATGACAATGCGAGAAGACGTGATACATAGAACCATTTGACCATTGGCTGAAAATAAAAAACGAAATACTTCGCCATGTGGAAAAGCTGTAGATGAGCTCATAGAACTTGAAATAAGTCGCACGAGCGTTTGACGGGGTCGTAAGAATACATCAAAGGCATTTTGTCTGACCTCCTGAACGAACTGTTGCTTGAGTTTAACGAGGTCTTCTGTCTCAGATATAACCTGGCGAGTCCACGAAAATGAGGGACAGCGTGACAACTGATATGCATATAATGCTGCCGAGTCAGACACAAGTTTCCATTGTCGATTCAACAAAGACAATGACGCAAATGTATTGGCATCCGCAGCATAAAGGATGCTATTGAATCAGTATGAATTGCATTCTATAGTCCGAAAAGCTACATGTTGCACATGTATCTGCGACTTCTGAATGCAGTGGGAACTCACTGTTCAATCACATTGGCTGGTAGCCGGTCAAAGGACGTGTTTGGACTTGGCGACACAGGAGAACCCACTTGAGGGAACTCGAGGGGCATCTCGGACAAGGAGGTATCCTCCATGATCACCTCTTTGTACCTACATACAACAGAATCCACGCACAGCGGGCATTGTTAAGGGGAAGTTGACCGTGTGGCTGTGCATTTTTATTGCCCCATGAAGGACTGCGGGACAGCGTCACAGCGATGAATCAACTCATGCCGATCGCATGCATTGTCCACGCTAGTCGCGGGATATAAATAGACGGAGCCTGAGGCACCCCGCCCTGAGTCAAGCAGGCCTGAGGCATCCAGGCTTGAGTCAGCACAGCCTGAGTCAGCATTCCCCACACCGACCTCGGGAGCGGGCTCTCGAATCCCTCGATAAGAAAAAAAAAAAGAGAGAGATCTTCTCCGGATTTTGATATCTGGGGCAAAGGGATTGGCAATGATGATTTACGTTTAGAACTGACTCGTCGTTGGACAGAGCTTCCTAACAATTGAGAACCGTCAGCAAGATCCTCGTATTCCTCTTCAACTATCACAGGCCGCATGCTGATACCCCTCACTCTATCCAACCGCTAATCGGCCGACTCCGAGAACACCCCGATCAAAGTCTCCAAAACGCTGTCTTCTGGATTTGCTGTATTAATTACCGGTCCCAATTCCTCTTGGGCGCGCATCATGTCGCCTGCACCAGTCCAAGTCAATTCTTCCTCTAAACTCCCATCTCCCGGGTTCAATGCCGGCGCTCGGCCCTATCGTTCCCACAAGGTACGCGCCTGTGACTTGTGTCGCAAGCGGAAGTCTCGATGTACTGTTGACATCCCTGGCCAATCCTGTCTACTATGTCGCGTACAAGGCGCCGACTGTCACTATCAAGAGGAGGCCAACGCGGAAAGTTCGATCCCGAGTGCCTCGGATTCAAAGTCCTGGCCCGGGCCTTCAACAGTGGAGGCGGGGCCAGGGCAAAAGCGCAAGCGTAGTCCTGACGGGCTTTCTCATTTGAACCAAAACATTCAATCCCGGCAGCCAATCAATGGGCCCAGTCCCCATGGAACGAATTCGTCGAGTGGTGGTCGTCGGGGAAGTGACCCGCGGCGGAAAGACATGGACGATCCTCAGAATGAGTCGGTCCTCATTGTCGGCCCCATGGTCGCCGAGGATGCGCAGGTCATTGAGAAACACATGCCTCCAGAACGGATGAGTCAATCAGAGGAGCCCAATAGTCACCCTTACAATATCTATTCCAGCGATCCACGAAAGCCCGTCCTTTACACCACAATTTCCCGGCGAAGGAAGGGTATGCGGAGAGGAACACCTCCGGGTGAAAATCAGAAAGAAGTGCTCGAACAAATACTTGGGCCGTTCAAACAGGACCTAGTGAGACTGTATGTTTTGTGACCTGTTCTCAGTTGTCCCGCCGCTGATTCTTTGTTCTAGCTTCCTTGACCGATTCAACGTTTCTTTTCCAATTTTCGATGGGGAATCTTTCTGGGAATCATATATCGCTGAGGACCTGCATGATCCACCAGCCGCACTTGTATGCCAAGTCTATTCCATGTCCCTCGTATATTGGAAGCACACGCCGAAGCTAGCTTGCCACCCGAAACCCGACGTTCGATATGCAGTCAACATGACGGTTGCCGCATTGCATGAGGATTTCTCAGCCCCAGGTTTGGATACAATCAGTGCTGCGCTTATCGACTTGACTGGACGACCAATCTTCTCCATGACCGGCAATGCTGTCAGTTGTGGCCGCATGTGTTCTTTGGCGAATTGTCTTGGTTTGAATCGTGATCCCAGCAACTGGAAGCTCTCAATATCAGATAAAAACCAGCGGATTCGTCTGTGGTGGGGTGTTGTTATCCACGATCGTTGGTAAGATCCGCCCGCTTGTTTCTTTCGTATAGCAACAATCTAACGATCAACAGGGGAAGTTTTGGTCATGGTGTGCCACCTCAAATATCCAAAAATCAATACGATGTACCCCTACCCACCGTCGAAATACTAGTTCCTCCAGAACTCCGCACTACGGAGCGTGTGAGGGCAGCACATTGCCATATCTACCTATGTCGATTGACCGAAATCTTGGGCGAGCTTTTACCTTTGGTCTATGGGTTACAGCATAAGCCAGCACGAGAGACATCCAAGAAGCTCAGGCAAATCCGAACCGATCTAGATGTGTGGGAAGATTCCCTCCCAGACTGGTTGAGAGGGCCCACCATCCACACCGGAGAACGAATCTATGGAGCTAGCAGCCTGCAGTTGGCTTTTTTGGCTGTCAAAATGCTTGTCAGCCGAGTTGAACTAAATGTGAGCAAGAAACAACCTTCTTAAAGAATGTGGTTTTTTAACAACTTGTAGGAGGTGAACAATGCCGAAATGGAAAATACCGAGGCACGTCGCTATTTCCAAACAGAATGCAGAAGGTCAGCAGAGGATATCGTTGGATTTATAACGTCATTGCGAAAGGATAATTTCAAGGAATTTTGGTTACCTTGTATGATGAAGCATTTCCCATGATCTTCAGCTCGTTTCTAATCATTCTTACAGATAGCGCCTTTCATCTCACCTCAACGGCCACGTTACTAATTCGCTGTGCATTTGAAACCACCGACAGCGACGTTGCGCGATCCTGTCTCTCCAACGTCGAAACCCTGCGCTCAGTCTTACGCCGTGTCCGGGAAGAAGAAGACTGGGACGTAGCGGACATGTGTCTGGACCACTGTGAACGCATCATGCACCGACTTCCTGGAACTGGCGCCACAATGGATCAGGCATTCACGACTTCCATGGTAGACAACGGGCTGGTCAACCCGGCTGCGATCTCGCTGCCAGAGACTCAAACAAACAATGATATCGTTGACGACATGATGTCGATCTCTAATACCTTTGGAACGATGGACGGTTTCCCCTTCGACATGACAGGAATATGGGATGTCTCTGTCTTCCAAGATGTGAACCTGACATGATCTATCGATCATTACACACGGATGTACTTTTATCTTATTTCAACAATATACCCTGGGATGCAGAGCCCAACGACCCGCATTAATGAAATCTATATCAATCTCAGTCTTTCTCATATTAAAATTTCTGACTAAAATTTTTGTACATAAATCTTGAAAAAATCAGACGCTATTTTACACTCGTTCATTAATATTCAGAACGAAAAACCCCCAAGGGCCATCATTTGATGACATGCCCGGGGAAAAAGAAGGAGTCGCTGGCTTGCGTGGGTTACCATTACTTGGAGCCACCACCGAACATCCCAGTGAAAGAACCCTTCATGCTCTGCATCTGCTCTTGGCGGGCCTTCTCCTCTTCGGCGGCCATCTCAGCAAGCCACTTCTCGCCGTTCAGGCGGATCTCCGACTCTACCATCTCGTAGTTCTTCTGGCCACGCTCGCGAATCTGATCCCAAAGCATCTTGCCCTGAGCCAGACCCTCAGAGGGGCTCGGCTCGCCGGTCAGAGGGTTGGAAGATTTCAAGCCAAGTGCAGCGGCGAAGTTGCCCAGGCCGCGCGAGGGCTTCTTCTTCTGCTCCTCGGCAAGCTCTTTCTCGAAGCGCTCGCGCATCGCCTTCTCGCGCTTGGCAAACTCAGCGGGGATAGGAGTGCCGTCGAAGGACTTGAGCACAGTGCGCACGTCTTCAACGCCCATTCCAGCGAGGTATTCCAAGAAGGGGATAAGGGCGACCAGCGTCTTATCCTGCGGGTCACCGGTCCACTTGTCTAGGACAATGGCGTTCTCGGGTTGGAAGCGGGCGTGCTCCTCCTTGGTGTCGATAAGGATAACCTTGGACAGATCACGGTTCAGGTATTGCAGATCCTAGAGAGTGGTCAGCATTGGATGAATATTGAAGGTGAGGAATGACTGGCGTACCTTGATGTACTCTCCATCCTTGTAACGGGTAGCCTCGCGGAACAAGGGCCAGCGGATGATACGGTAAGGGTCGAGTTTGCGGAGGACCTGATCGGCCATCATGCTGGGAACACTGGTAAACAGAACGAGCTCGTAGTACTGGTTCAGGTAGCGGAGGAAGTAGTCGACACCAGGCCGCTTGGCAACACGCCATCCGTGCTCACGGCTCCATTCGCTGTGAACAAGGAGATCCTCAAGACTGAGTACCAGGGTGTATGGCTGACGCATCTCAGCGTCTTCATCGGGAAGCAGCTTGGGGAAAGCAGGATCCTTGTAGTAACTGGTAAGATCACTCATGCGGGCCTTGATGCGGCTGTACCAAAGACCCAGACCCCATCCTGATGGAGTCTCGGTGTGAACACGCTCCTCTTCTTCGCTATCCCAGTTGCGACCCAAGTAGCCCATACCGGCAATACCGGCGAGCAACATGGCTGCGTACATTATGTTGGCCATGCGGGCCTTGCGGCGGTCGATAGATGTCTCATATCCACCCTTGGGAATATCACCACCTCCTCGGCCTTCTTCGCTGTACTCTTCGGAGTAGGTAGGATCTTCTGTAAGGTTCAAGGGTCCCTTCTTCATGCGACCTTCTAATTCCGCGGCCAATGTCGAGGGGATACCCTGTGTCAGGTCGGGGAGAGGTCTCTGTGGTTGTTCAACCTAAACCCAAACGGTTAGATGGAATCGACAAATCAACATTAAAGAGTCTCACATTATCGGAAGAAGTTGTCTCGGGTTCAGCCTTGGTATCGAACTCGGGTTGATCTGGGGTAAAGTCTTTTGAGGCTGATTCGGGAGCCTTGGGCTTGTTGGAGTTGGTCGAGTTTGCCCGGAGCTGGAGACCTGGGGAAAGCTTGTATGCAGTGTACGAAGGGCGCACCGACCGGGTTGAGGCTCGGACGGTAGAGGCGAGGACATTTGGCCTCGTCAGAGGCAAAACTGCGCGACTAAGCATTGTGATTGTGATAAAGAACCAAGTGTCCTGGATGATGCAACGAACACTGCGTAGACCAGACTTAAAAGTCGGCGCGATTCGGTACGGCGGCGGACCCGAACCATCCGCGCACATCACTTATATTCACCACGCGGCGTTGTCCCTTTCTCCTTTTCTTTTTCTCTCCTCAGAAAGTTCACCCAGACATTAATTTGACCTATCAAGCTATTTTTCTTTGCATGCCGGGTTGTATTAGCTGGGGAGACAAACGAAGATTCATCTTCATTCCCACTACCAAGAGCGCCGCAAAGGTTTATCCAGTGAAGTTGCGCTCCGATCGTGGGACACAAATCTTTTTCATTTCTTTTCTTTCTCTCTACCATCTGATTACCACAAATATGATTTTACATCTCCAAATCTAGACTTGCTTTGTACCTCTTAGACTTTATTATCCACTATCATTCCAATCATGGGGTTTAAAAAGCAGATGCTCCGCTTTGAGGAGCAACTGTCAGATGTTGACTCAGAATCAGAAGTCGAGCCTCCGATCCCACTACGATTCCGTTTCCTCGATTTGCCGTCCGAAATCCGTCTGCATATCTATCACTATGTCCTCTTCACGCCAACTCGGAAGAGTGCATCGAAACGCACGGGAAGCGTGGGATCCTCTGCGAAGAAAAGCAAGCCCCTAGCACCATCCTCGCACCGCATCGCGCTGTTTCTGGTCTCGAAACAAATCCACGACGAAGCGACTCATTTCTTCTATTCAACACAGACATTCCGTGTTTTTCCCGTGCAGGATTTTCTGCGCATGCCCACTGTGCGGGCTTTGCCTCGACGCCACCGCCATTCAATCACCACCATTGAATTGATTGTGGGGTCCAGCTGGACTGCACCGCCGAAGTCATGGGTGGTAAACCAGGGGCTGGGACTACACGACATGGATCTTGCTCGCACATTGAAGGTGTTTGTACAGTGTGACCCGTCACACCCTGTGTTTGAAGGTTTCCGCATCTCCAAAGAATACTATACCGAGTTCTGTGGCAAATTGTTAAAACAGATCCTAGAGCGGCTACCGGGTCTGGTTCAGGTCGAATTCGACGCCTGGTCATCTGTAGAGAAGAGCGGATCTTTAATGACTCGCTTACTCGCAGAAACTCGAGATGCCCAGAAAAAGGTCCTTTGGGGCCCGGAAAGAGGCTGGTCAGACAGTCAAGATGATGCCGACGAGAAACATGACCTCAGTGACGCAGATGTTGCTTTGGATGGCCTGCGGGCTTATCCTCCAGATGTCATCGAGGCCTTGAGCAATTCCCTTCAGACAGTCAAGTTGAAGGCATAGCCCTGTTCATACTCATTCTTACGATTTACATAGATCGCGCGGCGCATAGACCACACGAATTTTTCTACTATCTAGAATAATGACGCCATATGGATTCACAACTATCTCGCTGTCACATCAAAACTGGAGTAGATTTCGTTCATTTGTTGGTCTGCGTGTACTGATTAGGTGGTTTGGTAACATAAAACCCAACCCATCAGTGAGAAAATTAAAGTGTTCGATTGCCACTTTCTAGCTCTCTAAAGGTCTTCGTCAACTTCCATAGCGGCGCCATTCGTATCTTGTTTAGATGATTGCCGTGCCACCGAAGCTTCCTTGTCAATCATCTGCCGCGAGACAGCAACAATGTTATCCTCGATCAACTGTTGACTTACGTCCTCAATGTCTGCAATGATGTCAGTATATATCTCGTTCAGAGAAAGAAGAGAAACTTACGCTTCTTGGGATCAACCTTGCCAACATATCTCGTCTTCAATTGATCTTTGTTCAGTTCTGTTTCTTCCTTGATCCGCTTCTCGTAACCCTCTGCGAGGAGAACAAGCTGCTTCATGCGTTCCACGTTGTGCTGACCCTCCTCGTGGAAGTCCTTCATCTCCAAGGCCTCGGTCCATACATGCTTGTGAAGATTCATCAACATGTTCTCTTCCAATCCCGTCTTGCGGTAATCAATCGCAATACTGTAGTAGTGGCGGTTGAGACCGTGGATGAGAGCCTGGATTGAAGGCTTGTTGAGGTGGCCCAAGTTGGATGTTGTTTGGCGGGGTTCCTGGCCCATAACAACCGTTTGAGGCTGAATAAGACGGAATGCGTCAATGACGACCTTACCCTTCACTGACTGGATAGGATCGACAACAACGGCAACGGCACGCGGCGTGAGCTGTTCAAATGACTGCTGAGTGTTGATATCGACCGATGAAAGCCAGCAACCGAAACCAGGGTGCGAGTGATACCAGCCGACAACGGTTTCTGGCCTGTATATATATGAAGCCTGTATCAGCATGAACTCCTCCGATCATACCAGGCAACCAAGCTTACCGTCCAGTCTGCCGGAGCATTTCCATCATTCTAGTTTGGAACACCGGATCCACAGCCTCAACACTGACACCAGTACCGCTTTGAGGCATAGCAAAGACATCCACTACCCGAACTGTGTACTCATCGACGAACTCGCCCAGCATCAGACCCATGACCTCCATCGGGACACCCGCGCGGCCATGTCGTAGCATCTTCAGCAGAGCCAAGGAAGAGATATGAACGGTTTCGGAGTTATCGATCAAATTCGGGGTATCCTAACAACATCCTTGTTAGCATGGAGGGAAATGCGTCGATATTGAAGCTAAGGTGTTGGTGTTGATGCCGCGCAACAAGGAAACTTGGCGGTGCAAATCTGGGGATTTTTCCAACTTACACCACCGGGAGCAGCGCCCCCCATGCCCATGCCTTGAGCGGCCTGGAGCATCCGGTTAAGGCGATCCATAGTTAAGTGATATTCGACGAGATTGGATGGAACAGAGAGGTAAAGGCGAAGCTATCTAGAAGCTCCGGAGCGGTCGATTGTCTCTACCAACTTGGTATTGCCAAATGAGTGTTTGATATGGGATACAGGACAAGCGAAGAATCCCGATCGGATGCGATATTAGCGTGAAGATAAGGAAGTTGTTGGAAGACGTGTTACTGATGAGCAAAGCCGTGGGAGCTTTGCCTGACGAGGGCGGTGAGGGGGCTGGTCGGCTTCCGCTCCTTCGCGGATGATTCTCTCTCCTCCACCCCATTCCTCGAAAGCCTGAACAATGATATTGGCTAGCTATTGGCTTGCTATTGTGATTAGTTCTGCTGCCTAATCTTTGCGGTGCGGGATCTGGTGAATAAAGAGCCCATTCGTTGCCTATATCCTCCTCGGAGTATATGTGCATTGCGCCTCCGACTACTTCACTTCTCTTCATACCCGATTCCCTGGATCTTATTTGCAATTTCTTGACTTCACACTTTTTTTTCTTGACTTGATTGAGAGTCATTCTTGCAAGATGGCTTTGGAACCAATCTCGGATAAAATCCTGGGGTCCAAGAATAAGAAAATCGCCTACTTCTACGACTCCGATGTGGGCAACTATGCCTATGTCTCGGGCCACCCCATGAAGCCTCATCGCATTCGCATGACACACAGTTTGGTGATGAATTATGGCCTCTACAAGAAAATGGAGATTTATGTGAGCATTCTGTTCTATGTTTTCATTTGAATCCTTGCCCTAATATACAAACCCAGCGTGCGAAACCTGCCTCCAAGTACGAGATGACCCAGTTCCACACCGACGAATATATCGACTTCCTGTCCAAGGTCACACCAGACAACATGGACCACTTCTCAAAGGAGCAGAGTAGGTATAATGTCGGTGACGACTGTCCCGTCTTCGATGGACTTTTCGAATTCTGCGGAATCAGTGCAGGAGGAAGTATGGAAGGCGCTGCTCGCTTGAACCGCAACAAGTGCGACGTTGCCGTCAATTGGGCTGGTGGTCTTCACCACGCCAAGAAGAGCGAAGCAAGTGGCTTCTGTTACGTGAATGGTATGATGTGTCTCGTTATTTGGTGGACAGTCCAAAAATTAACTTGTTGCAGATATCGTTCTCGGAATTCTCGAGCTCCTGCGCTTCAAACAGCGAGTTCTGTACGTCGATATTGATGTTCACCACGGTGACGGAGTTGAAGAGGCATTCTACACAACCGATCGTGTAATGACCTGTTCTTTCCACAAGTATGGAGAGTACTTCCCGGGTACCGGTGAGCTTCGGGATACCGGTGTCGGGCAGGGCAAAAACTACGCAGTCAACTTCCCTCTCCGGGATGGAATCACTGATGTCACGTACAAGAGCATCTTCGAACCCGTCATCAGGAGCGTGATGGAGTGGTACCGCCCCGAGGCCGTGGTCCTTCAGTGCGGTGGTGATAGTTTGTCGGGCGATCGCTTGGGTTGCTTCAACTTGAGTATGCGAGGACACGCCAACTGTGTCAACTTTGTCAAGAGCTTTGATCTGCCGACCTTGGTGGTTGGAGGTGGTGGCTACACCATGCGCAACGTTGCACGGACGTGGGCTTATGAGACCGGTATCCTTGTGGGACAGTCTCTGGGATCGGAGCTGCCATACAATGATTACTACGAGGTAAGAACCTTTTGCAAGTTGAAACGAATCAACACTAACAGATAAAAGTATTTCGCTCCTGATTATCAGCTTGATGTCCGCCCATCAAATATGGATAACGCCAATACCCGAGAATATCTGGACAAGATCCGCAACCAGGTTGTTGAGAATCTTAAGCGAACCGCATTCGCCCCGTCGGTTCAAATGACAGACGTGCCGCGGAATCCTATGTTGGATGGCATGGACGATGAGGCTGATGACGTTATGGATGACCTTGACGAGGATGAGAACAAAGATAAGCGCTTCACTCAACGACGATTCGACCAGCGCACAGAGAAAGATGGCGAGCTCAGTGAGAGCGAGGACGAAGATGAAAACGCCGCGCACGGCATTCGTCGCCAGCCAGGCGCTGTTCGCCGTCGCAACCAAGTCAACTACCGAAACCTCGAGCCGGACTCTGGGCTGGACAGTGGTATGGCAACACCGCAAGATGCGTCGTCTGCGGCTGATGGAGAGATGGATTTCACTCTTGATGCCAAGATGGTTGATGTTCCACGCACTGAACCTGATGCGCCTTCCATTGCTCCTGAAGCCTCTCGCGCCGAAGAGACTCCTATGACTGATGCCGATCACATGACTGTAGAAAAAGAAGAACAGGAAGACTCTACTGCCTCTAAACTCCAGTCTCCTCCTCATGATGAAGATATTACTATGGAGGATGCTGTTGTCGCCGAAGCCACTTCTTCAGAACAGATTCCGGCTCCAGGGGCAATTACTGAGCAGATATCAGTGGTCGAGGGCTCCGCGACTTCACCTGTGAGGGCTCAATCGCCCTCGAAAGAGACTGCGGTTCTCGCCAGCGAGAAGGGTGCTGAAGCTTCTCCTGCTGCGGGCGCCGAAGCACCGGCGACCAAGGAGGAAAGCTTGGAGCATGCGGTAGAACCCAAGAAAGAGGAGTAATCGGGCTGGTTTACAAAGACGACACTATCGGATCTGGCGCAACGGACAATGGCAGAAAGGTGTTATCGGTTTTAACAGCGTGCTCGCATCTTGCTTGACACTGGGAAGAGGGCATTACTCATTGCGGAATAGCAATCAGGATGGATTCAAGTCGAGGTGGACTGCCTGATTTTCTAAGGAACCATCTCCCCTTTATCTTCCTCTCTGTGCTGCCTGCTTTTATTCTTTTTATCTAGTTTTTAACATGTATTATTCGGTGGAATGAACCAGATCAGCATCTACATCGTACGCAAAGAACTAGAACTCGAAGTATAAAATGTAGAACTATGCCTGAGGCATGTCATTTTTGGGCCTATCCCAAATAAAGTTAGCGATAGGGCAAAGTCGATTCTGAGCAGCCAATCAACTGACAATGCCAAGACCTTACGATTAGCCTGGGATTTCGCACTCCAGTCACGTGGAGATTTTTCAACTAGGGTAAGAGCCCTAACCTTAGCGCACAGTCGAACTGTAGTTTGGAACCTCTACGTTCGACCTCTTGTCGCCAACCTTTTTCACCCAACTTCGTCTTCGTGATACCTAGCCATCATGTCTAAGAGAGGGTGAGTCTCCCTACGATTCCCTCCGTCTCCCCATTCGAATTCGACCGATACAGAACTCTTTGGAACGACAAACACCATCAGCTTCGTGTCGAGAGGATAGAATGGGGGCACGGAATGGGAAAACAACGAAATAAGGAAGAAGGAAATTTCGCTAACGCTGAAACAGTCGTGGCGGTGCCGCCGGCAACAAGCTCAAGATGACTCTCGGTCTGCCAGTGTACGTCTACCAATTTCTTATCTTTTAGTCTATCTCGAATGCGCCTTCTTCTCCGCCGGATTCCGTTTCCAGTCGATTACTCGATCAACGTTCTCGAAGCACATGCATCCACCATCGACACGACAAGAACAAAACAAATACGACCGGCGGGAAGAAGGAAGCATTGGAGCTCCACTTTCAACATGCGAAAAGAACGACATCTAGAACAATTTCACTAACGGGTCCGTCTTCATCGAACAGTGGCGCCGTGATGAACTGCTGCGACAACTCCGGTGCTCGCAACTTGTACATCATCTCTGTTAAGGGTATCGGTGCCCGCCTGAACCGTCTCCCCGCTGCCGGTGTCGGAGACATGGTCATGGCCACCGTCAAGAAGGGAAAGCCCGAGCTCCGCAAGAAGGTTATGCCCGCTGTCGTTGTCCGCCAGAGCAAGCCCTGGCGCCGCCCCGACGGTATCTTCCTGTACTTCGAGGACAATGCAGGTGTTATCGTCAACGCCAAGGGTGAGATGAAGGGTTCCGCCATCACCGGTCCCGTCGGAAAGGAAGCTGCTGAGCTTTGGCCCGTACGTTTTACCCCATCCCCACGGGAAATGGAGTCAATTACATTCCATTTCTCCTCCCCATTACCGCCAAATCACAAACTAACATGATCTTCTAGCGTATTGCCTCCAACTCCGGTGTCGTCATGTAAAGAGAGAAAACCCGAATTTTAAAGAAAAAGAACGATACCAAACCTCAAATCTGCTTGGGACCTGGAATGCGGTGCATATGAGACCATAGGATTAAAATGGGAGCTGGACAGGTGGTGTCCATTTTGACGAAATCCAACTGTTTTAACTTAAAGCCGGTTTTATCCTCCATCTACGTGTTTTCTCCCTCCCCTTTACTGGCGACTCTCGGAAGTATTACTTTAAAATCACATCCTTTTGCAATGCCTTGCCTCCCTATCATGGGGCTGGCCGACCTAAGGCTTTAGGCAAGCTGTATGGGAGGGATACTTGGTCCTGTCTGGTTGTTCTTTGTCGAAATTATGAACCCTGATATGACCAACAATATGGCTCTTTGTAGACTTAGACGTACTCGTATTCTACCACGCACTTGATCACTGTCTAAATGCTCAATGCAAGTCACATCATACTTCGTCCATTGCTCTACATAATATATCTCAAGACGTTTGCAATAAGGAGTCGGGACTCGTAGATTACAACATATATATATTTGCAATATTTGCAATCCGTTCAAAGTGAATGAAATCCAACGCCATTGATACAATAAACAACAATTTACAAATCATTCCTTCAGTCAATCTTACATTTTCTTCGCTGGCTGGACCTTTGGAGCAGGTGCCTTCTCATGAGCAGCACCAGAAACGAACCAAAGCAGAGCCACGACCAGCGTCACAACCACAAGGATATGAACCGCCCACCAAATATGTTGTACACCAGCTGGACACATAGTGATCTCGTAGCTCCACTCACCAGCAGCTTCATCAAACCACGCTGACAGGAGGCCGGCATTGCCACCGAATTCTCCCATCATTGAGCGAAGGGTCACCTCACGGATGGAAGGAGCGTCGACCTTTTGGCCATCGAAGCGCTTAGCAGCCCACTTCCAACCTTGAGCAGAGCTCTCCTCGTCACTTGCTTCATCCACAGTCCGATTGACGTAATGAACAGCATCACAGCCCGTGTGGTCATGACCTGTGAGGATGAGTCCGTTCCGACCCTGACCACCAGCCCGCGCATTCTCATTACCGCTGAGTCCAAAGATGCCTTGCAGGACTCCGCTCGCACTGAGCGAATCGCTGAGATGGTTCTGCTCCTTGAGACCACCATCCAGCCAACGAGGCACACCATCAGGCCCGTCCTTGTCATCAGATTCCCGGAATGAGAAGTACGGTCCATCCGTGCAGACGCCCTCTTCCTTGTGCATGGGAAGATGCGTCAAAAGCAAAGTGAAAGCCGACCGATCCTCGACCGGCGCAAGCCGATCAGCAATCAACTCATTGAGATAAGAATAAGTATGACTCTGAACCTCAGAAGAAAGCGCAGGGGTATCAAACATAAGCGAGTTAAGATTAATCAAATGCAGCGTAGGCGTGAAAGCCTCATCCCCAGCCGTAATCACAGGGTGCTCGAAGCGGATGTCCCAATTCGCACGGCCGAACGCACGCTCGAATCGCTCCATCCGCGCTTCGCTGATATCTCCCGCATACCCAATATCATGGTTTCCAGCAACGTTGATAATGCGCCGAGCCCAGGCCGCGTCCGCGCCCAGGATTTCCAACGGCGCCGCCTTGTCTTTCGTGCTTTGGCTCCAACCGAGAACACCGGTTCTGGTGATGTTGTCGGCGACTCGCTCGCCGCCGCGGAAAACACGGTTCCAGTACCGGTATCCGCGCCGGGCGAATTCCTCGTCGGAGATCCACTGGCTGCCCACTAAATCGCCTAGCACGGTTGTGTGTGTCGGCCGGGTCCACCAAAATAGCGTGCGGTAGATGTGGGCGAGATAGAAGTCGTTGCCGAAGAGATCGAGGCGTTTCAAGCCTGAATTGAGGGCGCGCGGGATATCTTCCGTTGCGAGCGTTCGCAGGCCGGTTGTGATGTTTGCGAGAACGTTTCCGTCTAGTGGAGGGAAGACGGTGCTGTTGCCGATTGCTTCCTGGACAGCACGCCAGTGGGTCTGCATGCGTGGGTATAATTCATACTCAGGGAAAGGGAGGGAGGTGTCGCCTTCCAATTGGGGATCTGCGAGAACTAGGAGTCTGAAAATGGCGGGTTGGCTCGCTTCCGCGGTTGAAACACCGAGGTGTTGCAGGAGTGTGTTGGTCACGGCATTGTTTCCCAATGATTTCTTCTCACTCTGTTGAGAGATAGACTGTGGTAGAGGGAACGCGCATCCCTTGAAGACTGGGTAGAGATAGAGGTAAACAGTGGCGGTCACTGCGAGTGGGAGAAGTAGCGCAAGGATGCGGGCGAGCAACCGGCGAGGAAACATGAGGAATCAGATTATAATGACAGAAAGGGGTATGTTATAAAGACATATACAGCATATTGAAAGAGGTGTCTAGAAGGTGGAAAGGAGGAGAAGAAGCAAAAATGTGAATGTCTCTAATCGATAAAGATAGTGTGATAGATATTGTGCCACTCCGGGGGCGGACTGGACTACGGGATCGCAAATCGGTATGAACGTGGTAGTCCATAGATCTAGTGACTAAAATAAATGAAATTCGAGTCAATACAATGTCACCAAGCATTGAAAATCTCAATTTCCAAAGATATATTGAACTTAAGCTGTACGGTGTACCCACAATCGTTGTGCATGGTGCATAAATAGTATCTACTGACAGGGGTCAACGGTGTGTGAGCGGTGAACACTATATAAGACAATGGGCAGATTGATTACATGTATTATATCTACAGAGTGCAGAGGCTATTAGGTAGTACTTAAGAATATAATAGAACGCTTAGCACCAGTCAACATTGTGTCTTGTGTCCATAAGCCAATCATATACTCCCACATAAATCCCTCGCGACCAACGTACCTGCAATGACGAAATGGCGCGAATCAACAAAGGGAAGAAGCTTGAGCGAGGGGTATATCACATAAAACGCCAGCAAAGGAAACAAAAGATGAATATAAAAGACCAGGGATATCCTTCGTATGGCTCCACGCAATATCCAAAACAAGATAGATATTCACTTAGAGTCCGTCTTGACCATAGGATCCGGAAGCAAGGCTGAATGGAAGTCCCCAGGGGGGTTGGACACAGATTGATCGAACTCCTCGTCTGCATGATTATTGTCCACACTGTAGTTGGTGCCTTCAAATGAGTTAACATCAGACTGATTCATGTTCAAGCCATCGATTTCGAGACCTGTATCTTCCTCTTCCTCGTCGATGGTCTGCTCGGGCTTGGTGCTGCGCGAGGCTAGCATGAGCTCCGGCGGCCGCTGGTTCATCAGCCGGGCTTGTTTCAAGCTAATGGTCTTTTGCTTGTTAGTAGATTCCACTGGCTGACCGAGATCGCGCTCAATGGTCGCTTTCATCAATGCTGCCATCCAGAGACGGCCCTGCTTGACATTGTCAACCTGGAAGAAGTGGGTGGCAGGTTTGGTGAATTGCACGGCGCGTGTATTCTTGGGGGGGACAAGCTTGAAGAAGAATGGTCCACCGCCGTCCTTAGCTGTGAGCGACTGGATGGTCGAGGGAGTGGTCAGCTTGGTGCTACCACAGCTCTCGATAGTGGTGTTGGTATTAGCAGGCAGAGCGGTTGAGCCAGTGATGGTCGCGTGTAGAGCGATGATCGGATCTTGGTCCGCTCGCAGGACTCGGTGGCCAGTGATATCGATTAAGCCTCTCTTCATTGTCGTCTTCGGCATAGTAATAGGACAGACGACGACCGCGCAGCACGAACAGACGGGGCTTCCAGGTGGTCATCAAGTTGGAAGACCTCTTCTTCATCCACCCACTATACTCAGAACCATCCACCTGCTCCTGCGGTGTCTTCTTCTCAAGGCCTCGAGTATACGCACTGGTCTCCTTTTTGGACTTGGCGGTCCGAGGACGGGCTGGGAGTCCAGGGCCATCAGTGGCAGCTTTGCCAGACCCATCGGTGCTATGGCGTTCCGAGCTTTTGGAAGTGGCCGATGGAGTTGTAGACCCGGTGCGAGCAGAAATTGGATCATATTCTCGTGGCGAATCGGGCGGCACAGAAGTGTCAATCTTCTTTCCAACAACGTCGGATATGGCCCGGAAGCCTATAGCTCGGCGGAACTTGGGCCCGGCATTTTTCAATGGCTGGAATTGCGAAGGGGGAGCGCGAGCAGGAGAGCTTTCTGAATCAACCTTGCTGCTGTTCACCCGAGAAAAGTTGGCAAAGAACCCGCCGCCACCACCATTACTGCTACCAGGCTTGCTCTCGGTGGTTGATGACTGAGAGCTGTTCAAAGTTCTATCCGATGAGACACGGGTGCTCAAGCTCCGGAGCCGACTCTTTGGTGGCGTGCCATTGTAAGTGTGAGCCGCAGAGGAAACGTGCTTTGCAGCATCGCGAATCGAGTCTACACTGCCAATGCGAGACTGGCGCTTTATCGGCGCTGGCATTTTATACGCATCCTCCGCACAGCTTGAGTTCCGGGAGTGATTGGTCGCACTACCAGCATTAGGGGACCCCCGTTTCTGCAAAACCCGACGGGTTCGGCGCGAATCCACCTCAGTGCCTGAAAAGTACCCTCGATCTATGTCATCACTCTGATCTGGGGTGCCGATAGATGAATTCGCATAAGAGTCCAAGTCAGCAGTAAACGGTCCGCCCCGGAATCCAGGCGAATTAGTGCCAATCGAGGATCCTGGGCGGACAGGCATCATTTGTGGGCCGGAATTCAGAGTCCAGGTCCGGTCAAATGAGGGCTGCTTCGGGTGATGTCCATTGAAAACCGAATCAGAAATGCCGCGTTGGGTGGCATCAATGGATGAATGACGACGTGTATGGTTGAGTTCACGGATCGACGCTGCAGATACTCTCCTTGGTGAATCATGGCTGTAGGGAGGTGTGTGTGGTGCCATGGGTGAGGTATTGTTGCCGGCCAGTCGTGGATGTTGCATTGGCGCAGAGGCTCTTGGATAGCCAGCGCCGTTCTTTTCTGACAAGGTTGGGATCCGAGGAAGAAATGGGCCAGTACTCCCAGCGCGAGACAATGTACGTTCATCGAAAGAAGAGGGACCGGAGAAGCCAGAAGAGATAGAGCCTCTCGGGGCTTGCTGCTGACCGAAGCCTTTGGTATCTTCTTGAAACGCCTTAATTTTATGCCATGTCTTGAGCCGCTTACCCATGACTCCAAAGTCAAATTCCTTCATGAAGATGAAATCTTGGTCCATATCAAGCAAGACATCACCGGTGATTTCTTGTTCTTCAAAGATATCGCAATGTTTTGAATCAATACCCAGCTCGCGCAGACATTTCGAGGTTTGTTTCTGGCTCCATTTTCGCACCTCCCGCTCGGTTGGATGGCTCTGCTCCTCATCGTCAGTTTCATGTCCGTTGATGTAAGAAGCCCGGTGGTCGATGTGGCTGCTGTACTCGCTGCCGGAATCGTTCATGGTCCTGTGCTCTTGGGGCGATGCGCTGACACGCGGGGTGTTCATATCCGTGATGTGCTCATCAATGACGCTCAACGTTTCATTCATAACTGGACTTTCTTCGCCGTTCGGGTGATGGTCCATGGAACCACGAAACGCTTGTTGGATATCGTCTGCCAGGCTTTGTCGAGGTAGCGGAGACGACGCCGATCTTTGTGGCGTGCGAGCACCAAGTTGTGGCGAATGCATCTCGATGGCGCTTACATGGCGCGATGCCTGAGGGGTACTCTGCCCACTCCCGACTGATGCAAATGATGATTCCACGGGCGCAGGGGATTCCATTTGTACAGGAGATTCTATAAACACAGGCGAATCGGCGAGAGTCTTTCTCAGGGAGGCAGCCTTGGTAAAATCTGTTGCGCGTGCAGCTGTTAGCGGGGAAAATAGCAAGGTGATGGGTGTGCATACTCCCAGGAAAGAGACCCGTTTGGCCCGTCCTTAGGTTTTTACCCAAATACCAGGCATCTCCAAAGCCTTCATCCAGCTCGAGCAACTCAATCCTGTCGCGTGGTAACATGATGAGCTCGTCTTCGCCGCGCCCGCCAAATTCATCTAGATTGGGGTGTTAGTAGGCTTCGCGCATTGAGAAGCGGGGGGGTCACTGAGATCGAGTCACACACGACGTCACTTACGAACAACCTCCAGAATGTCGCCGGGACGAACACCCTGTGGTGGGCCCATGGTAACCATCGCTCAGTATTCCTTGTTTCCGATGGTAAGTGTTGAGATGGAAGCTTGAAAGGCGCAAGACATGGGGCGCAAGCGCCCTTTCGGGGAAACAGGTACGGAGTGGGCAAATTGCAGATTGCAATTTGGCGCGTGGAATCTTCCGCACGCAATGTGGTCTTGCGCAAAAGGGGAGAGAATGTCGAGTGGAATCTAGCGCGAGTGAAGATTAGAGGAAATTAGGTTATTAGACCACTCGCGGGGCTTTGAAGCACGTACCTCAGATGATCCGAGGTCGAGCTTTCTTTTTTTGGGGGTTTTTTCTTTTTCCCTCTCTTGAAATGGCTCAAATCTCATGTGCTTGCGCCTATCATAGAGAATCTGTGGATTCCAGGACGTGGAATGAGAGGGGTGCCACGCACACAAATCCCGAGTCCAGAGCCAAGAGAATCAATGGAAGTCAGGTAGAAGCAAAGGACAATCACCAAAGATCAATAGAAGCTTAGAAATCCCAAGAAATCCCGGATCCGATGTGTCAAATGTATCCAATGTATCCAATGTGTCAAAGTAAAATACTCCAAAGAGAAGCGGAAGTGACGTGTGCAGTCGTCAGAACTCTGGACACTGGACAGCCCCGTGGTTCAGGGAAGGCGAGTTCGGAGCACGAGAAGAGAAATGGCCGGAGTAACAATCCTTCATGGCTTCATGGGAAATGAGCTGGGGGGAAAAAGCAATTTATTATTCCTCCGGTAAGCGAGAGGTTCTATCTCATTTCGATGCATCCGTCGAAAAGTGTACCCGATCTAGGAGAAGTAGTTCAGGGGGGGAATTTAGGCACATGGGCGAGTATGATAGGATAGTCTCTGGGAGACCCCCGAATTAGCGTAGATGAGTACGGAGAGGAAAGAAAGCCATACTCTCCGTACAAAGAGCTGGACACAGGCGAGCTGCACCTGCGTTCGCCCGTTCTTTCCTGTATGTTGTACTTTGTCTTGTAGAATGCGGTTACTAGTTCTTTGTTTGCTCTTCACCCTCTATAAAACAAAACCCTCTGGACCTAGGTTAGAACATCTCCATGATTTCCTCTCTAATACTTCAACATGGTATCGCCCAAATCTCACCGATCGCATGCGAATGACCATATTGAAGAGTCCAATACCACGGCCAGTTGGTTTCTAGGTGGCGTGCGGAGGAACTGGATGGGCCCGCAGGCTAACACGGAGAGCTCGGGTACACCAAATCTTTCACGCGTCCTTCCAGGCCATCCCGACTCCTTTCCTCGCGAGAGCTTGATGTCCCCTGTTACCCCCGGTGAAACCCTCCCTTCCTCACGTGCAGTTCATCTGGCAAAAAATCCCGACATACCGCGAGCGACGGCCCTCCCCTCCCCGGTCCTCAGTACAACTTCTCACCCAAGCCCTGTGAGCGCCAATGTGATTGTCTCGAATCCCCCCACGCTGCCGGTTGCAAATCAATTTTCGGTACCGCGCAGAGAGGATGAACGGATGGCAGTTCAGCGTCTTCCGTCCGGGCCCGTGGAACAACGTGCAACCCAGAGCCCTCTAGTGAGAACCAGCTGGCCCCAGACACATTTGCCATTGGATACAGGCTCCCAAGAACGCAGGCTGTCGGGCCAGCCTGAGCCACAGGTGCAGAATGAGGATGCACTCACGGTCATCTCCGAGCAGAGATGGAAGGAATGGTCCATTCAATTGGATTCTTTGACAGCCAATTTGCGCGCAAAGGGAGCATTGCCCCCGGCAGATTCGAGGGAGCCAAGTATCGCACGGCCTCGAATCGATCTCTTACACCAGGCCATTAATCGTAGGGACAGCTTCTATTTGGTGATGCATCAGTTGTACTGCCGGTTGAGTATCGATCCAAATACCTTGGGTCAAATTAGAGCCCCGGAAGCGGGAATGAAATTGCTCGTTCCTCTTTTGGAAGACAATGGGAAGATGCACAAAGCTGCCACCGTTGCGTTTGCACAATTTCCAGCACCGTCGCACCATCTGATGCAATCGAAATGGTATCTTCAGGTGTTGACAACGGTTCCTGAATTCCTATCACGGCTTGCGAGTGAATGGCAGGGTATTTGGCTTCAGGCTCCTCATCCTCCATTGGTGGCTAATCTTTGGGCAAAGCTCGCACTCCCATCTCCGATCTTAATGTCTGTGATGTTCATGTGTGTTGCCAGACGCCTTCATCATGAAACATATATCAAGCCCCTGCTGGAGTTGTTTTGGCAAGACGTGGAATCCTTTAAGCGGTGTAAAGACGCAGGAATCCCAGACACAACTCAGCAGGCTCTCAACTGGAACTTCATCCAAGAGTACCTCAAGTTTCCTCGTTTGTCTGGTAGTTCGTCTCAGACACTCTCTTCTCCTCACCCCGCGCATCCTAGACAGAGTGAATCTATGCCTCAATCTACTTTAGCGACATCGTCGCCCAATCCCAGACCTTCGATTGCTGGTAATCAGCCTATCAATGTACCCCCAACCCCAGCTGCATCATATAGGAACTATATGCCAAATGCACCACAGGGCCAGGTCGCAGGTCCAGTTGCTGTGGCCTACCAGGATTCTGTGCCAGCTCCACAACTGCAGAATCCCTCACAATATCGTCAGTACAATCCCATACTGCATGGTCATGGACAGGATCACGGACAGGATCAGGGACAGTGGCACCAGATACATCCACAAATGCAGCAGATGCAACAAATACATCCAATGCAACCAATGCGAGGCCAGTTAGCTCTTGGTCAGGTACATCCTTCTCGGATACATCACATCCCACAATTTCCACAGGAACAACGAATGCAACGCCAACCCGTGATGCCTACCTTGTCGACACCACATAACCCGCCTCTGCAATCGATTGCGGTCAACTCCGCACAGTCGGCGCAGTCAATTCACGGTTCCTCACCCATGTCCACCTCCGTCGTGACCACGCCCTTATCTGCTGCACCCATATCAAATCACATGGTCCAGCACCTAATCCCACAGCGGTCTTCTAATTCTCTCAATCGCCAACACTCGCTCGCTTCCCAGCCATCTGCTTTCCCGGTCGTACATGCGCCACCCCAGATACCCAATTTCCAGAATTTACCCCACTCGCCTTTGCTGCCTGCACCTGGCTGGAGAGCACCAATAACGGTGAATCCTGTCCCAATGCGGCTAGGGTTGCATCTAGCTGATCTTCGCGATCCAATGAAGAAGCTGGTGAAGCACGATTCAGATGGAAAAGAGATGTCAACTGAATTATTCTCCTATCTGGACTCCTTCATTGTGCAGCCAACAATCATCAAGCCTGACCAGCCAATCTACACCTGGGCCTTTCCTCTCACAAGCGATGAATGCGAAAAGTTCCCAAGCATCGTTCAGGGGAAAGAGGGTCGGTGTTCAGTCTGGACCTTCAAGCCTGGCTGCCGGACTTATCGCTTACGGTGCATTCGTGTGCCTGGCACACCAGCTACTGTAAATGACCGCACATGGTCTGTCATGGCCACCTTCTGGCCCAGCGTGTTTTATGTCACAGTGAATGACAAAGAGCTCTACGTACGCCGAAAAGTTCACAACGGCAAAGATCTACCCCTGGATATCACTGAGTACCTTCGCAGTGGCGAGAACAACGTACGAGTTGATTTCATCCTAGGACAGGATGAATGTAAGAGCTTGAAATATGTCTTCGCAGTGGAAGCTATGGAGGTCGCCGAGTTTGACCAGGTCCTCAGCTTGGTTCAATCCATCCCTGCTGCCAAATCTCGCGCAGATATCCAAAAGCGTCTTTCCCCTGTCACCAATGATGACGAGCTGGCCGTTGTCACCGACAACCTCACAATCGGCCTCGTAGACCCCTTCATGGCGCGCATATTTGACATCCCCGTTCGCTCTCGAAACTGTGGGCACCCCGAGTGTTTCGATCGCGACACTTATATCCGAACCCGCCAGTCTGAATCTGGCCCAACACCGATGATCGACAACTGGCGCTGCCCGATTTGCAAAACAGATGCACGTCCGCAGTCCTTAGTGGTTGATCAATTCCTCGCCGAGGTCCACGCCGAGCTCGCTCGTACAAACAGACTTGACATGGCAAAAGCAATCCAGATCAAAGCCGACGGTACATGGACACTCAAGGTTGATTCTGATGAAACTTCACCCGGCGCAGATAAACACCTTGCTTCAGGCTCAACCGCCGTGAAGCGCAAGGCTGGTAGCCTGAGTAGTTCTCCTTATCACTCCGGACCGCGCTCCAAGACTGAAACGTCAAGCGCTCGGCCGAGCCCGACTATCCGCACCCAAGAACCTACGGTCATCGAACTGGACTGAGCACACATCTCACCTTCAATGGCTCAATATTTTCACAGAAGCTCCTACATCTTCACCATTCTAATCAGTCTGTCCCTTCAATGTCTTCCATTTATTTTTCCATGCATTTGAAAAGAAAGATACCCCCTTTGCGTGCTTTTCAAATGTATTTCTTGCATTTTCTGTCATTCCTGGCGTTAGGGGACTGGGTTCTGCGGTAGGGACCAGCCATGGTTGCTCTTTATTTTTTTATCAGGGATTGTGATCTGGGGAGAGGATACTGGTACTAAAGCTCCTTATAGGAATTTAGTGGTCAACCAAGTTTTACTTACCATTTGATCTTAAAATGATGCAAACCCTCACTAGTAACAATCCAGACCAATGGATTCCCTGGTATCAACATTAAATTATACAAAATATATTATATTGGGCATTTAGATAGCTCCAAATGCCCGGAAGTAAGGAAAGACTACTTTCTGACTCTCCGAACATGGCTAACGAGGTTCTCAATAACACCCTCGAAAGCTTCTTTTTCACCAATGAGGCCATCCCGTCGCTTCAGCCAATGCTCCAACACGAAACTCGCGCGCTGTGTGGCCTGTTCCAGTTCCTGGACATGCAGCTTCAACTCTGCATCTGTGAGACCGCCCAGCGCGGCATCGGTGGTGGCGCACAGCCTGCGGACCGCAGAGAGGTCCATTTCCGGTGCTGGAGGCGCGCCGCGGCGGGATGTCGCTTTCTGGCGGGAGGGGGCTTGGTCTTTATCGGTGGTGTCGTCGCCTTCTTTGGGCGCTTGGCTGCCAGAGCGAGCGCCGGGACTCTTTGCACCGGAACCCTCGAGAGCAATAGAAGGGAGAACGAGTTTTTTCTGTTTAGAGGCTGGGAGGATCTCATCCAGATCTACTGGCACGCCCAGCGATACGAGGAAGAGTCGGCGGATGCGGGATTTCACCCAGTTTTGGGGTTGGAGGGGTGGTGGTGCCACGAGCTGGGACCATAAGGAGAGGGATCTATCAGTGCTGAAGATTGCTGCAGAGTCTGGGATTGGCTCGATGGCGGGGAGAGAGCTGATATCGTGGGTTGCGGGGAAGAGGGTGTCGAGGGTGCCTTGGAGGGAACTTAGGAGTTCGGAGGTGGAGTTGAATGTGTCGAAATCGGTCAGAGGTGGAGGTGCGAGGGATTGCTGAGGTGTCAGAGTCTCATCTGGGAGAGCTTCATCGGCGCTGGGTTCTTGGAAGCCGTCGTCGAAATCTCCGAAGTCATCGTCTCCCATGTCATCCTGCTCTTCTACAAATTCATCAAAATCATCTCCTCCTTCTTGCTTTTCGTTTCCGTCGTCGTCGTTCATGTCATCCTCCAATGAGAGGTTTTGGATTCCCAGGTTTGTGTCATTTAATGGGACATCTGGGACAGTTTCTACCGTATCGGGTAATACGTCACTTGTTGACCCCATATGAGCTTGTGGGTGTGGTGACAGGTCTTCGTCAGCGGGTATTGATTCAACCCGCTCAAGCCGTGTCTCGGGAATGTCTTGTGTAAAGACATCAACATCAGGGGATGTGGGATCAGATGCTGGCGGCGTTGGGCTGCCGGCTTTGGAGTCTGAGGCCTTAGTCACCACGTCAGGTACAGCATCGGCTAACCGCTGTTCATGTGCCAATGTGCCAGGAACTTCACCGTGGCTAGGTTCACTTGGGTCCACCTTTTCAACCACTGTGCGCGGGATGGGTGAGCCTTCGGGGCTCAAGGGCCGTTGATTTTCTGACCCCGCGGGCGAATGAGTTTTGCTGAGTGACCCTTCGGGGACAACCTCGATCTCGTCAGGAACTGCATCCTGCCCTCTCTTTTCAAATGCCGCTGTGCCTGGGGTCTCGCCGTGTTGGGTGCTGTCATCGACTCTCTCGACCCGCGTTCGCGGGACAGGGGAAGTGCGACCGGATTGTGGGAGGGACTGCAGTTGGGGGTGGCCTTCACTGGCATCTGAGAAGTGTTCTTCGTCGCTATCAGAGGCTGTTTTAAATAAGTCAATAAATGGAATATTCAAAGCATTTTGGAAAGTCATTTACTATAATCGCCAGCTCCTGGATCTTGCAATTCCGTAGTCCTGCTGGGGGGCTCTAGATGCGAATTAGGCAATTCGGACGGCCCCTCCGACATGATTGCAGCTTGAATTCAGGATGTTAACATGAAAGAAGGGGCATACAGAAATGAATAACTCAAAATACAATGGGGCCGTGTGTGTAGTAGTGTGCAGTGACGACAGTTGTTTCCCTGCGATCGATGTGAGTCCAGAACGTGGCTGCCTTAGGCAGCACATATCAATATTTTGGCCAACTTCTTCAGGCACCATTAATGCCTTATGTCTAAGGCGTCAACTTTTCAGCGCGTGCTGTCTGCCAAACTCCTTCCAATTATTATTACCTTGATCTTTGGTCTTATTGTCCTGCCTTTGCTCACTCTCCTCTCAGGCTCATTGTTTCAATACATTCACCCAAGAGCTTCATTTATTTATTGTTGGATCTTTTGATCCATTCCGCAGGCTCCCTTCCCTGCTCTGTGTCGCTAGTTCTCTCTCCGTACAGCTTTTTCCTCATCAACCCCAACCCAAAGCTCGGTCGACCGCGCCCACCCAACGTCATGTCATTCACTTTTGGTGCCCCGGCCTCCACTGGCGCTTCCGGTGGAAGTCTCTTCGGATCAGCAGGCAATGCTTTCGGCGCCAAGAAGGATAACAACAGTACATCTGGTGGTGCTATTTTCGGAAATGTTGGAGCTTCGACTACTGGCAACAGCGCATCGCCGTCGTTGTTTGGAGGAAACTCCGCAAGTGGACAAAGCACACCAACCTTCGGCAATGCTGCCGCCACCAATGCGACCAATGGCGGCACCCCGGCTTTCAGCTTCGGCAGCAAGGCTCAAACCGGAAGTGGGACGCAGCCCAGCTCGCTCTTTGGCAACCAGACCCCTAATAAGACCACAGAATCGACTACACCAACTTCCAGCAACGCGCTATTTGGTGGTGGTTCGACTGCGAAGGGCATGTTTGGCAACGCGGGCGCAACGGCTACCCCTGCTCCCGTTGGAGGTTCTTTATTCGGTAACAACTCCACCACCCCTGCTGGTCCTCCGCCAGCGTCCAACCCACCTAGCAGCCTCTTCGGGGGTGCGAAGCCCGCATCTTCGACTACTCCCTCTACTGCTGCACCCTCATCTACGCCTAATATCTCACAGCCGCAGTCATCTGGCAATCTTTTCGGTGGAGCTGCATCAAAGCCGATGTTCGGCGGTGGCAATACTGCTGCCGCGCCCAGCGGTGGTCTATTCGGCGGTGCGGCCAAGCCGGCAGAGCCAGCTGCTGCAGATACCACCAAATCGCTCTTCGGCGCAGCCGCGCCCGCGGGTGGTGCGCAAAGCTCGCAGACACCGTCTCTCTTCAACAAGGCACCTGCTCCCGCCAGTGATTCTACTCCCAAGTCTGCATTCCCAGCACTCGGCGCTCCTGCCTCTACTGCAACCACCCCCTCTCATTAGGAGCTTCCGCCACACCGGGTGCCAACACCTCAAAGTCTCTTTTCCCTTCGATGGCAGGTGCCACATCCACGGCTGCTCCTTCATCTACCCCAGCTGCGGCTCCTACTGGAGGCCTGTTTGGGGCTTCCGCTGCCACAACTACTCCCGGTACAGCAGCAACAGCCGCACCTGCTACTACTACGCCTGCTGCACCGGCAGGTGGCCTGTTTAACAAAGCTCCTGCTACCTCTACAACTCAACCGGCGACAACTCCCAGTCTAGCACCCCTCGGCGGCATTAGTGGTAAAACCACTGCTGCTCCGGCTCCTTCTTCTACCACAACCGCTGCGGGCGCTGCTGCCCCAGGTCCAGCCGGGCCCGCTGCTCTTGGTCAGTCTACTGCGGGTCCTGCTCCCCCGGCTCAATCGCGTCTGAAGAACAAAACCATGGATGAGATCATCACCCGGTGGGCCACTGATCTAAGCAAATATCAAAAGGACTTCCGCGAACAGGCCGAGAAGGTTTCCGAGTGGGATCGTCTGTTGGTGGACAATGGTACCAAGGTTCAGAAGTTGTATGGCAGCACCGTTGATGCGGATCGAGCGACCCAGGAGGTTGAGCGCCAATTATCAGCGGTGGAAGGCCAACAGGATGAACTCAGCTCATGGTTAGACCGATATGAGCGGGAAGTTGACGAGATGGTTACCAAGCAAGTGGGCCCTGGAGAGTCCCTGCAAGGACCTGATCAGGAGCGTGAGACAACGTGAGTATCCACAATCAAATCAAACCATGTGGTCTCTTCAAAAATTAACACGTCGACTAGTTACAAACTGGCCGAAAAGCTCTCCGAGCGCTTGGACGAAATGGGCAAGGATCTTACCAGCATGATTGAAGAGGTCAACAGCGCTTCATCCACATTGACCAAGACCAACAAGGCAGATGAACCGGTATGTCATGGGCCAATGTCATGGATTTCCTTTCTTCTGAAATCTTTCTACTCACACATCTCTATAGATCTCGCAGATTGTTCGCATTCTCAACTCCCACCTGTCCCAGCTCCAGGTCATCGACCAAGGCACTTCAGAGCTGCAGTCAAAGGTTGCTGCCGCCCAAAAGGCAGGCCAATCCATCTCTGCTCGTCTCGGATATGGCTACTCTAACACTGGCATGGGCAATGACAACACCGCTGATGACTTCTACCGATCCTTCATGCAAGGGCGATGAGGGGATTGTTGGTGTACTTTTAATGATTTGGACCTGGAGTTATCGGCTACTTGGCACCTCAATGTGCTTTGGGGAATGTTCTGTTGTAGTCAGGGAATGCTAATAGTCGGTCACAATAAAATGCTCGCATGCGCTTTGTGATTCATAACTTTCTCTCGTAGAATCCAATGCAATCAATCCAGATATTGCTCATGAAAAACAGGGTTTGCTGTATATGTATTTTGCATCGTAATCACAATTTTTGATCTTCAAACCGAGCCCTCAGGAGGTTCATCATTTCGTTATGTATGGCCGGTTCACCTTCTGATATCGCAGGTCCTTCTGGTACTACTTGCACCGGCAATTGACCCTGGTGATTCTTGATCAGCCGGTTAGCGCCTGCCTCTAGCAGCAACTTGACGAATGCCGGATCATTTCTCTGCGCTGCCATGTGCAGTGGTGTATCACCCTCTGCGTCCATTGGCTGTACATCAACCCCCCTCTTCAACAAGTGCTTCGCCGACTCCAGGGAGCCATAAAATGCTGCTTTGTGGAGTGGCGTTACACCCTCTGTGGTTCTTGACTCTGGATCGGCGCCATATTGAAGCAGAACATTGCATATCGTCGCGTTTCCCGTGGATATTGAACAATGCAAAGGTGTAATTCCATACTCATTTGCCCGGTTTGGATCGGCGCCTCGTTTCAGCAAGAGAGAGGTCATTCGGATCATTTCCTCGACCTCGCAGCTCATGTACTCCCGAAGGGCCTCAATCTCGCACGAAGTGCATTCCCACAACACCCCCAAGAGTAAAGGTGTGTGTCCTTTAGACGACGTTGCCTCTATATTTGCACCCCGATCCAGCAGGAACGCTGCTGTTTCTACTCGACCATCCCAGCATGCCTGATGAAGCGGCGTAGAACCTTCGTCGTTTTTTGCCTCTATATCGGCGCCCTCCTCCATCAACATTTTGACAACCTGAACTCTGTTTTTAATAGATGCAAGATGCAATAATGACTTTCCATCTTTACTCCGTCTATTCATGTCCGCGCCGCATTCCATCAAACATCGGGCCACTTCGACAGAGCCAGCCGCACAGGCCACTTGCAATGCAGTCTCATCCAGCACATTGACAGCTTCCAGGTTGGCCCCTTTCTCAACCAGAACCCTTGTTACTGCCTTGCGATCGCTGCGCTGCTCTTGAGCAGCAATATGTAACAGTCCGCTTCCATCCCAGTGAGTCTGGTTTGCATCAACGCCATGCTCGAGCAACACCTTAGCGACAGCCGCCTGATTATGGCGGACAGCTAGCGTGATTGCATCCTTGCTCGTCGGGCTGTTTTTGGCGTACGGATCGGCTCCGTGTTCCAACAGCAGCGCGACAACATCTGCATGACCGAAGCGAGCTGATTGTATCAATGGTCGGCTAGCTGTTTCCCGGTCTTTGGATTCGACGTCCGCCCCTTGTTGGAGTGATTTTTGGGCAGTCCGGGGTTGTCCTTGATTTGCCGCCCAGTGGAGTGCGCTCGCTTCGTGGTTTCGGACGTTGTTGGCATAGAGAAAGGAGTTCAGAAGGGCATAACAGCGGTGATTGATTCTTGTCAAAGCATTTATTTCTTCTTGGGATTCTTGGTTCTTGGCTATGTTTAATAGAAGCTCATTTGGTAGGAGAAGGAGAGCCATAGTGCGGCAATTTGTCTTAGATGTACCAAATAGTTTGTGGGGATTCAAATTCCCATCTGGTTTGGAGTAAACATGATGGATCACAAGAGCGAGCTAGCCCCGACGGGCCCGCTTTATGTGGAGCCCAAACCACTCTTCGAGGGACCACTAGGGAGTAATGCAATATACCTACTTCAATTTAGTTCCAGTCTTCCTGGGACAATTGTAATTTGGTTCTCAGTGGTCGAGGCGGATTAGAAAGGTGATTCATGCGTACATGGTAAAAATTGGGCTGTCGGGTTTTTTTGCCGTCTCACAGTTGCATATGCAAATATATATTTCTACGTACCTGATCAGAGTATGCCGACCTTACTTACGTACTAATAATAGACTACGGAGTACATCTACGAATAATACATACGGAGGATATGCCAAGCTATTTCTGCCGAAGCTTGTTGAATTGTTGAACACCATACATACTATGGCAGAGATGTCTTGTTTAGGAACAGGCGCTGAAACGGGACAATCTCAACGCAGCGAGCAGAGATGCTAGCTCGCTGGAGCGGAGATGGGATTATACACAGCAGTTGAAATAGGTAGCTCTTCACATGGAAGCATAAGATGAGTAGGTGTACCGAATCTATTTCCGGCTCAGGCCATCGCTGAGAAGAGAAAGCCAGTCAGCCACGATATGTGCTTTACACTCGACAGAAAGAAGGAAAGGACCGAAGGGTAGCAATGAATACTTACATGTGGGTCTCTAGCTCATCCAAGTGCTTGCGCTGTTCGGTAATCTTCTTCTTAAGTTGAGCGAGCCTGTCACCCTGGTTAGCTCTGGGGTTACCCTGGTCATTCAGCTCTGCAAAAACATACTTCTCAAGCTCCTTCTCACGAATGTAAAGGCTCTCCTGAGCAGCCTCGCGCTTGGTGAATGAGTCACTAGGAGAGGAACGGATGTTAGTGACCCTCCAAATATGTATGACATCATACGACTCTGGCAACAAGGCAGAGCAGCAAGGCAGCCATGCAACCGTCTGCTCATTGCAAACCGAGTCTCGGGGAGGAGGGGTAAGAAGCTGTGCAGTCCTGCAATTCACTTACCCGCTGGCGCCACCACCACCAGTGCGAGGGGCACCGGTGTCACCTTCGCCCATACGAGGAACAGCAACGGAGAAGGAGCGGGTGAAGACAGCCCGGTTGGCAGTAGCGGCAGGACGGATGAATTGGCGAAGCATATTGACGGTTGGAATGGTGAAAGATGAGATAAAATTTGAGTCAAAGAGGTCAGGAAGGGTTGCAGGTGACAGAAGTACGAGGAGAGCGTAGTAGTGTAAGCTTATAGCGAATGACGTTACACGCCAAGAAACGTCACCTGATGGGCCGGGGAAACAGGCTTATGTCAGATCCAGGTCATGTGAACAGAAATTTCTGCTTCGCAAAATGGCGATAAGTCGCGGCTCTCTCATTCGACTTGACTTGGGAACTATGGCTTGATCACCAGGATCATTAATCTACGCAGATGACTTCTGTTCTCCCCCAACCATGTAGCATGATCCAATAGTTCCAATATTACATCTGTAACCCGCCGTTCTAGACGGTTCGAACTAATCACCCGTGTCTGCTTTGCGGTTGTGATTTCGAATGAGGCGCAAGTAAGGAACCCCCGGGCGATTGGCGGGTGCGGAATGGGGGATGACGCTGTTGAGGCCCACCGAACCACACAGAAGCGATGAGATTGGGATATACAGAAGGGAAGGGAGGGGGTAAAAAGTGACAGGTAGTGGCCTCTTTGCAAATAAAATAGGAGAAAATCGAAAGTGACCTTGGTCCCTTTTTATATTTCCCAAAAACAAAGCCCGAAGAAGTGGGTTGTTCAGGTAAATCCCAACAACACCGCCTTCTGCCCCCCTCCTTTCCTCCTGCCTCCTCTCTCTTAACTCCCTACTCTCTCACTTCTTCCATTCCCATCCATCTCTCTGTTCCTTATCACCCTCTTTTCCTTTTCTATCAACCAGGTCAGTGTTTCCCTGTTGTTCCCCTGCCAAATTTGCTCTCTCCTAGCCCTGTTCCCGTGCACCCCGGTCATCACCGCAAAACCCACACATCAACAAATCATGGTCATGGAATCAAGACCCTCTGGAAATTCACACCCCCCTCATCCAAATCCCCATCGCATTCCGATTCATGGGGGAAACAACCTGCCCTCATCTCGTTGTTTACCCGTTAAACCGTTGCCCGCGACCGCTTTTCTGGCATACTCCCCCAACTACAAACGGGAAATCCAAACCTCCGTGACTGCCAGGATCGTCATGATCCACCATATTTCTGGAGTCTTGGGTCTCTAGTCCCAATGATTGGATTCAGAGATTATATATGGGAAATTCATGCCAAATTCACTCGACCTTGCCCGGTTGATTTGAAGAGGGGGGGTGTTGACATATACCCCTCGCCATCGCCTGCTTGCACTGTGCCCGATGGCGTGATTCTCAGCCATCATCTCAATCATCAACTCGACAAGGGAGGCACCCAATGCGGAATTTGCGGCTAACATAGTTTTCGGTTGTAGAAAACACATTTTCACCATGGGTCACGAAGACGCTGTTTACCTCGCCAAGCTCGCTGAGCAGGCCGAGCGCTATGAAGGTTAGTTATCTTGATTCGTAGATCCGCTAGTGGCACATGTTTGTTGACAATGAGCCACAGAGATGGTCGAGAACATGAAGGTCGTTGCTTCGGCCGATGTTGAGCTCACCGTTGAGGAGCGCAACCTCCTGTCTGTCGCCTACAAGAACGTCATTGGTGCCCGCCGTGCCTCGTGGAGAATCGTCACCTCGATCGAGCAGAAGGAGGAGTCCAAGGGCAACGAGTCCCAGGTCGCTCTGATCAAGGAGTACCGTCAAAAGATCGAGGCCGAGCTTGCCAAGATCTGCGACGATATCCTCGAGGTTCTGGATGAGCACCTCATCAAGTCTGCCCAGAGCGGCGAGTCCAAGGTCTTCTATCACAAGATGAAGGGTGATTACCACCGCTACCTCGCTGAGTTCGCCATTGGCGACCGCCGCAAGGGTGCTGCCGACTTCTCCCTCGAGGCCTACAAGGCTGCTACCGAGATCGCCTCCACCGATCTTGCCCCTACCCACCCCATCCGTCTCGGACTCGCCCTCAACTTCTCAGTCTTCTACTACGAAATCCTGAACTCTCCCGATCAGGCTTGCCACCTCGCCAAGCTTGCCTTTGATGATGCCATTGCTGGTAAGTCAACTACACTTTTGCATTGCCTTTTATTTCCGTGGGTCAAAACTAACGTTTTTTTTTCTACAGAGCTCGACACCCTGAGCGAGGAGAGCTACAAGGACTCCACTCTCATCATGCAGCTCCTCCGTGACAACCTTGTGAGTTTTAAAACTATTCGCCCACGAAGAATCCCCACGTGCTGACTTGCAATTCTTCCTAGACCCTCTGGACTTCTTCCGAGGCTGAGCCCACTTCCGAGAGCGCCGCTCCTGCCGAGAAGAAGGAGGAGCCCGCCGCCGAGGGCGAGAAGGCTGCCGCTGAGTAAATGATTAACACCTTAAAAGACCTCGTTGATGGACTCACGTCCTCAGGACGGATGGGACAACCGAAAGCAAGAAAGCGCGCGACGGGTCTTCTAGTGCAGGGGCATAAATTGGAGATGAAGGAGGAAGGGCAATGAGATGCAATGGTCTGGTTGTCGGTTTATAGTATCGCAGACTCGCAAGGGTCGGCGCGAGAAACATTCTGACATCTGGGCATCGATGCTCTTTGGACCATTTTTGCTTCAAATCTTCCTTACTTGCTTCTTTTCTGTCGGCTCGATGCTTGTGTTATCTGCCTGGGGGAATATCTATCCTGTCTCCTCTTTTCGTTTTTTTCATTCTCCTTGTTATTTTGTCTCCTTTGTCTCTTAACTACCCAAAGAGTCCCCTTGCGCGCACTCTCCCAGCCCCTAACACATACACACAGACACCACAGAAGTTTTTTCAAATTCCTTATCAGGACTTCAAGGGCATCTTTGCCGATCCCCGAACTGGCTTTTTCACCTTTCCTATCACCCCGTATCTGTGCCATATGGCGTTTGATTCCCGCTAGATATGGTTTGGAAAATGACCTCTCAGACACTGATCTGGTAATTCCTTTGTGTAAATGTAGTCTATGTCTGTCGCCTTATCTCGAGGTAAATAGCAAGCGGCCCTGCTTGAATCGTTCACAGGCATGGAAAAACATGATACTATATCTGACAGGATCATTATCTACACTTGGGCATATGTGGATGTAACATGTGCATATAGGCGCCTTAGATAGATAGGCCTTAGTGTTCACATGTATTCCTCTGCTGCTTCTTTTTCTACCCTTAGCAGTCCAGAATAAATCCCTTCCATGGCCAGCATCCCGACCAACACACCAGAGATATAGACCAGTTGACACGAAGACATGCCCGTTTCTTCATTTCTCTATTGTCCACAGCCCATCTACGCCAGTAACCATCAGCCCAGACGTCAAGACTTCCCCGCAGCCAGCCACCAAAACCTAAGCCCCTGACACCAAAGTCTACCTACCATCAGCTCTTGATAACAACCAGCATCCAACACCCAAATCCCCCATATACCAAAAATAGACACCCAAAAAATCCCCCTGGAAACCGGAACCCAAATCGCCCAAAATAAACCCAAGGGGCGGCCCGCAACGCCCACCCGTATATCCCCCGATCCCTTAAAACCCGGAAAAGAGAAAAAAAAAGCACGCTTTGTTTTGGGCATAGAACGGTTTCATATTTGACCTGATTGTGGGGACGGATATGCATATGTCCCCTGTACGGAGTACTGCAGGACAAGCCGCAATGATATCAGTGGCTTTGTTCGGGCTATCGAGCTTATGCGTAGCGCGTCTGTTGGTGTCATGTTGGTGGAGGGGGCGTATGATCGTGGCTTTTTTTTTTTGATGGCGGATGTGGGTTGTATTGTATATTGTTCGTTTGGAATGACTCATATCTAGATAAGTACCTGTGTGTGTAGATGTAGTCTTGAATGGTATCGTATTTGGGATCCACGGAGCGCATACTCCGTACTGCGTACTTATATGTAGGTACCAGGTAGGTATGCTATGATATCGGGCTACCTAGGTATATTCGTAAGGCACCGCCACAGGATCCACGGTCTCTACAGATCTACGAAAGATAGCCTGATTTAGAATGATTTTCATTGCTATGGTTGAAACCACAATGCTACCAGCCATGCGGGCTTGATAAAACAGGGGTATGAGGACAATAAAGGGAAAAGGGGGGGGACTTGAGACATGCACGCTCCTGGGTATGGCAAGTGCAACAAGCAAGTAGAAGAGCCGTAATAACGATGATAAGCAAAAGCAAAAGCAAAAGCAAAAGACACACGGCGTCCTTGTCTCTCCCATACAGAGGTACAAATCGGTCGTTGGGGTCAGCCAGTCCGGCGGACAGAATAAAAAGAAAAAGATGGAAAACGCAGATGTACAGAGAGCCTCCCAAATATCGAGTAGGCATGCGAGGAAAGATAAGAAGATGAATGGACTGCTCCCAAAGACCCCTAAGCATCCACTTTCCGCGCCGTTCTGCTGCGACGATGACCGTCCCAATGCAATGCCCATGACGAAGAAACATTTCAGTGCGGCTCCAGCAAGAGCCATTCAATCAAATCGAGTCTAGTCCCAGTCCCCGAAACGCCCAAGGTGCTATGCATCGAAAGACAACAAAAAAAAAGCAAGGATGAAAAAGTACAAGTGAAGCATGTCTTCACATAGCCGCCGCAGAAAGCAAAAACGCCGAATGAAAAGAGTGGGAAATAGGCAAGAAAAATAATGAGACCCAATAATATCGACAGGATTGAAGAGAGGCAGAATCGACACTGCGTAAGAGAATAAATGTCGCACACCGACTCTGGAGGATGATGCAAAAGGACCCGGGAGAGCAATGCCAAAAGTCAGGTGGCGGGCCAATCTGACAACAAGCATGCAATGATGTCACGAACGATCCCTTTCACCTCCCCCTTGAGTAAATAATTCGAATTCACACATCAACTCAGATTCAACAGTCTATCCCGGTTGAACAGGGGGGCTGTGGAGACAATGATGACTCTGTGGCGTTGAATCGAAATGTGGTTGTCCAGGGTGGCCACTCGAACCAGTCGGGTGGCAGATGAGTGAGAACATGGCGATCGTAAGATTTCCCCCTTGGGTAAATGCT